TAGACTCCCTTCATGAGTACTCAGTCTCTGCAGATCAGTTTAAGATCCCAGGATTGCGATGCTTTGCCCTGATCAATAAGAGCCTTTGTATCACCTCTGAAAAGCTTGAAGCAAAGGGAGCCAAGGCCATCTTCCTTAACTACCAGGGCACACAGAACTACGAGGTCTAGCTGATTGAAGGCAGCCGTTATCTGACAACGCCGTACGTCCGTTTCCTTGAGCACGTCAGACACGACGATCCCCAAGATCCTCGTGACATCATCAGGTCCCTGCCCCCAGCCGCGGAGAAGCGACTGAGGCTAAGGAAGAAGGGCAAACTGGCAATTGGGATTAAGAACCGTGATCTTAATATTGTTGAAGAAGATATTACAAGTGATGAGGGCACCGTGAAGCGCAAGCATGGGCGCCAAAAGAAGAAACACCACGACGTGTATCACCTATGTGTGGACTTCCCTTACTCCGACGAGATCAAGAGCGCCCTGAAGATGCTCTCAATCCAAGAGGGCAAGAGTGACAAGGAAGGCGGCTCAGTAGCTGCTTCCGACTCTGATCAAGACGACCCTTACGGCTATTTCGATCTTGAAACATTTGATTAAAATATACACTTCACAAAGGAGCGCTATGAGGCGGCTACATTCCATGATACAGTTGCTATCATGGATCAGATGAACGCTCAGATCGTCAATGAATTCCTTAGAAACGAGTGAGAGTATCTATTCAACCCTGATTAAGACAATCCCGGCGATGACAGTGTAACCATGTACTATACAAGGATCCTGTCGTCTAGTTATAGGCTGAAGGAGGCCACGGCAGCTACAGACCCTAGCTTCAAGGAAGCCATGAATAGACCAGAGAGGGAGCTACGGATTGCAGCTATCTTCAAAGAGATCAGAGAGAACCTTGAGCGCGGCACCTTCGGCTTCAAGAGTACCAGCAAGGCTATCACAGACCATCTAATTGATGCAAAATAGGTACTAAAGAAGAAGTTTCTATCTACTGGTGAACTTGATAAGTTCAAGGGCAGGATCTATGCCAGGGGATTCACACAGCGCAAGGGGATTAACTATAATGAAACCGCGGCTTCTATAGCCCGGTCATCATCATAAAGAATACTAATGGCGCTTGCGGCTTCACTAAGATGGTACATCATCCAGATTGACTTCATTGCCACATACCTGAACAGTGAACTTCAGGAACACATCTTCATAAAGCAGTTCCCTATGCTGTACAAGTATTTCCAGGCCCATCCCAATCAGGCCAGGCTGTATTGCTATGCTCCTAAAAAGGTCATCAAGCTGTTGAGACTACTGTATGGCCTCAAACAGTCAGGCGCAATGTGGCAGAAGAAAGTACGCAAACTGCTTTGCAAGCGCGGATTTGAGCCCCTGATATTGGATGACGCAATCTACTTCAACAGTGCTACAGGCGAGGTGATTGCCTCGTATGTGGATGACTTCCTCCTCTTTGGATCTGATTTTTGGCGCCTCATGGACCTTACTAAGTCTATCAAGGAGGATGTACTGATCACAGGCGAAGGAGCCGCGGACTGGTTTCTTGGTGTTCGGATTATTAGGAGCACTGACAACAGCAATGTGAGGCTTGATCAAGAGCAGTATATTACAAAGGTCGTAAAGAAGCTGGATATACAGCACACCAACCCTGTGATCTCTCCCCTTGATCCCACAACGGCTAAAGAAGCCACAAAGCATACTGTAAAGGCCTCTGCAGACAATCCATAATTATACCTCAGTAATTGGCCAGTTTATCTTTTCAGTATGTATTATGCGCCCTGACCTAGCTTTTGCGGCTTCTACCTGGGCACGATTCATAAGCAACCAGTCTTTTAGCCATCATCAGGGCCTCAAGAGGGTTGCCAAATACATGAACGAGACCCGGAAGAGAGCCATATGATATAGGCAATTGGCAAAGGATCATCCTTATCGCCATTTCAACAAGCTGGTGCTCTATGAAGCCGTGGATTCGAGCTTTGTGACCTGTCTAGATACCGGCAGATCAGTTACAGGCTTTGTATTCTTTTTCCCCGGCGCTCCTATCTTATGGCATTCAAAACTGCAGACAGTGGTAGCAAAAAATACCTCTGAGACTGAATAACTCGCTCTCTCAGAGGCAGCAGAAGAGGCGGCATGGATCAGGAGCCTCCTCACTGAGCTCAACTTGATGCCAGAAGGACCAATTACCTTGCTAGAAGATAACAATGGCACGATCACTTGGATAAAAGAATCACAAATGTCAAAACAGAAGCGCCACATCCGTATCGCATTCCATTACGCTCGCCAGGAAGCTGATTCTGGCCATTTCAAGGCCTAGTACATCAAGAGCAAGGAAAATCCAGCTGATGGATTCACCAAGGCGCTATCAGGGGCAAACTACAGGGAGTTTGGACGGCAATTAGGCCTAGAGGACTTTGAGTATATAGACAGATGGATCACCAGATTGTTGGCTTGGAGTACTATAGCACGCCTGCCGTGATTTTAGATAGATAGATATACTGTGATTTGGCTGATTTCAGAGTGTAATTGCACCTTTCGAGCAAGAGGGCGTGTCAGATATTGTATCCTAGATAGGTGCCCTTAGGTGCAGTACCCACTAGAGGGCTGTTAAGAGAACAGTGGATCCACTATAGCATGGTACAGTATGGTATTTACCTGTAGATTAGCCTTGGCAAGCATAATTGAGAATGACAATAACATTTGCAGTGACCGCTCACACCACCAAGGCTTGTAACCCTTCTAGAATCTCACAGATAAATACAATTTATTATTTTAATGTATCTAATAAAATCTTCTTTGTTAATATTTATTCATTTATTATATTTAATAAAATTAAGAAGCAAAAAATATCGTGTTACGAACCAACGGAACGTACAAGAGGATCAGGCCCGCTGGCAGGCCCAACAGGACGGGCAGCAACTAGAAGAACCAGGGAGAACGCACGGACCACACGGAGAAGTACAGGCCACGTGATCAGGGTTCGTGTCGGATATGTTGGATCATACATATCCAGCATATCCAGATATGTTAGAGCACACATATCCAACCTATCAGTGTGGGAGAGATTGGATATATAAGGATGGACATTTCCTAAGTTAAAACAGATAGACAGTCTCTACCTCAGTGATCAATCTAAGCATCTTAGCCAACCCTAAGGTGGGAGAAATCTCTTGACGACTCGACTATTCAGTGAACCCCGTTCAGACCAAGCCCCAGCATCTGAGTGTCTTCTAGTTGACAGAAGCCTCTATCGTCTTTTGTATTGACTTACCTCAGAACATAAACCCTATAGAACCCTTTAGCCTTATAGGTTAGACGGCTCGTCACATATCGGTCAATATATTAAATATTAAAATGTATTCATAATATATTATTTGAGTAAATATAAGTTAATAAATTTATGTTAAAATTTTAATTAAAGTTTTATATAATTGTATGACGGTCCTGACGTCTATCAGCCCATCAGAGGGGTTGGTGGGGCTCGTTCCCCACCATGCAACTTGTTGATTATGTAATTAGTGGGTCAGAACGAAAGGTTATCTAGGCCACCAGATTAGCTGGTGCCTTTGACCTTTTCTTTTCTTTCCCCACCGAAAGATTCTTTCGCGTAGATAGTATAAGCTGGACTGCTACATCGATCTTCTATTCCACGTATTGTGACAAATTGTTTTATATAAAAAATAAGAAAGAAAAAAAAACAACCGTATTGGAACAGGCTTGACCGATCAATTATAATACTCGAGTATTGGGTCAAGGTCATGATGTTGCTGATGGGTTTTGGATTGGAAGGTCTAGCTGGACCTGAAGGTCTAGCTAAGTGACCTCGCAACCCGGTATCTAATCTCTTATCTAGTCATATATGTGGGTCCTGGTATAGATGGTCACAGGCTGAAATCGCATGGATCTAACAAATCGGCCGTTTTATATGCATTAAATAGTTTTTTTTTTTTAATAATCGGTGAAGCTTAAAGTTTAAAAACTTTCTGGACAAAGTTTCAACAAGTTTTATAATAGCTTTAAAATTTATGAACTTTTAACGTAACGCGATTTTAATAATCTTTTTACCTATTTATTGTCTTGTATTCTTTTCGCGCCGTTAGTAATAATTATTATAAACTGTGAGAAGTCACACAGGGGTAAGGACAGGGGATGGATCAGGATCGGGTTGGTTCGCTTGTTCGTGTCGGGTCGGTGGTCCAGAAGGGACGAATCGCTATCTAAATAGGTGGCCTGGAGCCGGTTTTAAGGTTTTAAGGTTTTAAGGTTTTAAGGTACTTGGGTCTGGCTCTTCCCTTGCCGTCGAAGTGCTTGTTACGAAAATGATGTATCATATATGGACAGCAACCATTTCTCTGGCTCCACCACATACGCATAAAAGGCGGGAATGTCGTTTTGCGTGCCATTCCTTTGACCAGACCCCGGCACCTCATAGGCATGTTTCTTAGGCAGAGCAACAACCACGGCTCTGGGTGGGCAAATATGTAATGAGCAGGTGCACTTTCACCATTGTTTTCTAAGGAATTCGATTCGAGGGCCCCAACGTCGTGTGCGTTGTACTCGCAGAATTCCAACACTTTCCTCTTGTGGAAGATGCACATGCCACGAACAAAGACTGCCCGGGACTCTGCTGGTCAAGCTGTGTTGGAATGAGACATGGTGATGCACCGCCCAGCCGGGTCTTGACAGCTTCTAACGCGTCCCGCGAAGCTGTTGCAGCAGGATAACAGATCATGCTCCACCACCCAACAGTGATGAACAAAGGGGTCCGACGTCTCGAGAGCTTCGTACCGCCTCCGCGAAGCTGTTGCAACATGGTAATAGCACAAGCTCAACCAACCTGACCGTGATGAACAAAGAGTATTCGAGGTCATGCTGACTTCCTTGACGATGTTGGCGTTTTGGAAACTGCATCGCCGTCCAACATGTGCGAATTGGAGAGTCCAACGGTCATTACACTTCATGAGTTCTGTGATATATCAGGTGTTCGTGATGCAGGTTCAAAACAGCATCAACTCTCTATTCATTCTCCTTCACGATACCTACCACAATTCCCATTCGTTTACTCTCACCTACGTCCAGATTGCTGGCTTTCCCCTGTTGCCACCGACCGATCGGCAGCCGCCTGTGCTCGGCCTGTCGGCGCCGCCGGGTGCACGGTCGAAGACCATTATCGAGCACCTAGAAGACATCAAAACCGACGTGCTTTGCTCTGCGCTTGTCGGAAAAGACAAGACTGACATCATCAAATTGGTCGATATCGTAACGAAGCAAGCGAAGCTTACCATAGAGGCCACGAAGTCGAAGTCTCCTGGGTGGATAATTCCGGAGATATACGACTGACCGTACTGCAACACCAGACTGTGGGCAATGAAATGATCCAGCGGGAGTGCGACAAAATCATGGAGAAAGTGAAGCAACAGCTCCAGCACATCGACGACTCCGGCAAGGCCCATGACGAGGTCGAAAAGCACGTCCTCGACCTATATAAGAAGTGTCTAGACCTGTTCGAGGCCGTGGAGAAGGAGTACCACAAGCATACCAAGTCTGGGTTTAGCGTCTGGGGCATTCTGTGGAACATCATCGGGGCCCTGTTGGCCGCGCTGGGCATCAGGACCATAGCGGATATGTCCATCGACTCTCTTAATGGCCTCGGCGACTCTCTTGGTGGCCTCATCGGCAATTCGCACGAGTCGACCGAGTTATAACTTCCATGTGATACTGTCCAGGAGCTTGGGGTCTAAAAGCTTCCCACGTTTTCGCCGACGACTAGGTGTGGATAGTCTACATAGGGTAACTGCCAGAGCCCGTGGAGCCGCCTAGTCGAGAAGCTACATCATCTTCCAAGCGTGGACCAATCTCCAGTGCGACCAATCAACAGCGGCACATTTTCCTTGGTCAATTTCCTTCCTACTTTCTTTTTTTATCTTGGGTCAACGGAGTTATTTCATCTTTACTTTCCTTCACTTTCATTTATATTCAGTGTTTCCTCGGTTTAATTCAAGGCGTTCACGGCATGGGTTGTTTCAGTGTTTCCATATAAAGCCCTTCCTCTTTCTGAACTGCGGAATTTCATGCGCATGATATGTGAGCGGCTCATTGAACTCGACGTTGCCTCTTCCCTCCAACAGTATCCTGGGCAGTGGCATTGGCTTCGGACACTCGTCCGGGAAGCAGAGGTACAGCTATCATGATGGTATCAAGCACTAAGGATACAAATTGACTGTCTCTCACCAGCCTGACTTCGCTTTTTACGAACCTTAAAATCAAAAAAACCGTTACTTTGATTTCCATTGTCACTCTCCATTCTCTTTCTTTCCGAGTCCCGACATCGGGTATGGCGCTCTTGAAACCGGTAATACTATGTATCAAAAGACGAAGTATGCGCTGGAGTCTCGCTGTCGACCTCAGGGGAGGGTAATGAGGATCAAGTGTACCGGCGATAAGATGAACCACGAAACTGCGGTCCCTAGATATACAAAACGAGCCTCTTCCTCACGACTATACGTGCGTTCTCCTCACTCTCTATCAGCTCGTAGTCAACCCATCCAGCTCTCTCCCTGGGCACCTCGGCATGATGCGCGTCAAGTTCACCCCTCTGCCGTGCCCTAGTCCTCAATCGATCCATGCCATGGTAGACATCCAGGCAGATCAAGACGACTCGGTACCGTCGGCGCTACCGTCGGCGCAACCCGTCAGTGCGAATCCTCCACGCCCACACCCAAGGCCCAGCCATCGGAGACACTAAACAGGGGGGTGTCTGGAAGCCCTGTCGGTCCATGATGTCTGCCAGGTAGTCGTTGGGCCGACCGGGGTTAAGCAGGTAGGTTGAGTATTGGTACGTGTATTCCGTGAGCCCGGGAAAGGCGTCGATATTCCAGCGGCGCGCAGCGCGCCGCCCGTCGTAATCATATGTTGGGTGTGGTGTGAAATTGTTCACCTCGTCCACCCACTGGACTCTGGTTATAGCGCGCCGGACAAGTTCACTCAGCGGCGTTGAGGCGTAGAATATGGCCATGCGAGTGTTGACGACCGAGGGTCCGACCACGTTCCATAAGATAGGGAACGATGGAGCTGATGGGATGGTGAAGTACTCATGATTTACCACGAGACTGGGGGCGACGCCGATTCCCACCACGAATGCGTCGTCTGCTGGGCTGATGTAGACGAGCCCACACTGGACCCGTCCCTGGGCAAGACGGGCCAGGATCCTCTCCCTGTAAATCCTGTGTGACTCCCCGGCGCATGAAATGCAGAAATTGTATTCAGACCAGTCGCTATGGGTACAGGGTGGGCTGGGACGCGGAGGATGCCAACAAAGTCCGCCCGGGAGAAACCGGCCTATGCGTCTTGATGCGAGAGAGTAGACGGGCAGCGCGACAGGATACTTCTCCAGCGCGAGGATGCGGCTCTCGCAACAGATCCGAAGGAGTGGCGACGCGAGGTACGGGGACGGCACGACGTGGATGCTTTGGGCTTGGGTGGTATGGAGGAGGACGCGGCGTTTACTTGACTCTTCGCGGAGGACCTCTTCCCATATCATGATGCGTAGGTCGGGGTTGAGTATTGTGAACCTCATGAATTCCGACATGGCTACTATGAATAGCTGGAGATATCTGATGTCTGAAGATGGTAGTATGGTCTTGCTTGGTACCGTACGTAGGGAGATGAAAGGAAGAGAGTGGCGGAGGACTTCTCGAACACGATTCATTTCATTCTTAACCTCTTCAACAGCAAGGGAAAGAACCAAAGATAAATGCCCTGAGATACAACAAAGGAAAGATCACCCTGCTGTACGGAAGTCTAACAACGATATAATATGGTGCAAGAAGGTAGTCGCGGCTGATTTCATTGGTACCTACCTACCCAAGGCGTCGAGATTAATCTCAAGTTCGACCTTCCTGTTTGACTTTTTTCGCGGCGAGTATTACCTCGGGCTGAGGCTTCTTTACCACATTCAATGTGCATGCTGATGATATTCCTCGAGGTGGTGATGGAATCGTATCAGAGAAGAGACGGCGTCCATCTGGCAGAAGTCTGATTGACAGACCCGAGATTCAGACGTTACTAGGGAAAGCCAGACTAAGACCGAATGAATAATGCTACAGACACAACAACCGCGATACGCGTCGATACGCGCCGTATCCAGCGTGATCGATAGAGTTCTCTCCGGCTTGGGTTTCAAGTGGCTTGCCATCTCGAGCATGTATTCAACTGGGGGCATTTCAGTAGCACGTAAAAACCTCAGTCATCGTATCTGAGTAACCGTGTTTTTCACTACCTAATCAATCTGCCAACAGTTACCGAGCATCGTGATTGAGATGCCCTCGTATCAGCAAGTCTTTGCAGCGACAGATTCCCCTCTCACGATCGGCCTCTCCGCCTGATCAATATTCCAACAATTATCGAGCGTCGTGATGGAGATGCCCTCGTATCAGACAGTTTTCCAGCGCCATTTACCCCCATCACAGTCGGCCTCTCTGCCTTATAGCCGCATCCAAGTGCCTATCCTGGACAGTCTGTGCTCTCCTCGGCCATCGAACGCGGGCGACGGCCAAAACATCGTTACCAAGACGCAGCTGCAGTTGAGTGATCACCACTGCACAAAGTCAAGGGCGTTATCCTCCTCCGGGATCAGCGCATAGCGCCACGGCTGCACCTCGAGATCTCTGTGCACGTGGAGCCAAATATTCTCCACGGTTTCGGCTTCGTAAATTTGTTCCTGAATAGCCGCAAGCTCATCGACGTAGCTGCGCTCCCAGTCCCGATACATGCCCAGGTCGATTATAACCTTATCTCTGTGTTCGTAAGGCGCCTGCGATCGCCAAGCCCAAATCAGTTTTCGCGGCTCGTAGAATGTGGGGACCTTATCAGCCGTTTCCAAAGCCATGTATTCGGACAGGAATTTGTCGGGGTAGCTTCGAGTCAGGGGCAGGTACTGGTATTCGCGTACTTCTATGCCATCCCCATCGGTAAAAAAACTATCGGTGAAAAAACGAGGGATGTGGTTGCTCTCCTAAGTTTTGGGCTCAGGAGGGATGCCGGGAGTGCCAATTTGCATGGTCAAATAAACGACACTCAGCACTTCGTTGGTGTCGGATGGGAGCCTTTCGCAGATGAATTTTTCAGCGGATTCAATGTCACCGCCACCTCGAAGGAACGTGAGGTAATCAGTATAGAGACATTCGAAGGGCTCCTCAATAGACATGAAAATGTCGAGACGCACGTTCAAGGAAATCGACCCAGTTGGCAACCCAAAGCTCTCGAAGTTGTCCATAGCCATGCGGGTGAATTCACTGAGTCGACGCTCCTGAGTCTTGGGATCCTTCCAGGGAATTCCTTCCAAGCAATACCACCGTATGAGCTAGTCTCTCATGTTCACCATCTCATGCTCGTAACGCTCGTTGGTCTGTCTGAAGGCTTCCGTAGGTGACGGGATACCAAAGACGTCCACTTCGACTGTGTAGAAGGCGCGAGCGTAATGGCGACTCTCCTGGTTCACCGAGAGGTAGGGGCTGATCAGGTGCTTGGAAGAAATGACGCGTCGCGCGTAAATCATGACGATGTGACCGATGGCTTCGTTGTGCAGAGCCAAATTCCAGATGATGATGCGCAACTCGCTGGGGAGCTCCTTGAATGTGGCCATGGTGGAATCCTCGGTGTGTGCGACGCGAGATAGAGGGATTAGTTGCAAGGTTTGTGATCAGAGATGGGGCTGGAGCTGAACGTGTTCGCACGGCTGTCACCCAACGCGGACGGGAGAGACGGTTGCGACAGGTGGGCAAGAAAAGAGAGAGTCAGGGAAAACGAGTTGCGAGTGCCGCGCACAACAGAGCGTTTTGGAAACGGTCGCGCGGTTCTAATCCCCTTTCACTGAAGGGTTGTGTCAGTCTTCGGGCTTTTCATTGTGGTGTAGGGACGTCTTTGAGATACATACCGATAATCGGATCAGATAGGCCCACAGCACGGCGCTGGTGTATTGGTGAATGGCGTTCACAAGTACCGGTCGAGGGAAGAGATGATGCTGGAGGATTGGGTCAGTCTTTGTGCTTCTTATTGTGCTGTAGGGCTGTCTCTGGGTCACTTACTGATGATTAGACACGCTCACAGCACGCGCTGGTGCATTGATAGATGGCGGTCACTTGTGTACGGGTCGCGGTTTGGTGTATGATCGGGCACAAGTGACAGTCGCGGTCGGATGACCGTCAGACGGCTGTGAAGGTTCCTTGCACCGCCCAGCAGGCTGAATGGAGGGTGGTGCTACAGAAGGAGTGCAGAATGTGAAAGTGGCGGATGACAGATGATGTATGCCCGGTGTGAGCTGCAAGGAATTGGGGGTTCAGAGACCCGTCTTTGGCTCGCAAAGAAGGCTTTTTTGTTGGGGGGAAGAACAGAGATTGATTGTTGCTGCAAAGTGGGAGTGAAATAAAGCTGGTGGGTGTGGGATATCGGGGTGGGGGCAATAATCGATAAAGACGCGAAAGGAACCTCAGTGGAAGGTCTCTATCCGAGCGATTATAGGCGTTGCTACAGGCGTTGTAATCGCTAATCCAGCACCTGCCCCGTCAGGACCAGCCCGTTGATGCCCTGTCGGATGGCAAAATACGCTATCTCTTGGGGGCCATTTCTTATATATACCATGTAAGCAGCGCATAACCGATAGCTGGCTTGAGCCTTGGGGAAGAGCTCCCGCTCCAGCCCGCAAGGCCTTCCCATCCCCACGAGCATCGCGATAGGAAAAGGAGGTTATGGGTTTCATGATTTATGAAGAACCACTCTGGATTAGCAGATATTGCCAAGACAGAGAGAGTCAAGTCAGGCGGAAAACGCAACAAGCTCCCTGACATCAATCATTATGGAAGCCAGCAGTTACCGCGGTCATGAGTAAACCAAGAAGAATCTTTATTAATGCGTGGAACCTGGTCTCCTTCTGCACCAACGAACCACCGTATACTAGAACAATGCTCGTGACCCAAACGGAGTCTCCAGGTAACTCCAAGTTTCAACAGCGATACACTGAAGCCTCATTAGTCTCCGCACAACACCCGTCCAGCAACCAGTGGTATATTCATTAGATTAGAATAAGCACAATGAGATAAGCATTAGACATGGCGTACCAAACAAGAGCTGCTTATTCCTGTTTGCTTATTTCAAAAATTTCATCTTGTACGTGTGATCTAGATCCCTCTTAACATGGTGTGTACGGAGACTTATGAGGGCTGAGTGTACGTCAACAGAAGGAAAGGAAAGAATTGTAAAGGAGATCGGAAAGATCAACGCTGGGATTGAACACTAATCATGAGGGAGCGTGGATCAAAGTGGTGTTGAACAACGAAGTTTGATCGAAAGCAAATGTGGACGAGAACACGATGTGTTTGAGAGCAAACGTCCACCGAAACCACCGAGGCTTGGTAATCAGTCCAGATATAAGACAGAGAAGCTACTCGTTTGCGGTCTATCAAACTTGGGTGCAATTGTCAGAGCTGATTGTGATGTTGGTGTTCGTACAGCAAAAGCAAGCGATCTGCCTACATTAGCATTGTGTCCTGCTACCGGTAGTGCACTAGAGGGAGTAGACATACCTGAAGGATCGCCAGATCAAAGATCACTGCCGCTCGACGCGGTGGGAACTGGAGCTGGCTCGTTGAGGTGCGACGCGATGGCAGCTGAATCTGGCTCACTGGGGTTCGACTCGATGATAGCTGGAGCTGGAAGTTGTGTGGATGGTATGAATTTGTGACCGAACCACCTCGAGAAAAATGTGGCGAGATACCCCAGACCGGACACGAAAAAGCCCATTTACTACGAAATTGGTCGAATATCGAGGCCTACGACCCCCGTGAACTTCGACATACAAACATTAGCGCCATCTTTGTTTTTTCGCAGCACACATGAAAAGTCATTGCGGCCAACATGCGGTGAGCTGTGGTGGGAGTAGATACTAGTTACAGGCTTGGAGGCCGACTGGTGAGAGGCGAACACTCATAGCGGTCCGCGGATGCCTGAGTGCCAAATACACCTTCAGTCTAATTAAGTCGTAGCCAATTGGGGACATCAAATGATAGTGGGAAAATATGATTTTGGTTGACACTACACGAAGTCAGGAACACTGACATAAGCTTGGTGTCCTGCATAAAACCAACACTGCATTAAGGGGAATGAATAATGGCTTATGCATATGGCATGTGCGCCCCAGCTAGTATACCTCACCAGCCACACCAGCCACCTCCTTTCCGGCATGTTTGCTATACGGAAAACACCATGCCGCACCGGTTCACCCACCAGGCAAGACTGCTGCAGCATGCACTGTCTAAGCCATCAATCAATCACTCCACCCCATATGCACGCATGGGCTTCGGCAATTCGAAAATTCTTCAACAGACACGATGTAATGAAGATCAACCCAGACTTCCCAACGACGCGACCGTCAGGTGAACTTCATAGGGTACTGATCAGGCGAAGGTCCAAAGTAACCGCTTGCCGGCAGCGTCAGGAGCGTCGCATTCTGATTGTAAGCCTGGTAGTCAACTCCGGCCTTGGAAACCGTGTTTCCCCACCAGGTGAGTTCAATGCCGGTGAAAGCAAAAGCAAAAGTCTGGACGATGGCACTGAGGGCAACTCCCACGCCGAACCCAGCCTCGACCAGGTAGTTGTACTTCTCCCACCACGCTCCATAGTGGCGCTTGATGTAGCACATGAAGACGAACGAGACGTACAGCCCGTTTGTGGCGTATGAGAGGTTGTTCCCACCGGTCCAGTTGAGCGCTCCGGTCCAGAAGACGGCGGGCTCGAACCAGTATAGGTACGATAGTGGACGGAAGAGGTACTTTTCCAAAGTCGAAGACATGTCCCCGGGCAATCGGCGCTGAACATAAGCCCGGATTGCAGGAACGTAGCGTCGGCTAACCCCCCAGGCGATGCCCACCACAGAGCCGATGAAAAAGCACCATGGCAAGATCGGATACAGCTCGAACATGTTCTTCACTCCAAATGCTCCATACTCGATGGCCGAGGCATAGACAAGCACGGCGTCGGCGCAAACAAAGTGCTGAGCATTACTCCACTGGCACAGCGCGCCATTGTCGAAGTTGACAACCATCCAGTCGAGCATCCCGACGAAGATGAAGCAGTTGCAAAGGATCGAGATGACCTGCCCCCGGAAGACCGCCCGCGGCGGGACCTTGGCGTAATGTCCCATCTTCTGGTCCGTGATGTAGCTGTCGGCCTGCGCATTGAAGTTCTGACCGAATGCCGTCAGAATGATAGAGGCCTCGGGCTTACCGACGAACCAGACCCCGCCGAGCAACTGGAACAGAGCGTTGAAGCCCATGCCGATGTTTGCGGAGGCCAGTAGTAGCACGGATGGTATCAGCATGATGGCGCTGATGCCGACGACGGCGAACAGCGCCCACACGGGGACGGTGAGCGGCCATACTGTCAGTGCCACGATGCCCAGCGCGAGCGAGAGAAGAAGTACACAGGCGAACCACCAATCCGGCACCTCTGGGTAGGCCTTCATAATCCGCGTGTGGGGGTCGTGAAAGGTCTCATAGATCGACCTTCGGTGCCTGACCCCTTTGTACATCTCGATCGCCGACTTTTTCAGTCCGTCCCAGTGTTGGATCGAGACACTGAACAACGTCATCGGGTACCAGGCGAACCAGGCACCTTGACCGAATACGTTGGCTCCGGAGAAGAAAGGCGGCCCATAGGCTTTATACGCGTCTAGGTCTACCCCATCTCCAGCCTTGTTGGCTATCCTTGTCACGTTGTACTTCTTCCCATCATTGGCGAATGCTGTTTGCGGTTAGCAAGACGATTCGGGTCGAGGACAGGAACAAGGAGGAAGCCGCACATTCGTTGCTGTTGATGGGCATGTACGCAGACCAACACGTGTTCCCCCAGTACATGCCGATGATGAACAAGCCGGAAAGGACGCGTGCAACGTACTGTTGGGCTGTGCTGAAGAACGGTGTGACCAGAAATCCATGCCCCGCCACATTCCAGTCGAACGTCGCCCAAGGGTTAAAGCCCATGCCGCCCCAAAACCCAGTGATCATGGCCAAACTGAAATTGTCCGGTGCAATCTACGTCATCCAGTTGAAAGAGCGCAGTGCCTGGAACAGGTAGTTGGGCACCCAGAACCAGGCAAACATGACGACCGCGCACGCGATGAACATCTTGTATCGCGATAGCTTCCACCTATTGACGACCTCGGACTTGTTCTCGGGCAGGACCAGCGCCCTGTTCAGGGCTAGGGCTGGGAGCACCTGCGGGAAGATGGCCGTGACAGGGTAGATGACGAACCTGCGCAACAGGCCTGCGAAACCGAGCCCGAAGAACTGCACCGACAGCGCGAGCACGATCTCGTAGCCGAACGTCACCCAGGTGTTGCCAAAGTACTGCGGTAGCCGCTGCACGAGTTACACGTAGTACGTGGGCCCCACCGAATTGCAAGCCGTGAACATGATAGTAACGGCGGAGGCCCCGAATGGGACAGCCCCCAATGGGAAAGTTCCCCCACCAATATCGCAATATTGCAACCCTTATAACTTAGCCGAGAATAATCGCACGATATATCCGTTTAAACGAGAATATTTGCCTTTTTTCTCTAAATCTGTAAAGCGTAGCTGCTCATAGTAACTTACGTATATAACCAAAGTTATAATAAAATGAAGTTTTACCCTTACTAAATTTTAGCGGCAAGGCTGCGGCAAGGCTGGTTTTCCAGACCTTTTAGTGGGAGCAAGGCATGCTTTAAGTTCATAGTACCGCTATTTAATCATTACGAAAGCGGTACTTAATAGCCTACATATTACGAAAACACCAAGGAAATTGGATTCCAGCGTAGTATTTACAATATTTACAGCTTCATTAGTCATGGAGATATGTATAAGTGAACATGGTGATATTTGGTGTGGGAACTGTCCCATTGGGGGGGTTGTCCCATTGGGGGGGGCCCCGCCGTTAGTAAACACTTGCTCCTTGTAGTTCCACGGCCCAGGGTTCAGCGAATGGCGCGTGCCGTATATGGTCACGCCCCAGTCGGGCAGGATTCTGGCGAGGAACAGTCCGCATGGGGCTACGAGGAGCTGCAATACCAGCGCTGGGATGCCGATTGCGGGCTGCCGAGGAGAAAAGAAAGTGTTCACGGCGGTGCACCCACCCATCAACATCAGGCCGAGCAGATAGGCCCGGATGGTCTCGAAGGGGGTATCTGGGTCGTCGGAGGGCGTCGTCACGGATCGAACCTCCGGGTAGGGGGAGTAGTAATGGATGGTGGCCGCTTCGGTCTTGAGGTCGAACTCGTAGTCTGTCGATACCAGACCCGGGGAGTCTGGACCCTGGAGTAAGAGCTTGATCTTCGTCATAATTTCCGAGGGAAAGTTCGGGTCGTCGCTGTGATGCTCGATTGCCTCGATGAGGATCTCTAGGGCTTGCTCCTTCGCCATCAAGGCGATCTTGTCGAGGATGTAGATCACGTCGGCAGAGGGGACCAGTTGGTCTTCTTCTGCCTTTCGGCCAAAGTACGAAATGATCTTGAGTCGCATCTCGGGCGTGGTTTGTGTAGCTTCGGGAATTGCCTCGACAGTCTCGTTGTCCTTTTCCTTGGAAGGCGACGTTGGGACCTTGTCTCCTGGCTCTGGGACACTTTTCTCTTGGACGAAGCCATCATTATCACCATGGGTAGGATCGTCCATCTTGTCGAGACTGCTCGATACCGCGAGACGAGATATGGAATGGGAGGTAAGCCGTAACTACAGCCCAGAGGTTGTGTGCCATGATAGCAGATGGCAGTGACAGGCCAGTACTTAGGTATGCACCAATCTCCCTCTAGTGGTCCTGTATCCAGTGTCATGTGCGACTGTGATTGTTTGCTCGAGATCTGGTCATCACGCCTATCCGTCCTGTCGGCTCTGACAGCTCGAGCTCTTGTGCGACAATTAGGTGATACCAAGAGGGGCAGGTCCAATAACCGGCATGTGGTAGGGTCACTAGACGCAATTTTGACTCATGATGCTTTCATTTGGCCGTTGAGGTTGAACGAGGTCAGGTCATTGGGCACGTAACCATCTGGCAGACTCGTGAGAGGTCTTGTTCTTCAAGGCTCAGTCATTCTTTAAATTTTACTGCTGTGGCTGGCAGCTTGTCGCAAACCACAATAAAATACTCTTTCCAGATAGAGACGGATGTCAAACGATGCGTAGATGGTTGACATGGTTGATAAACGTGTATTCAGTGCTGATCTTGATATTGTTTTTGTGTAGTCTCTGTTGGTGGCTAGTATCACCAAAATGCCATCATGGCCCCTGATCAGTGCACTCCCACATCCCTGGCGCCGCGATGGCGTGGGTGCCATTCAACAACAGATCAAGTTTTGGAAGGCTTGATATACTGGAGGCAGGTAAGCAACCGGCATGGCAGACAAGGCACCCACCACTATTGCAGACATATTCAGACAATTCGATGATATCACGTAGTGAATCTACCAGTGATTGAAACAAGAAATACTCTAACAGATCACATCTTCAAGGATAAGATGGAAAGAAACTATAAATTTGGAAGACCTTGGCATGCGCCATTGTGTCCAGCTGACTGTTGTAGAACCAAAGAGTACCAAACATGGGATAGAGGATGAAGGCCTGTCAAAGAGTACTGGATTACCGTCACCTGAGCTGCCGAATTGGACATTCAAATTTCCATTGACGTCAGTGTCGACTTAATACTGCATGACTGGTACTGTGTCTTGGTCGTGAAACTTACCAGACAGGTTCCTGGTCTTCTGCACTAGTAAATAAGTATTGTGTTGGTCTACGTGCAGTAAGATTCATTTTCGTACATCTCTGGTGCTGGTGTCGTTGTTAGTCAGAGTCCCTTGGCACGAGGAAGGTTATATATTGACCAAGATGATGGAACAATCATGAAAGAGATCCATAGTCCTGTGAAAATTCGTGCCTGAAATCAATACCTACAAGTGTCGGGAATAACGATGCCCCCTGCGTGAAGATGGGACGATATATCTGTTGAGTGACGGACGCTTGTAGCCAACCTGATTGAGATAGCTTGACGAGACTCCCTCACACCGTGGAGTCCAAGCAGGGGCAGAGTGATAATGTGCATCAAGCAGCGACGACTGCCATTACAACTCCATAGGCAAGAGTCTGTTATATGTGTATTGATTATTAAAAGTAAGTACAAACAGGTAGATTAATGGATCCGGGCATCGAGTGTACACGCGCCAGATACGCGTCTCCGTTTCCGTGTCCCAGGATAACAGTTAGCCGCCCTCCTATGTTGATGCATTAGCGCGTCCACGTCTAGGTGCTGAGGTGGTTATCAAAGGCGGAAAAATAAATTTCGCGCGCACAGCTTTCTTTAACCAACGTCGAGCCAGTCGAGCTCTTGCGCACATCTCAAATCCTACGCAAAGATGTTCGCCTCTCCTCGCCATGCAGGTAAGGACTACCACCCGGGTCGCTGTCAAGTCGTATTCAGCTAATCCGAGGAGACTGGAACCCTGCAGTGAATATAGAGCGCAAAACAATCTGTAATCACTGCGTGCTACATTGCATTCAGGTACATGATCCCGTGTCGGATACGGCTCGTTTGCAGTCTGTTAATCCGATACAGAACCCCGACCACTTCTGCGCGCAGAAGACGACTTCACGCACCATTAAGTGTACTAAGTGTGTCCAGAAGCATGTAGGCGCCCATACTGGCGGTTGCCGTGAGGTAATTTCTTGTTGTAAATCCGGCCTGTAAACGCCTTGCTAAAGACTCGCAGCTTGAAACTCAAGCCTTTAAAGATGAGTACAATGCATGGCATTTTGCACGCGACTCCTACCGCAAAAGCCGATCCGACCAGAACTTACTTGCCTTCATCCAGGCGGGTAGGACGTTGTAAGCTGCGAGGGCCCGGGCTGCTCAGGTTGCTGCGGCTGGGCCGGCTGTTGCAGCCGCTTCAAGCTCGCTGTCGCCGGTATTGTCAAGCTCGCCGTCGCCGGTATCCAAAGCAGGCTTTCTCGGCGCGCCCAAAGCTCAGAGCCAAACCTCAGGCACATTACATTCTCCCCACCCGACCCCTCCACCTTCCTCTTGCCACACCCACTCCGTCCTCGAGGAATCTTTAGATTCCATCCCACCCAAAGCTCAGATCGAGACCTTGGGCACCTTACCTTCTTCTCGCCCGGCCTTCCTTCCTCCCACTTAGCAGTCGCTTGAAGCATCACACCAATTTTGTCCCACATCTTGGAAGACTCTTCAGCTTTCAATCATTCTGGCGCCGGCTTGGAAGATTTACCAGATTTCGACGAGATTGACGACATGCAAGACGCGAAACCCGGACCTGCGGCTCTCCAGCCGACGAAGGCATTCACTGTCAAAGTTCGAAGGAGCAGACATGACAGACCCAACCCCGACAACGAGGATTCTGACGAGGAAGTCAACCTCCAGGTTCCAGACCCGAACATTCCGCTCGACCTTCTAGACAAGCCCCTGCAAGAGTGGACTGACCCCGCGATGATGTTCCTCCCAGCCCAAGACGGCGACGATGCTGCAACCTCCCTCCCTCCTTCCTACGAAAACCATACCGCACCAGCTCATCGTCTCTTCACTGTCTGGCCGAATCTCGACGAATATGGCAAGACTGTTGTTCTCAAAGAACTCACAGATCATCTGAAGTCGTTCCAACTAGCATGCAACTTACTCGAACTGCAACCAAGTGAGGTCGAGAGCTTCCTGCGAAAGTACGTAGAGGACCGGCACCATGCTCAACAGTGGCGACAGGGCCTCAACACCAACCAATCACCCTTGGTGCGCATCAGAGCCGTGTCGGTAGCCCTCGCGCGCGAGTTCCTCGCTTTCATGGGGCTGGGCGACTACATGGACGCTGTTGGCTCGTGGGAGAACTGCAATATTGCCTGGCCTCCCGAGATCGACATTACAGACTCCGATGAGAGAGGACTGGGACACTCACGGATACAATTCCCAGTCCAAGACCCAATTCTGGCAGGAGCTTCGGAAGCGATCCCCAGATTCCAGGCTTACAACGCGACTTTGCGCAAACCGGAAGACGAGCGCGGAGTGGTGGCCTTTCGGGCTCCCCAGCCAGGACAGGGAGAAGCTGATGCCAGCACTGGGATCCGGATTCACTACTTCATGTTACCTGCCGGCTCTGTCGTGTTTGGGCCCAACGGACGGAAGACACTCATTCACGGTGGCAAGTACAGACTGATGTACCCCAACATGCCTGACGAGCCCCAGGGTCTCGACACCAGCGAGCTCTTGATCGCCAAGAACTTCATACAAGAACCGCCTGTGTCCTGTCAGTATGATTGGCAGCAGCCTCTGCCTTACCATGTGAATAGGTCCAACAGAAGCAGTATGATCGCCAATCAACCCGAGTCGAGCTTTTTCAACAATGCATTCGGCGCCTTGCACCCCCAGACGAGCTTTTTCGATGATGCATTCGAAGCTTCGCACCCCCAGACCACCCTGAGACAAGTAGAGATCGACAACCTTTGGCTTCCCCGAGGTGGCACCTCCCTGAACGGCATGCCGTTTTCCCAACGCGGAGCCAAGTTCGAATCTCCCCCCTCCCAAGGTCGCAGTGTGCATTTCGAGCGCGCGATGAATAAAGTCAGGGCCTTGGAAATAGAGCACCAGTCAAACCAGACGCCGGATTATCGATTAGCTCGTGCCAGTGAAGCGCAACCTACTCTAGCGAAAGCAATGAGGCAAGGGCTGGAGTTGCGGGTCTATCCTGATCTTGCTCGGGAGCTGGAGCAATTCGATGCCCCAGGATTCGCTGAACAAAGAATCACAGAGGCCCTCTCCCAATCTCTGACGACGGATGACCCGAAGAGCAAGACCGATCGTTTGATTGAGAAGGGGAACCAGAGGGATGTGCAGGACTACAGTCATGGAGCTAAACAGCACGTGCCGTTTCACAGCGTCTACAATGACCAACCCCCGGATGAGGCCACAGCTGATCCCCGGGACATCTTCCCGAACCCCTACGAGCTCGAGGAGCTACGCGAGCCGGCGACAGCACCGTTCCATCAAGATGGAGAGCCACGGGGTCCTCTGGAGCTAGGCCCTGTCAAGCAGCTAGTCGACTTGAAGCTCAACGCACATGGCGCCTTGTACCAGTTCCGCTTCCCTCGGGGCTACTTGGTCGAGTCTCCCAGCGGATACATCATGAACTTCGACACGGATCATATGGAGCCCGCGGATGGACCCAGCCAGCCCGGGATGGGCGGTCAATATACTTTCGTACCACCCCGTATCCTGGTCGAAGCTCCAGATTTCAAGTGGTATCCAATGGATGATTTTACGATGCTCCGGATGTTCGTAGGGGAAGACATGGTCATCCTGCGCGACGGTGTTGTACTGCCGCACTTCATGGACTTTGGTTTTCACCAGCTGAGCCGCGGGCACGACGGTATCGATGTCTATGGCGAGAACGGACGCTACCATGTCTTTGGGCTTCCTCCGGGATTGCAGCCAGCCGGACAAGGCGACGATCCCGACGCAATGGAAGTCGATGAAGAGGAAGACATGGAGGATAGTGAAGAATCACCCCAACACGAAGCCCTGGGAATAATGGCCCGTCACCAAGCATATCTCGACCGCCTGGAGCATGAGGAGAAGGAAGAGGACAGAAAGGCAAAGAGAAGAGCTGGAAATCTCCGCGGGACGAACGGACGATATTCACAACCAGGTACTAATCAAGCGTCTGGAGCTCTACAGAAAGCCCCGAAGAAAGCTGTCGATGGAGCTACTGCCCAAGCTCACAAAGAGGATTCCCCCGCGATACGCAGCCGTCGTGCCAGACCGATCAAGAATACCACTCACGACAAACACCTTGGCCTCGTCGAGTATAATCCTGAAGATCTCAAGAACGACTCTGACAGCGATGAAGAGCCTTTCATCGACATCCCAGCGCGCAAGCAGAAGACACCTACACCGCGGAAAAGACGTGCTAAACCCAAGCCGAATGGCCCTGACGGCGATATCCCTGCGTCGCTTCAAGGCCAAGCTCAGCATGGACGCCCGTCTCTGCCTCTGCCTATGTTCGATGCGATTGCCACTCGGGAGGCATACCAAGCCAACCCAAAGGCCTCAAAGGCCTCAGCCAACTCCAGAAAGCGCCAGCCCACGTCCTCCACTGCCGTGGCTCAGCCCGCGGACCTCAACATCAATGTTTCGTCTTTGCAACTGGACGGCGCGGCAGACGAGACGAAGCCCAAGCGGATGTACACCCGGCAGTCCAAGGCCCAGTCACAGCAGGAGGCCGAAAACACGAGCCGAAGCCCGGCTCGCCCGAGAAACACGCCCGGGAAGGCCACGTCGGCGGTGAAGGCTGCTTCGCCTGACGTTCAGAACTTGAACCGGTTCATCTTGTCTCAGCAGGCCGATGTTTCCAACGCGTTCGCTGCGGGTTTGTCTGCTTCCCAAGGGGCCGCTGACGCTGCTGGTACTGCGGGCCAGGACTTGCCGTCCGCAGCTCAGCAGCCTGGGGACGAATTCATCAAGTACGGCGACACGGATCCGGAGACGGATGCCGAATAATCCAATCGCACTTGATCTTCTCTCCTTCGTCCGTGGTCAAGTTTCCGCAGAGGCCATGACTTTTACAGAGAGAGTATGCTGTTGGGCCAGGTACCAGACAGCTGTCTTCTTGTGCTCTGCGCGTTTCTTTCTTCGCGACTCTCCTTTTGTCCAGTGTGCCAAGGGCACAACTGAAATCTCGTCTGAAAGGTCAGAGGAGCCCAATGTTTTGCGTTTTCAGTTCTTTTCCGCTGTTCATCTTGGCATTGATCGAATGATTTGATCGAAGACTTTGCAGTTAGTTTTCCTGCAACTCTTGGTTGAAGGGCCTTGGTACACCTTCGCGTCAAAGCATCGACATCCACACACAGGGACAACAACCATCTGTGTGGGATCTAGATGAAAGACTTCGACACCTTGGCACTACAAGCCAACGTGCGCTTTCATCTCATTGCAGTTGCGTCTCGTATCTCGCACCTGAGACTTTCCGTCGCCACTATCGTCAACAACTTTTGTCTTGGGTTCTGAGAGAGCCTGAGGGCGGACGCGATGTGCTTGCCTCCTCTTGCGCACGCATCCATGGCAATTTCGCCTACCACATCGCACGTTTCCTTCTCTTGTTCTCTTAAGCTTCTCTTCAGAAGCATTGCTGCACCTCGCATTATGCCCACCAATCACCAACTTTGTCTTTCAAGTGCATTGAATCCGAGCAGTCGAGCCTTCTTACAAGGTTCCTCAACAGCAATGAAGATCTTCATGCACCTCAAGACAACGCCCCATAAACCTTTGCCCGGACGCTCAAGACAGATGATGGTTCGTGCTCATACCTGCCCTTTTGCGTGTACCCTGCTAACAAGATCACAGACTACTCCCGCTGCACACAAGGCTTAGTCCACCATTCGTTTCAAACGAGTCTGCGGAAGACTGAAGTATACCAGCATTCCTCGGGTTTCAAGCAAGCATGGCACGATGGAAGACGGATGGCATGGCTCGGTCATAATTTCCTTACTCTTGATACCCCATTTCCTACTCTGAATTCCCCCCTGAACCCAAACTTTCCCAAGATTCCCCAAAACCCTTTTGATAGATACTGTTGGCACCAGTTGAACGGAAGACTGCTTCTTCGACACACACACACTGTTAGGATAGACAAAACCCAAAAAATACATGAATCTCCCCAATTCTCTCTTCTTTCCCCTCCGATGTGCATGATTTGACCCACACTCCAAATAACACCCAAGCTGGTTGACATATGCCCCGATGGCCCGAAAGAAACTGACTGACCTACAACGCCCCCAGCCGCGCACGATTAAGCCCCGAGGCCATCCAAACCAGCGTGCCGAACTCATCCAGGCCATCGCACCAGGTCGCCAAATCGTCGACCAGCGCAACATTGTCCTCTATCTCCCCGCTACCACGGCGCATCAGGTCGTCTACCTTGAGCACGCGGTCGGACTTGCGGTCGCGCACGTACCGGTGCAGCCGCGCGGCCCCGCTCTCGGTCGTGTCCGAGTCCCACAGGTCGCGCGCGCAGGGCAGCGGCGTGCCGAGGATGGTGCCGCAGCCCGGAATGTTCGGGTCGCCGATGAGCACGACGAGGATCATCTCGATCATGAAGAGGAGGCTGGTGGTCCTGTTGCATTGGCGTTGGCTGTCAGCCTCGGTGCTTTTCTATAAAGTAGGTGTGGGGGAAGGATCGACTTGCCTCCGGAGACTCTCGTAGAACACCCAGTTCCGGTGGTTGAGGTCTGGGAACTTATACACGTCTTGGCGGTAGTTGGTCGCGAAATGCAGTTTCATGGAGAATTCCTGTTGTGCTGATTGTCAACTTGCTGTTGTACGTTTGTGTGCGATACTCGCCAATGCCTACTCACCGAAACGGATTCGATCAGCGAAGCGATGTCGTTGTTCTCCATCGATTCGGCATCCTGAGATTGGAGGAGCATGTAGATGACCATTGCCTGTATACTGGCCATCACAGTTTCTTGATCGTAACTCTGGAACTGGTACAGAGGTCAGTACTTGTTTGGAAGAAGCCCGGCGTCATTACGAATGGCAACGTGGTGCTGAGTGTTGGGTTCCATCAGAAATGATGGGAGTTCCCTCGTTACCTCTCCATTAAGCCGCCGTATCTCAGCATAGATCGCATTCCACACAAACTGCCTGTTGCCCTGCTGACGCCCATGAAACAGATGTACCAGACTAGCGCAATTCGCAAGGGGCTCAGGCAGGCACTGATGCGTCCCGCCCGCGACGCAGGCATGGGGCAGTCGATCATCCAGGACGCATCGAGGATAAATGAACGGCGGCAGTTTGGTACCCTGGATAAGCATCTTGGGGTAGCTGGCAAACTGGCCCAGTAGAATGCGGGTGGTCAGGAAGGTTTCCGTCGACTCGGGTTTTCGCTGGGAAAGAAGACTTTCGTATGGTCGGCCGTAGACGACCGTGGTTCTCTTTCTGAAGGTGTATGGCGCTCCGCCGTTTGGTGAAGCAAGTCCACCACGAGATTCAACGTCGGGTCGCTGTAGGGTCATATGGTTTTCGCGAGCATCATCGACGAAGGCACTTATCCAGGACGTCCAGTTGTAGTCCATCCTGGGCGAATTTTCTGGCCTTGCTGGGCTTTGCTCAACCTGCAAAGAGTTTCTTCGTTGTATAGACAGTTCTGTTGCTGGCGGTTGGAACCAACCATTGCTATTTACCCACTGAGCGTCTGATTTGTCAGGGGTAGATTCGTTCGTCAGGTCAGATAGGCGAAACGCAGTGACTTCAGCGCCCATGTCCGTATCCAGGGATGGCGCATGCGCAGCAACGCTCACGTGCTGTGGTTCCGTGGGAGTTCCGAGGAAGTCCACATCCAGCTCCGGCCCGTAGACTGACGGCAGGACTTCCGATATCACGGCCGATGCAGTTCTGCCAACTCGTTGTGACGGGTCTCCAGCCGGCCTTGAATATGGTGATACGCGTGTGGCTGCTCCCGCATAGTTGCATTCGATGCCACGCTCCAGACATCGAAGACATATGGCATCGAGGCTGCACCTTGCCTTTGCGGCCCGGCATTGGTGGCAGGCCTTCTTGCGGGAGATTGGCATGACGTATAAAGAGCTGATATAAAACCCAGTAAGCAATCGCTTTCACATAGCATGCACAGGCGTCAACGTAGTGCACAAAATCTCTCTCCGTGGCCTAGACGACCTGGGCTGACAAAGGGGGGAAGTTGTCGCAGCTTTGTCACCCCCCGGAATTCCGGCGGGAGGCTTGTGGGACCCCGCCTTAGCGCCGGAGTTCAGGTGGGTCTATTTCCCAATGTGGTAGTCGCGGGAAGCACACGAGGTACGTACCCGGTGGAAGGAGGCAGCCCCGTCTCGGAGGAGGCGGGCGGTTGTTAAGGAAATAGGCAAGTGTGATTCTCCGGCCAAGGTCTTTTTCTCCGTAAATTCGATTGTTTAGTAATACCGTCCCACGACGACGACGGACGTACCACACGGATCAGGATCAGGAAGCCTTGGCCTTCCAAGGTTGGCGCAAATGGAACGCTGCGAAACAATGAAACATAATGACGTCGACGCCTGCCCAGACGTATAAACCTCCATCCTTCTCCTTCTCCTCGGTGAAATGATAAGCTCGACCTGTATCTCAACATCCCCTCTCCAACTCACAGACGCCTCAAATCAACACCACCACGTTGCCCACATTTGACCAACCAGCAAGCATGGCTCCTATCCGCGTCGGCATCATCGGCCTCAGGGCAGGCTACGTAGACAAGGGAATCATGGGCAACCTGGGCCACTGGGCCTTCATAGGGCATCTGCGCTCCATCCAAGCGATGCCAGGGGACTACGAGATCGTCGCAGTGTGCAACTCGACGGTCGAATCCGCCCAGAAAGCCATCGACGGCTACGGGCTGCCCGCCAAGGCCTACGGTGGCCCCGACGACATCGCGAAGGACCCGCGCGTCGAACTGGTCGTTGTCGCCGTCAACGTGGAGAAGCACTTCGAGCTGGCCAAGCCCGCCATCGAGAACAAGAAGGACGTCTTTGTCGAGTGGCCGCTGGGAGCTACCCTGAAGCAGTCTGAAGAGCTGACCAGGATGGCGGCCAGCGCGGGCGTCAAGACCATGGTCGGTGTCCAGGCGCGGGCAGACCCCATGGTCGTCAAGCTGAAGGAGATCCTGGCCTCGGGGAAGATCGGCCGCGTCGTCAGCACCTCCGTCGTCATCAACTCAAGCTTCGCCCCCATGGACGCATGGGTCGAAGGAGCCGAGTACTACTTGGGTATCGAATCTGGCGGCAACGAGTACTCCATCGGCTTCGGCCACTGTAAGTCAGCAGCACGAGTGAAATGGCGGTAAACTCATGCTAATAGCAGCTTGCTAGTCTTGGATACCTTCGTCCATGTTCTGGGCGACTTTGCCGATCTGCAAGCCATGCTCAAAACCAACGTCACCAGCCTCCCCGTCATGAACGCAAAGGGCGAAGTCGTCAATCCTTCGCACGCCAAGACATCGCCGGACCACGCCTTCGTCCAAGGCACGCTCGAGAGCGGGGCAATGGCCTCGATCGCAGTCAGGAAGTCCCAGGCCGCCGTCGACGGCGTGGGTTTCCGCTGGTTCATCACCGGCACCGAGGGCGAGGTCGGGATCGTCACGGGGGAAACCATGTGGCAGTTCGCCGACCCGAAGAGGACGCTGCGACTGAAGGTCGGAAAGAACGAGGTCGAAGAGATCGAGTTCCTGGCCAAGGAGGACGAGCTTGAAGCCAAGGTCCCGTTTCCCGGCACGAACTCAGCTCGCCAGTACCAGGGCTTCGCCAAGGGGGATACCGAGACTTGCGCTACTTTTGAGTCGGCTCTGAAGACGCACCGCCTGCTGGATGGGATTCTTGTGTCTGCCGGCTGGAAATCGGTTTGAACATAGTGCAGACTACTGGTGCTGTTCTTGTGGTGCCCGCTCACATCGATAGAATGTACTTCGCTGATAAGCCCCGTTGTGAGCCTCCGTAGGAACTTCCTTCTACAGTGGTAATAGGTCGTTGAATAAGCATCGTAGTATGGGGATATAGGTCTGAAAACGCCATGTTTCTTCCTCATTGCATACAGAGACATTTGGATATTCAGTATACCCGATTGACTACCTAAGGTATCTTCCGAGCTTACTCGGCAGCTCAGCTAACCACCTGAAAACAGCCGTGCCCCGATCACGTTCCTAGTCATCTTCACCACTGAAGCTATACTCTTCTGCCATGTCCTCCCAGTCACGGTCAGGGACTAGTATGCGCCCGTTTGTGAAGCCAATCAAGCGCTCCAGGTCCCAGAAATAATTCCAGTCGTGCACCAAAAGGAATCCCTCCCAAACATGCTTGTACCATTCGGTGTCAGCGCATGAGAATGTGTAGAAGGCATACTCAATGCCAATGTCCGACTTCTTCTTCGTGTAAGGAGCGCCAGGCCGGAGGACCCAATCGAAGGCCTCATAGCGCTCAACCAAGTTTATGTCTGATTGGCCGTGTGAAGGACATTGCCGGATGCGATCGATTTCGGAACGTATGCTCGTTTTGGTCGGTCGTTCGAGGATATCGAGCAGCTTGGGCAATCCCGCATTCAAGATGAATTCGTGCAACATGACGCGCTCGCAGGGCATCTCCTCTCTGGTTTGTTGTTTGTTTGTTTGTTTGTTTGTTTGTTTTGTATTTAACGTGGGGGGTAGCTCCTCAGTAGTGCAGACCACGCCTCCCAGAGCCTCTGCATCGCAGGGTTGTGGAGGTCTCAAGAAAATAAGTACAGTCAGTCCCGCTCACGGGCCCATCCCCGTTGTTGCGGCGGTATGACCTTGGGGTCATCTATCTGGTCCTTCAAGAACAGCTATCTATCGAGGATAGATTAATAAAAAGAATTTGCTCTTCTCCACGAATTTTGCCCATTCTGTGCTCCTCTCCCCTAAGTATTGTAAATAGGCTGTCCTAGACAAGTACCTAGGCAACAACCGATTTTTTCCTAGCCTCTTACAAAAGAAAATATATTGTGGTGTTTTCTTTTTACCATAGCTGCAATGGTTGTTCGAGTCTGTATGCCCAAAGCGTTCGTGGTATCTGGCAAAGTCGCCATGTCCAGATCTGGCCGCTAGAAGTCTGTGTAGAGTGCTCCTTTTAAAGGATATAAGGCCTTTTTCAGTTATTGTATGTGAGTATACTTCTTGATACCTAGGTTCTGATTGGTCTTTTCACCATTGGTTGAACTCTTTCTTGCCCTTTCTCTTAAAATCTCTCTTGACCTAAGAGATTATAGGAAGGTTTATTGTGTCTGTTTCTAGCATAGCACCCTCTTTTGCTAATATATTGGCAGCTTTGTTACCATTAATATCTCTGTGTCCAGGAATCCATTTGACGGTCACTCCAGGAGTGTGTGCTGTGGCGAGTTCTTGGAATCGCAGAAAACTTTTCTGTGATGTCTCGGGTGGAGTCCCATTGAGCCCATCCACCACTGATGTATTGTCCAGGCAGACATATAGCTGTTTTCCGTGTCCAATTGCCCTGGCTGCTGCAAGACCTTGGAGAGCACCATGGACTTCAGCATCCATTACTTCTGCTTGTAGAAGTCTGCCCCTTCCCCGGTATACTTCTTGTGTAGTGCCGCCTTTCCTGATGGTATAGCCCCATCTAGTGCGGGTTGTGCCTTGGTCGTCCAATTATAATCCATCTGAATAGATAACAAGGTCAGTATTCGCATTTCTTTCCTGTAGCTATTGCTTGAAGAGCTTTATTTTTTTATTTTTGTTTTTACGGACTGGGGGCTTCTTCCATAATGGCTTGGTGAGTATTGGTCTCTGGAAGTCAGGGACTAATTAGAAGCTCTTTTATAGCCTTGTTGGTTCTTTGCGAGCTTGTATTTGGAGCCTGCCAACAAGAGGGTGTCTCTGATCTACTCGTCCGAGTCAGAGGCCGTGACGTCTTCTTATTGACTCTGCAAGAATTCCTGCTGGAGGAATCTGTGATTCAAAGTATAGGATATGTCCAGGGTGTGTTTTCCAGACTGGCAAGATAGCTCTGATTGCCGTTCGTAGTACAGCATCTATCGTTTTAAGAAGCCCTTTAATGCGACATGCTGATGTCCCACCTAAGCTCCTAATTTTTTCTATTCCTGGGTACCAGGCCTCCAGGCCATGTGTAAGAATAGGAATAACACAAGTTTTCACAGCCTTCTTGGTTGATTTTACTGGAAGTCCTTTGACTGTGTTGCATAGTCCTTAAAGGTGGTTTGCTACCCTATTAACTTTCTTGGCCCAGTAAGAAACGTGATCTTTGAAGTTCAGTTTTTTATCCAGGAAGATACCCAGCCATCGCATGGAGTTCTTTGCTGTTCTGTTTATTGTCCTGTGGCGGACCGGAGGATTGTCTGAGTTCTTTTTCCGTGAGAAGTGCATGATCTTAGTTTTGTCGGGGTCAAACTCAATAGCATTATTGTGTCCCCATTGGTTGAGTAAATGAAGGTTTTCAGAAGCCTCTGTAGCTGTTTCCTTAAGGTTCTTTCCAATACAGAGAGTCGCTAGGTCGTCTGTATATCCAAAGCGTCTCCTTTTCATACCGAGTCGGGCACAGATTGGCTCTGTATACAGCATATAAAGGATTAGAGAAGCTGGTGAGCCTTGTGGTAGCCCACAAGTGAGAGCTTTTATGTCGGTCACAATACCTTCAAACCGAACTCTTGCGGACCGTTCAGACATGAATGACTGGACCCATCTTATGAGAAAGTCTGGCCAGCCCTGTTCTCTCATGCGAACCACCAGCCGTCCCATTAGGGCAGCGTCGAAGGCCCCTGTCACATCTGTTATGACTACCGTTGCAATAAGGCCTTGGTCAAGGGCCTGCTCAATATCGTGTATGAGTGCAGCTACCAAGTCGGCGGCAGAGCGCTTTGGCAGAGCTCCAAAATGTTGTGGAGCTAGAATTCCGAGTTTAATGACAAACCAGGCAATTCTTTTTGCAATGAGTCATTCTAGGCCTTTGCCAAGACATGATAATAGCGATATTGGTCTGTAGGCCCTGGGGTTAGAGTAGTCTTTCTTGCCTGGCTTTGGGATCATCACCACCTCAGCTACTTTGAATGGTTTAGGGTGGTGTCTAATCTGTAGACAGGTCTGGAAAAGGGCTCTGATATGCTCCCCAATGACTGGCCAGCAAGCTTTCAGAATCCGTACTGTGAGGGTGTCTACTCCTGGGGAGTTGCTCTTGGTCCCTATAGTGCACCCTTCAGCCTCTTCTAGTCCGATATGGTATTTAAGGGGGATGTGTGGCTTGGCTTGTGTGATCTGAGCAGACCAGGGGTCGATGATATCGTTGTCTGGGGTACTTCGTTCAAGCGTGGTTAAGCGTAGTGCATTTGCCTTGCTCTCTTGTGACTCAAAGATTTGGTCCCCTATGATGATTGGGGGGGAACACAATCCTGCTGACAGCTTGTGCCAGGAAACAATTCTGTACAGATCTTTTGGTTCAGTCGCTGAATCAATTAGAGTCTGCCAGTACTCTCTCTTAGCTTTTCGGACCACACAGCGAAATTCCTGTCGGGCTGAATTTCGCCCTTCTTGGCTTATGATTTGTTTAGAAAGGGCCCTGTATGTCTGAATAGCTGCTTTGCAGTCATCATTCCACCAAGCAGTGGGCCTAGATTGACGGGGCTTTTTGCCCACTGTCCTGATACAGCCTTGAATCATATTGATCAAGCTTTGTGTAAAGGTATCCACCTGGCCAGGGGATACACCTAGCCGGGGGAGTTCATGAATCCTGGTTTGGACATTGTCTGCCAGCTCTTGTAGTTTATCGTCCGGTACTATCCAATGATTAGTCTTAGGAACTCGGTCCCGATCTTCCTGAATTGGAATGACTATTCGTAATGTCTCATGATCTGAGGTGCACTGAAGTGCATCATTGACTGAGACTTCAGCCATGGGGACATCTGAGAACACCAGATCCAGTACATTTCCATCGTCATGTGTTGGGACATCTGGTTCAGAAATCAGATCCAGTCCGTGGTCTGCCATAGTCTGTGCCAGTATGACGCCACCGTGATATCCTGGATTGCTCGAGTCCCAGGATATATCGCCAGCATTAAAATCTCCAGCTATAACACAGCCAAAAGATGGATTCCATACTTCCAGAATATCATCCACTTCCTGTGGGTTGTCACATGGCCGGTAGACACTGGCAAATGTGATGCCATGTACCTTGACCCAGGTGATGTCTCGTGTAGCATAGGGCCGAAGTTGATCCGCTTGAAGGTGTTTTCTCACATAGATGAGAGATCTGGGCCGTGTACTGTCGCTGTCCCAGGAATCCACTGGGGAGTATATATTGTAATTGGGGTGTGTCTTTACTCCCATTCTCCTGCCTGGTGGTATGCCAACCCAGGGCTCTTGCATCAGAATGATGTCTGCTTGTTCTCCTTTGTAGTCAGCCAGGTTGATCGCTAACTCTGTAGGGCCTGCACTCTTTTGTCCTCCTGTTGTGTTCACAGAATGGATGACTAGATGCCCGTGTCGATATATTTCGTTTGGTGTACCTAACATTGACTGACAACAATGGTATCGGCATCTCTGGGATGAGTTATATCTGTTATGTCGATTTGCATTGTGATGTCTCTGTTATTATTGCTGGGTGTTGGCCCAGCTTGGTTTCTGACTGCTTCATTGAGGGCCTTGGATCTGGCTCTTTCTCTGGCTAGCCTTATTTCTTGGATTTGCTCCCATGTGTGCTTATGGATGGTACCTTTCATAACCTTAGGGCGAGCAGGGCATTTATTGAAGTCGGCAGCATGAGGTCCTTTGCAGTTGACACATTTTGGGATTGGTTTTTCGCACTCTGCCTGGTGTACTGTGTTGGCGCAGTGTGCACATACTTGCTTTTCGCATTGGTAATTTCTACCATGGTATCTGAAGCAGCTTGCACACTGATGAACCTTGGGGGTGTATTGAATATGCCTTGAGGTCATTAAGTGGGCAAAAAGCGTGAATGGTTTCTTTACTGCACTGGGCAGAGAGATTATCCACGTGGTTTCTGGATCAGAATTAATCGTGTTCTTTGAGAGTATGCACCTCAAAGATCTGTTGCCTGTTTGAGCTTCAACTTCATCGGCAACAGCAGTGTCGGTAATATCGATTGTGAACCCTTCTGCACTGATGACCTTTCTTGGGCATCCATCGACCTTGTAATGGTGCCAGACTGTGTGGGTCTCAATCTTTTGTGCCTTAAGAATGTCGGCAATTTCTTCTTGGGAAGTCAGAAGCTTAGCCTGAGTTGGCTTGTCCCTTGGGTGTAAGGTAAAACCAGAAGAACAACATGTCACTTCTCTAAGCTCCTGAGGGTGGAGCTTAAGTCTTCTGTTTAGTGTAGACTTGATTCTATAAGGCTCAAGGTGGCTATTATCCATGCGGACAAAGACCCAGAGATCATCCTGCTTCCTCTTCAAGTGGTTGATAGTGATAAGGGCACTAGGCTGTGTTTTCTTCATGGTAGTGTTGACTGTCCATGGATGCTGTCGTTGGCCAGAGGAGACAGCTTGGGCGAAGGTCATGGTGGGCTTCCCTATTTCTATCCCACCAGAAGTGGCCTTTCTTGTGGTCAGATCTCGGGTTTCCAGCCACTCATTCAGACATCTGGAGAAGAAAGCGCTGAATTCCTTGGCATGAGAGTATAATTCGGTTCTAACTTTCTCAAGTGTCTTATCAACTGCTGTAGCACACTCCTGAAACATTGTTATCCTGGCTTCATAGAGATGCTTGTCTTTAGTCAGTATTTTGGCAACTTGGTCCTGGCATTCTGAAGAGGAGATTTTGTTCCCTGCATCACCTCCAATGACTTGGTCTGTAAGGATTTCGCTTGACTGAGGTGATTTCATATCAATGGTGCTGCTATTAATGATATTTCGGGATTTTCCTTTCAGAGGGGAAACAGTGGTGAAGTCAGCCTCAGAGACCTGTGACGGGCTGCTGTTGATGTCATCGAGCAGTGCCTGGCGGAGCCTGCTTGGGGTTGCCGGGTCATGTGTTCTTTTAGGGACTGGGGATTTGAACACGCCGCCAGTAGTCGTCTTTGGGACGGCCACTGGCGTATTTGGGGGCCTGTCGTGAAAGGGTGCCATCCAGCTTGTGAGGAAAAATTTCTGCGCCTTGGCAAGGATAGTCAGGTACTGAGACAAATGCCTGCTTTAGTGCAGATATAGAGGTTGCGCCCTAACAGCGGGGCGCCAAGAAAAATAGTTGTTTTTGGCAAGAGTGTGTGCATCTCCTCTCTGGGATCGGCTTCTTCACCGGGGCAACTGCCAGTGGGACAAGGGCCGAGTCGAGGTCCTTGATCACACTCTGAATCGGTTAGCGCCTGGCGTGGTAAAAGGGGCTTTCCTAGATGCTCTTACTGTGTACACAAATGTCGAGGAGCTCCTCCTTCAGTTTGCTGAGCTGAAAGAGCTCTAAGGAGTTGAAGTGGCTCAAGAGCTCCAACCAGCAGGGCGAGTTATCCCACTGACAATGGACGATGGGGAGGAGGACAGATTGGGTTTGGAAAAGATAAAGCGCCCGGTGGAAACGCTCTTTCTCGGTACGTGAGGCTGGACCTGTGAATGGCGCCTGGTGTGGGTAATGGAGTTGCACCCATCCCAGCATGTGTCTCTGTATCTCCACGCCTATCTTCTGCACGACGTGATGCATCTCAGAGATGCGTAGCAGAAGGTCTCCCGGGAATGAAGATGGCAAGGGCTTGTACTTCGGCCCATCTTTCTTCTTGAAGTTCGGCTCCTGTGCTTCAATGAAGTCCGCCACGCTCTTGGGGCAATCAACCGGCACGCATTCGCACTCGATAGCCATCAGAGCCAAGCGCAGAACTAGAACGATATTAGCTGTTAGATCAATAGAAACGTGTCCTTGGTAGTAAATCATCACGTACCGGAAGAATCCATGTCGTTGAGACGAACACACGCCAGGATGAAAGTAGGAGACTCGCAGAAAGCATCACTCATCGCATGGCAGGAGACGATGGCAGACTTGAGCGACTCGGTGTCCGGAAGATGAGAAAGTACCATTTGGAGAAGCTCCGTCGGCTGACGCTCCAGAGCGCTCAGACGATGGGTCCCAGTAGGTACTAAAGGCGGCATCGTGTCAGCAACGAGTTGCATCCGGTCGGCAACAAGGTTCGTTGTATCGGCAATGAGTTGCGCCTGTCGCCGCTTCGCTGCGGACCGTGTTACGGGACCAAGATAGTCTTCTCGCTCTTGGGCTTTGGACGACGTTAGACTCGGCGAGATAATGCGAGGTGTAGCAGGAATCGCAGGCTGACCGTGAGGAGACATGTTCGGTGTATTGTGTTGGCAACGAGGTGAAGCAGTGAAGTGGTGAACATGAAAGGTGCTGCGTAGAGGTCTGAAGAGACAGACCAACGCAGAAGACGTGAAAGGAAACGAAGTTGACTTCGCACATGTGTGCTAGTAAAGGTGAAGGGTTTTCCGGGTGCCTGATCAAAAATATTTGGTCCTATATTGGGGGTTTGTGGTCCGTGCGCTGGAAAAGGGGAGCTGTGCACAGTGTAGACCTCGTGGCGCTACCTAGAACCTACAGCGTATTATGGCGCCAGTGGAAGTCACTGGCTGACTTTATACTGTGTGCAGTCCATGCAGCGTGATTATACATACAGTACGCGTTTCTTGGGACTTCCAGGGCTATAACCCGGCGTCTATCTAGCGTCGCTGTATGGTTGATGGAAGCCCTTTTCAGCAGAGAACCTTAGGCAGGTACAAACAACGACCTGTTGGCAAATGGAAGCCACAGGGTCACCATGAAATATTTACTTCGTCGTCAAAGGAATCTAGAATTGGCTCGGTTGTCATCTCAGCCCGTCCACCGGCTTGGTTCTTGGGCCGGAGAAATGCGATTGACTGCAGTAGATTGGAGCGTCAATATCTGTCGGCTTTCAACAGCATTCCATTCTTTGATATTAGGATACCCAGGTTCGACTGTAAGGGCTCCGGAAAAGTTAATCGATTACCATCAGTTTTCTCCGCATCGCGCTTCGACGACCACCCCCCACAGCGAACTTAGTGGCCTTGCGGTAAAGAACAACCGATATCAGAAGACTGGCCAGGGCTTGCCTTTACATACTACCGTACTTCTAGTCCAAAGTTACATTGGATACGGTTGCATGCGCTTGGTTGGGACTGTTGCATATGGTCCTTTCCTGCGCAGTTGTCCGTACTCTCATCTGTATTGAACCTCTCGAGTAAAATCAAGTACTTACCACTGATTGATGCTGGGCACGCTTGGCTGGTGTATTCGGGGAAAGACGGCCACCTGCGCCGGTGCAGTTCCAGTCGGGGTTGACGACGAGGAGCTTGCCGTAAGCTTCGTCCAAAGTCGCGCCTACAAATTGGCGGACGGCCTGGTTGTGGAACGCTGGGGTCTCAATGGTGATGGGCATCCACCTGGTCCCAAGACTTCCTTTCGTGGTGCTGGCGAAGGCTCCTGCTATCACAGGGGGTGACAGGGTCACGAAGGAGCTGGATAAGAGAATGATTTTGATATGCAAATGAGCTGGAGTTGAATAGACCGAGCTTGAACTAGAAGGTCTGAACATGCGACGAGCGGGCGTCGCTATATCTATAGGCAAACGCGGGTCGTCTCCTTCGAGCCTTCAAGCCCTGGTGAAGTCATTCAGGCGCTCGAATATCTTCCTGACTCGCTCGTACGAATCATCCAGAGTTTCGAACCACGTTGGCGCCCTCTGGCGGCACATCGGCGTCCCCAAGTTCTTGAAGCCTCAAAGAAGGGAACATGCTCATCAGTGGCCCTTGCTTGTGTTCTAGACTCAAAAGGATGTGGAAAATCAACGGAAATAGACTCTGGCGATTCCCTACGTTGTAATATGTCGCAGCTTCGCTGGTAGATAGACCCTTGCGCCACCTACCGAAATCGGCATCTAGTGATGTCTGATAGCGTTATGTCAACAAATTATAACGACTCCTGCTAGACAGAGAAGCCGATAATGGGTACACTCTCGCAGAGGGTTTGAGAGATTGATTGACAATATCAGAGCTTCCCCCTTTCCCAGCCCTTCCCCGATCTCTCTGATCGAGCGCACCAACAGATACGTTACAGTAGGTATTTTACCTACTTCGATGACCTAATTCCTACCCTGAGCACATGCACCCGAGAATGACGGCCCTTGGGCTCAGTGGTACTGCTCGTGCCACACCCATTCCAGGCTGATGCCCCTTGTTGCCGCCAGAGCCTGGAGTTCGCCCAAGCGCGGTTGGACATCACCCCGCAACTCCCTTGAGATTCCAGACATATCTTCTTCAGACACGGTACCCTCGTTGCTTCAATGTGCAAATCGCCTGCAATGTATGGCTCCCCGACTTCCATAATGAGGGCTTCGATAGGACGGAATTCCAACTCGTCGAATGTTATCAGTTCCATGGTAACATAATTCATTCCGAACATATCATCATACCTCAAGGTGATCTCCTGTATCGTAGACGGCACCATATGAGAGATGGGCGGGGGCGGCGGCTTCTTGCAGCCACGACGATCGAGGGCCCAGCCGACGAAGTCTGTGATGAGGAATGCAGCCTTCTTCAATTGCCCGAATTCTCGCAGATCTACCGTCCCGAGTACATTGTCCAGCCGCGTTCGGACGGTTGATTCGACGTCATCATCATCATCATCGTTATCGTCATCATCTTCGTGGTCGTCCTCCCAGGCGTCAACAAAGCCGTGACCGATTTCTCGCCATTCATTGTAGTCTTTTGGATGCCTGTATACTCGATGGCCTGAAGTGTTGACTTGCAGAGTGCAAGTGCTCCAACGAAGAGGCTCGGGTCAAGCATGGCCGGATAGGCCAAGTGGCTATTGGGGTCGTTCAAGCTAAGTCCGTTCGCGACCTCGTATGTTATCGATCGAAGTTTTGGGAATCGGCGCAATGCTTCACTCAAGTCTCCAAAGAAAGCGCCAGAATCTTTGATACGCAGGTCCTCGACTGAGGAAAGTACTGCGTTGCCTTGCTGAACAGCACCGTCCAGACCACCGGCGATTCTTTCGAGCGTGAGAGATCGGAGCCGCGGCAGGCCTCAGAACGGCTCCACGTCTCGCCAATTGCACCACTGCACCGGGGGACAATTGGTTTCTATCGTGCCCGGCTCTTCAAATGGGTTACACATCACTAGCTCTTTCAGATTAAAGAGGGAGGCTGGCATTTCGAGCTGGCCGCGGTATGTCGGCAAGCCAGAGTGTTCGCTTCTGAGAGCGGCCGGTAGTCTGAGAGCTTGTATCAACATGGGACATCTCAAGTACCCCTCTGTTCCGCTTTCACTTTCGTCCCATATTGGATCGAGTTTTATCCTTAGGAACTCGAGCTTCGGCAAAACGAACAGCAGAATGGCTGCCATGTCCTCCGGGTTTCTGGCATGATTTTCGAACATAACATTCTGTGGATCCTGCACCAGAATGTTTGCTCCCCCATGACCGATGTACATATGTATGCTCGCTGTGACCTGGGCGACCGCGTCGGCAGTCTTGTTTAGAGCAAAGAGGGACAATATCTCCCGCAAACAGTGGGCGTAGTTCCACTGAGTCTTGGACACTTTCCGACGTCTATCAGGGTCTGCCTTGTTTGGATCATCTGTGCCGCGAAGTCGGAACTCGAAGCTGAGGCTGTTGACCAGCAGCCTTGTCGTCAGGTCGCTCACGATAGTTTGGGCGAAGCCCGTGATTTCACGGTCAAAGATGCGTACTTGCTCGTATAGCATGGGTTTTGCGAGGTGATTGAAGAATCTGGAAGCCCGACAGGCAGATGCTAGAGTTCTGCGGTTCCTGGCATACATGAACGGTGAACGAGAGCCTGCCACTTTTCCCCCGTTCAACATCTCCTCGGAAAAGTAGCCAAAGATGCTAAGGATAATTTCGGTGGGCAATGACGGGACCTGCGTGTCGTTGTCGTTGTCTTTGGAGCCCCGTCGATCTCAAGGTTTGACACGGGGATGCGCGAAGCATTAGCGGGCATGTGGCCCCTCGATGATACCATGTTTGCCACAGCTACTGTTTATTAGTGAAGTTGAGGACGAAGCTCAAAGTCAGTGGCATCTATTCGCGGACTGATGAGGTTGAGGGGATTGAAGGGGCTGGGTTGAGGGGCCGTCGAGATTGATGAGAGATCTTGATGGATGTCAAGATTGAAGAGACCGGTACTCGCTTGGCCCAAAGGTGACGTCGTCAGTAAACAGGAGAATCACGGTGGCGGCGAAGTAGAGTAACGGTGATGGAAGGTGGTGTGTTCGGGAGATGTAACAGGCCTGACACCCTCCTTTCCATTCGCTGCTAGCCTTTAAAGGGGTAGCCCCGCCAAGATTTGCATTTTAGGTGGCCCAAGCTTCTCCACCACAGCCACCCCTGTCTCGGCGATAGGTGCGTGCCCGTACTGTAGCTAACGACCTGCATCATACCTAGGATTCGCTACCTTACAGCCATAGCCATAGCCATCGTCATCCGCGCTCGACTTAACCAGCTACCACTGCCGCCATATACATATTCGCCCGCTCGTCTTCCCCTACCCATTTGTCGACTTCGTACGGCGTGGAACGGTGATCCAAAATGGCGCCGCGCATCGAAGCTCAGGAGATCGACACATACTGGAACATCTTCACAACGCGGACCAATGGCGGCACGCACTTGACGGGCGAGCAAGCGGCGCCCCTACTGAAGAACAGTGGCCTGCGGGACGACCAGCTCGAGCGGGTGTGGGACATCGCGGACGTCGACAATGACGGAAACCTGGACTTTGAGGAGTTCTGCGTGGCCATGCGCATTATCTTCGACATCGTCAACGGGGTGCGTTGCGCGCTCTTTCGCAAATGTACATATGCCGGATCAGGTCTTCTAACATGCGAATAGGAGTACAACGACGTCCCGGCGACACTACCAGACTGGCTCGTGCCAGAATCGAAAGCCCATCTCGTACAAGCGAGCCGAGCCCTTACGGGTAAACAAGTACAGTTTGAGCAAGTGGACGACGACTCCGATACACCCGGGCTAAAGGATGGGTTCGATTGGTATATGAGCAAGGATGACAAGGCGAAATACGAGTCGATATACCAGGAGAACAGAGACATGCGGGGCGAGATAGCATGTGAGTATACTCCTACCTCAAGCAGTCACGCTCGGCTCTGTACATAGTCCTGACCAAGCATTCCACAGTCAACGCGCTCGAAGACTTGTACGAATCGCTCGACGTGCCCGATACCGATATCCGATCAGCGTGGAACCTGATCAACCCATCCGCCTCCTCTTCCATCAATAAAGACGCCTGTCTGGCCTTCCTGCACATCCTCAACAATAGACACGAGGGGTTCCGGATCCCACGGACGGTGCCCGCCTCCCTGCGCTCGTCGTTCGAGCGGAACCAGATCGACTACCAGGTCGACAGCAAGCGCAACGCAGCCGCGGCCTCGCGATGGGCAGCCAAGGCCGACGACACAACATCAACAGGCCGCAAGGCCAAGTTCGGCGACCAGTACCTGACGCGGCTGGGGCGCAGCGGGTTCAAGGCGGCCGGCACGGACTTCAGCTCGGCGCAGACGGACGCCGAGTGGGAGGAGGTGCGGCTCAAGAAGCAGCTGGCGGAGCTCGAGGCCAAGATGGACAAGGTCGAGACGGAGGCGGAACGGCGCCGCGGCGGCGCCAAGCGCGACAGCAAGCCCGCGCTCGTGAAACGCGAGCTGGAGCAGCTGCTCGACTACAAGCGCAAGGAGCTGCGGGAGCTGGAGGAGGGCAATGGCAAGGCCAAGGTGGGTGGGAATCTGAGGGGCGTCTCGGAAGACCTGCAGACCGTAAAGGAGCAGGTCGATGGGCTGGAGACGCATCTTAGTTCGCGGATGCAGATCCTTGAGCAGTTGAGGAGGGAGATTGAGGACGAGAAGACGGGGAGGTGAGAAAGGGTATAGGATAGTACGTTGGTCGCGTAGAGGTAGACGGCTGGGTATGTTAGTTGTAATGACAAATTGCATCAAGATCTCCCCAAGACGATCTCAGGCGGGGTGATCGTTTTCTGTCAAACAGAAAGTATCATTCTCTGGCGTTAAAGCCGAGAGTCAAATCCATTGCGTAGCAGGGTATCTCAGGGTATTATCAACCTCGTCGTCCCCCTTTTTACACACTCACTCCCGAAAACAGCATGCCATCGCCCGCTCTTTCAACCAGCACACAACGTACCTACACTGGGTCATAAACCTGTATCTAGTGCCTCCCCATCTCCCGAACCCCTCCAAAGGACGCTTTAAAACTGTGTCCCATCAACATAAGCCGGCAGGTGCTGGATCCCCAGCGTCTTGCCCTTGATGTAATACACCATGAAGGAGAACATCTTGACCGGGCCCATGCGGCCGCACCCGCGGCTGCGGCCCGTCGCCAGTGCGAGCACGTCCATGGGCAGCGTCTTGACGACGGACGGCGCCTTGCCGCGCAGCGCGGCGTCGACGTTCTTGGCTACGCCGGCGGCCTGGAAACGTTTGTATTGTGTCAGCACTCACTCCGCACGTCGTGCATGAGACAAGACATCTAAACAGACAGACACATTTCCGGGTTGTGTTAGGTAAGGTAGGGGGGGAAGAGGAGAACAAGTCATCTCACCTGCTTATCCGTAAGCACAAAGCTCCCGCGCGGCTTCCACACAATATCGCCGGCGGCCCACACGCCCTCGGCGTTCTTGACGCGGTAGAACTCGTCGACATCGACGAATTTTTGCTTTGACAGCAGCGCCGCGGGGAGGTACTCGGTGTTGGGCGCCATGCCCATGGTGGGCAGGTACAGGTCCGTGACGACCGTGTCGCCGTTCTCCAGCACGACCTCGGTCTTGCCGCTGCCGTCGGGCAGCTCGTGCGTGCGCGCGACGCGCGCGCTGGGCCGGATCTGCACGCCTAGCTTGTGCAGTTCTGACGTGGCGTTGGGCGCTAGGCTGTCGCCGTCGAGGACCTGCTCGTGGGCGGATAGGAGGATGATCTCCTTTTTGTCGTTGCCCTGGGCGTACTCGAAGGCCAGCTCGGCGGCGACCTCTACGCCCGTCGCACCCGCGCCGGCGACCACGATGTGCTTTGCTGCTTTCACCTTGGCCTGCGTCTGCGCCATCAGCGACGAGATCTCATCGCGCGTGCCGTTGTTCTTCCACGGCACGGCAGTGTCGACGCAGCGCGTGCCCGTCGCCAGCACCAGGTGGTCGTAGGTCAGCTCGCGCTGCTCGGCGCCGCTGGTGGTTGAGACGCGCACGGTTTTGGCCGTTGGGTCCACGGCCTCGGCGCTGCCGACGATGAACTCGAAGGCGTCGTCGGGATACTTGGCGAAGCCCTCGGCAATCGAGCGCGAGTACTGTTCCTCTTTCAGCACGCCCGGCACGATGGCCCGGACGGAGGCGAGGTTCCAGAAGAAGTGGCTATTCTGCGGGTGCCGCGATGGGCGGGTCAGTTTCATCTTCGTATAGGTAGGTAGGTATGAGTGGTCTTGTTTGATGCCCGGGTAGGTGTCTTTTTCTTTGCCATTGCATTCCACTTGTGAGGTATGTGCGTAGGCGTTCATGAAATCTCACGTAAGTTTCGCATGAGACTTCTCACAGCTGCTGAGACCTCATTGAGTCCTTACCTTGGAAACGAGAATGACCTTCAGATCCTCAACCTGCGGCTTCGTGTACTTTAGAAGTCTGTGAGCGACCTGTAGGCCGGCAAAGGCACCGCCCAAAATCACGACTGTCTTCGTCATAATGCTGTCGTTGTCCTACTAAGACTGTGGTAGTGGTTGGCGAAGTCCGGTTGGTGTTGATGAGAACAACACTGGCGAGACCAGATAGTGAGTGGCGTGATGTCGTAGAGAAAGGGCTACGGCGTCAATATAAAATGGATATTGGGTGGTTATAGGGTGGATATAGGGAGCACAGTAGAAAGAGTAAAAGGTCGCAGGCTGGGTGGCTGATGTTTCGTTTTATATCTGAATCAGTTCCGTCCGTGTGTCACGTATCACGGATCGTAGTGGACATAGCTCGAGGGAGGAACGGACCCTTACATTATTTCACCTAGCAACACCGGAGCCCCACCCGAGCTGATGGGCTGTGAATTCGGGACGGCTCACTGCTTTGTGGGTTGCTTATTAGTTCTTAGAGATGAGATGAATTTGTGATGATTAGGAATACTAGAAAGTTCCGCGATGAGGGACCTTCATCGCTAGTCTTTCGACGTCAGACGGAGGATCGTGGGCCACGCCGCTTAGGTATGATCGTTAATCTCTACCTAGGTAGTCTGGTGAGTAGGGACCCTTGGCTTTGTCCTCGAGAATGCTGACCAAGCTGCAATTAGGTTCTGGAAAGCAATGTCAGCTCGAGGTGAGACGCAGCCACGAGTAGAGTCGGGGGGGTCGGGGTCGGGACGTTCCCGGGCCCTTTTTAGAATGCCCAGGATTCGATAGTGCGATTCTGGAAATGCCTTGATACGCAAGCCGTAAGCCCGATACTTCGGTCCCGACGAAGACGGACTCCGTGCCTCGGACTACGAGGTATTGAATTGATTCTCCCGAGCGGGAGAGTCCCTATTCGTAATTGAGGGGTGATCCTGCTTCATCATTGGACGGGTCCGCAACCTTACTCATCGGAATATCAACTTGAAGCCAGGAATGTCGTCGCTTTCATCGACGCTAATTTCTGCCATTCGAGCCTCGTTCTTCTTATATAAGAGAGAAGTTTATGTTGAAAATGTCCTCCCACAGTTCCCCCTATGCGAGCACCTCGAACAACCACTTGGCATCCACGGGCGACAAGCACTACCGGTACATGTTCTCGACATTGAATTGTACCGAAGTGGCTGGCAATGGACTGTGGGTTTGTCCCACGAGAGCCAGCAGATGCAAACAGCCATGCCTTTCGGGACTCGACAACGCCCAGTATGCCTCTGGACATGGAGGCAGTGACAAGCAAGTATGTAAATGATCAGAGCGGAGTTTCTGTATGAGTCGAGACGCCGTGAAACGATTGAAGCTGCCCCGCGCCGTGACCCGTGGAGGGCCACCGGGGTTAACTTGAATCCGATCCGTCAATCCATGAATCCCGAGGTCCACGTCCATCAGGTGGGATCGTGGACTCGGGGCAATCGCTGTGCTGACAAGTCACGACGGGCAGACGGGATGCCAGCTTACTAGCGATAGCGAATAGAGCGAGAACGATGCCAGCTCATTACCTAAGCGAAAGCGAGAAGGCAGGTCGGGCGGGCAGAATCAGCCAATAGGTAATGGGCAGATGTGTTCCTGTCACCCCGCCCCCTCAGCCCCTGACCATAAGCAGCTGGAGTCCCCGCCAGCCGAATTGGAACTCGACGCATGACGAACATCGCAACAAGAACCCCGCCAGAAACCCCGTCCCGACTCAAGTTCTCAACATAAATAACCGACTCTTCTGCATCCCGTCACCACCCCCGACCTCTAGTTGCCGCCACTCTTCTCTGCAATATAACCAAGCTAGAAGTAGCAACAACCGACCAGAAACGAAACCAATTCCCCCCGAAACAAGGAAGCTATCCGTCACCATGGTTGAGCTCAGCCCCGAATTCAAGACGGCCCAGTTGCACTCCAGACAGCTCGTCGCCAAGCCCGAGGACAAAGACCTGCTTGAGCTCTACGGTAGGATACAAACCTCAACCTGCCAGCATGCGCACAGTCGACTAACACTGGTTTCTCCCTGCAGGTCTCTTCAAGGTCTCCAACGCCGAGGACATCTCCAAGGCCGAGAAGCCTGGCATGTTCGACATGAAGGTACGCTCACAGCTCCATACGAGCCGATTCACCTCGTTCGTCTTATCAACACCCCGTAAAGAGCATGCAACAGCAGCTTGCTGTGACCACATAACCTCCAGCTATAATACAACAAGCCCGTCCCTTGGACCCCGCCACACGAACCATGAAAAACGTTTCGCTAACCTCTACTACCCCGAACATAGGGCAAGTTCAAGATGTCTGCCTGGCAGAAGATCGTCGACGAGGGCATCACCCCGGAGCAGGCGCAAGAGCGCTACGTCAAGAAGATCGAGGAGCTGAAGGGGAAGCACGGCTTCGACGAGAACAAGGCGGCAGAGCCCCTGGGTAGCCGTGCTTAGAGGGCCCACCGCCGCCATGGCATTCCCCTCTCTCTCCTTGCGTCTCCTATATCTGCAGCCACCATCCTTGTTGGCCGTTCTCGCCCCCGAAAACCTGACAAACCCGCTCACCACCCTAGCGTTCGTCCCTCTGCTCCCAAACACCACTTGGGCAAGGGGTGGTGGCATAGGCATATATTTCATGATCTGGCGAGTTCGGAAGCCAGAGCGAAGGCCCGCCAACAACGAAAGAACAATAAACGACAGATGAAGGCTAAATGAAAGGCCGATAAAAGACAGATAAAGGCTACCTCTCCTGCCCCTCGGTCACACAAGAAATATGCGTCGGTGGCGCCGGCGCCGATCATGATGATGACGATGGAAGCCGGCTGTGGTGCTGGCACCGGATGTTCTGGTGGAACTGGCTGCTAGACCTGTTAGGACTTCCTAATTTCACAAGCTGTATAGTTCCTGTGCCTGTGTTCTGTGCGTGGACTTCGAGGCGAAGAACGGTTACGGGAGAATATCGAGAGGGGTAGGATTGCCATGAGCATCGATTAGCCTAAACACAAATGGTAAACTTAACCCAAGAGGCAACCTGAATGCCAGTGTGACTCCTGGTGCTATGGTTACAACGATGATCTAGCCTTAGCCATAGAAGACATGGGAAAGCCATAGACCAGATCTCGTTCAAAATATCATGTCCGCTCCTGAACCAAACCAGTTGGCATGATGCCGGTCAGGCTACATTTGATTCGGCAAATGGGAATGCTATTAGGCCAGTCTGCCTCTACTAGTTTGTCTCTTCCCCTTGTTGGAACCACGTATATACAGAGTGATAGAGCAGAGTGACAGACCAGAGTGACAGACCAGAGTGACAGACCAGAGTGACAGACCAGAGTGACAGACCAGAAAGACAGACCAGAGTGACAGACCAGAGTTATAGCCCTTGACTGCAGTCCATCACTCGGCCCTCGGAATATGAGCAAAATCCGTTGGGCCTAGGGCTACAAAGCACATCATCAACATGCCATGGCAATGGGCTACTGATATGAATTGGAGCTTTTAAATAACTTCGACAACTCCCTGTGCGCACGCAAAACGGTCGGGCCTCGATGCAGATTTGCTATTAACGTAACAGCCTCCTTGACTATCGGTGCAAACCACTTCCCTCGAGACCCATCTGAGAAAGAGCTGATAGAGCAACTTTTAGATATTGGCGCCTCGCACGGCGCGCTCCGAAACCAATGTAGCAATTCCACGACGCCCGTAACTCCTACCACCCTCCCCAAACGCCGCCCTTCCAATCCGGCTCAGTGTAGCTCGCCGTAGCCACCCACGGGACCTCGGCATTTCCATACCGCTGCAAGGGCAGACTGTACGGGATGCGCAGACCGACCAGGGGCGTCTCGCTCTCGCCGTCGAAGTCGTCCTTGACGGGTATGTCCGTCTTGAACGTGCCGACCATCCGCGCCCTCGGGTCGTCCGTTAACAGCTCCGGCCAGACCAGGACGCCGATCTCCCACGAGGCGATGCGCACCTCGCCGGCCTTGTTGGTCGCCTCGCCCCAGGCCTGCTTGGAGATGTTGGCGGATGTGAGCAGCGCCCAGTCGATCGTCGAATTTTCGCCGTAGCGGATGTAGGTCTTGATGTGCGGCGCGCCGCGCTGGCGGCCTGCGTCTTTGGGTTCTGCTCCTTCTGGGGCAATGCCCTTCTCGCAGTCGTTCGCCCAGTGGTGGAATATAGGCCGCATGTACTGCAGCTGCTTGGCCTGGGCCGCCGACTGGATCTTCGTGTGTATCGAGCCGCCGGACGCGTACCCGTCCAGGGACCGCCGTATCTCGTCTGGGGTGGGGAACACAATCTTGAAGCTTGGTTTTGTGGGCTTGGACTTGGATGAGGATGATGCTGATAAGGCATCGAAGAGCGTGCGTTGCAGCCAAGCGTCGGTGCCGCCCAGAGTCGCTATAGAGGAGATTTGCACAACAATCTCGGACTTGCCATCCTGGACTGGGACTGATTTCACTGCTTGCTTCAGACCCTGCCACCCCCAGCGTGTCTTCTCCAGGTCCTGGTCCACATCGTGTTTGCCAGGTACACTAGCCACCAGTGCGCCGCGGACGGCACAGAAGTCGTATTTCGCAAGATTCTCCTGCGTGTACGTTAATATCTTGTCTCTAAACCTGTTTGGCTGAATTCTAGATGAAGAAGGAAAGGGAACCACAAAGCTTGTTCTCAAAACTAAGGATCAGGGTCTTGTGACGGGATGTTTATATACGTACCACCAGCGACTTGCAAACGTCGCGCCGTGTGTTGTAGGCTTGGAGGTAATTCAGCAGGTCGATTTTGAACCGATGCCCGCTCCCTACTCTCGTTGTGTCTATCTCCGGAGACCCCTGTGCGGCTTTGAGTTGCGGAAGTCGTGGAGACTGCCACACCCCGTTCGTCATGTTGGTCCAGTCCTTGGAGATCATATTGGCTGTGTGGATGATAATCTGGGCCGTATCATCGTGTCTGAGTAGAATCATCATCTTGGAGTGATGTGTGCCGAACATCTCCGGCATGAACGCCGTGTGTAGAGTGACATTCTTGCGTTGGCCGGCTTGCTCCTCTAGAGCTAGCATGTTGGGGTCTTCCCTCTTCCAAAAGCCATGGACAACGTGGACCTTGACGAGCGATCTGGTATCTTCGTCGAAGTGACTTATCAAGAAGTCCACATCGTGTAGGTAGTTGAACTCCCAGCACTCGGCGATAAGAGGGTCTCCGAGTAAGTCTTTGAGTGACACGGCTCCGACGTTGGACTCTGGAGGAAGGTCCGTGATTGTGGTAAGCCGGAACGGAGAAGGGAGAAGTCGACGTTCTTTGACAGTCTTTTCGACAGTCTTCTTTCGGGGAGGACTGATTGGGTGAGACAGAGAAGCTGGGGCTCGACTAGATGATGATGCCTTGCGATCACGACCTGCATCTCCGTCACTCAGGCGCCGGCGTTTTGCTGGAGGTTCCATCACCTTACGGGATCGGACTTGGACGGAGACGGCCTGGAAATACCGGAGTGCGGCGGAGCAGGTGCTGCCAGTGCGGATCCTATGGGGCGGGTCGCACAGTATGCAACGTGCCGAGCAGTGAGCAGTTAGGTCTCCAGATACACTCCGCAGATGGTCGATCGACAAACGGGCTGGCTGCTGATCTGGAGGCTTGTCGAGCGCGCCAACAGGTGATACGAAGTCGACAACCTTTGAAGCTAACCATATGGGCCAAGCTGTTGCCTAGCTGTCGTGCTCCTCCACGTGTATGAGTGTCGGCGTTTTGAAGACATTCGACTGTTGTCATAAAAGTCTTGACGGTGCACCTGGGCAGTTCGGACTGGACCCGACTGCCAACTACATGTGCATGTTGGACGATGCTCGTCAGCCACAGCGCCACAGCCAGAGCCAACCAGCCAACCCAGTCTGGAACATTACTGTGTTTATCACTGATCAGCCCCAGCGGTCGCTAGTGCCAGAGGCGCTGACCAGCCCCCGGTTCCTCGCAGCTGATTGTGGAGTCCTCCCCCCTAAAGCTGGCTTCGCTGGGCTGATCTGATTGGCTAAATGCGCCTGCACTGTGCACGCGCCCGTAGGACCACCTGCAGAGACGGTGCCAGCCTTGGCCCTTGACTGACTGGGTGCACTGTCCTTTGGCCCTGCATCTGACTCTCTGGACTCTGGCATTGGAAAAAGACAAATTTCATTCCGCCCATTCAATCCTCGTATCCTCCTACCATATCCAACCTACGGCGACACCGACGACAACCTCATCGAAGGCCCATTCGAGAGCTCTGTCGCTGCTTTCTATTCATCGCTGCTAGAGGGTGGCACACATTTAATCCTGCAGACCTTCTAGGTAGTAGTTCTGCATTCATTCCATTTTGCTTTCTGCTTTCGACTACCCCCGATGCGCTGCAGCCGGTGACGCGACACCTTCGCCTCGCCCTTGCCCCTTTCTCAACTCCCCACGAAACCGCGCCAGATCGCCGTCGCCCTCTACCGATCCACCCAAGCCGCCTCTCCCATATCGCTATCCTGGCTGATCCCTTCGTCCCCATCGCCACCGACATAGTCGCCAACACGCTCGTTACTTCTCTGCGATTACTCGCGATACCGCGGCCATGAGGCTCAGCTCTCTCGCGCTGTTTTTCAGCGCTGCCGCCCTGGGTACTGCGCAAGCATTGGGCGCAGACACGACAGATAGTGCAGCCCAGGAGAACACTTACTTCAATGGCAAGAGGGTGCCACCGTTACTCGAGTTGACTCAGGCCAACTTTGATAAAGAGATCAAGTCGCCAAAGTTCATGGTGGTGAAATATTACAAGTATGTCAGCCAGCTGCATCGAGGCGCCTATCCATCACCAGAAGGCTTCGTTTCCGCACCATGACTTTGCAAGAGTCGCTCGCTATGGAGATGTCTGACTACCTAATTGCTAACCGTTACCCAAGTCCCACTTGCCCTCATTGCATGGATTTCGCTCCGACGTATCAGACCCTGTACGAATACTACTACACATCCAATGGCCCTTCGGTCGACTCTGAATCAGCGACACCGACGACTTCTTTCGAGAAAGCTTTTGATATCCGCTTCGCCACGCTAAACTGCATTGCATACGGCGACATTTGCAACAAGCACAAGATTAAGTCGTATCCTCAGACCTCGCTCTTCAAGGATGGCGAAGTCGTCGACTATGTCGGGGGCGCAAAGAGTATGGCTATCGTGTCCAACATGATCGAGGCCGCCCTCGAGAAGGAGAGACCTGGTACGCGCCCCGCGGTACTCGATCTCCCTGAGCCCGGTGCAACCAGCTTACCGGCTGCATCCACCGAAACCGAACAGCTCGTTGGGAAAGATGCGAAGGCGGAAGAGGCCGAGAAGCCTGCAAAGGCCAAGGAGGGCGTCGATGCTTCGCCCGCCAAGGCCAAGTCTGGTTGGCCTTACAAAGTGGACATCGTCGAAAAACAAGAGCCAGCCAAGCCAACCGTCACTCCAAACCAGCAAGGAATCTCGGTAGCTCTGACGGCCGAGAGCTTCCAGAGTTTAGTTACCATGACGCAAGACCCATGGTTTATCAAGTTCTACGCTCCTTGGTGTCACCATTGCCAAGCCATGGCCTCGAATTGGCAACAATTGGCCAAGGAGATGAAGGGCAAACTCAACATTGGCGAGGTGAATTGCGATGCGGAATCAAGACTCTGCAAGGATGTTCATCTTCGAGGTTATCCTACGATTCTATTCTTCAAAGGAGGCGAGCGCGTGGAATACGATGGCCTGCGCGGGTTAGGGGATTTCATCCAATATTCCGAGCGAGCTCTGGATATCTGCCAGGGCGTTCAGGATGTTGACGCAGCTTCCTTTAGCGCCCTCGAGGAGAAGGAGGATGTTATCTTCGTCTACTTTTACGATCACGCCACCACGAGCGAGGATTTCATGGCTCTCGATAGGTTACCCCTGAGCTTAATTGGACACGCGAAACTGGTCAAGACACAAGACCCGGAACTTTACGAACGATTCAAGATCACCACCTGGCCGCGACTGGTTGTATCTCGTGAGGGACGGCCTACCTACTACAATCCTCTGACACCGAGGGAAAACCGGGATACCCACCAGGTCCTGTCGTGGATGAAATCTGTATGGTTGCCCATCGTCCCTGAACTCACGGCTTCGAACGCTCGTGAAATCATGGACGGAAAAATCGTCGTCCTCGGTATTATCAACAGGGAGGATCAAGAGTCGTTCCTCAGTGCCAAGCGTGAAATGAAGAGTGCTGCGAACGAATGGATGGACAAGCAAATTCAGCTTTTCCAGCTGGAGAGGCAAAACCTGCGAGACGCCAAGCAGCTCCGTCTTGAGGAAGCCGAGGATCGAAATGACCAGCGGGCCCTACGAGCAGCGAAAAGCATCCGAATCAACATGGATATGTCTGACCACAAAGAAGTTGCTTTCGCTTGGGTGGATGGCGTGTTCTGGCAGCGCTGGATCCGCACCACCTACGGTATCGACATCAAGGATGGTGAGCGAGTTATTATCAACGATGAAGATGTAAGTTTCGACACTCGCTTGAGGTGGACGTGTACTAATTTATGTCCAGAACCGACGGTACTGGGATACTACCATCACCGGCAACAACATTGTTCCATCGCGTGTATCCATCCTCGAGACCATATCAAAGGTCACATCCTCTCCACCCATCATCAAGCCGAAGCTCACGATCTCGAGTTTTGAGAAGATCTTCTTTGACATTCGGGTCACCTTTTCCGAGCATCCCTATCTCACGTTTGGCTGTGTAGCCGGAATCGCCTTTGGCGTATTTTCTTGGTACCGAGGACGCCTACGACGCAACGGCGGACACTTCAGATTGGAAGACAACCTACCCATCAAGGAGCTCAAGGATGGTCTTCTTGGCAACATTTCCAACGGAAAGAAGGATTGAAGAAGTTACGATCTCAGGAGACGATATAAGAATAGCATTGGCATAGGAAAGCCACGGCTTCTGGTGTTTGTCATCGGAGCGGGAGTTCTGTATATTACACCCCTGTTCCTTTACGCCTGCACATGTCACATCAACACACCCAACCGTACAAAATGTCCGTTGTCGGTTTCTATTACACGGTCTTGGTTACGGAAACGTTTATATCAGCACTACTGCTACGGCGGCGGGAGGGAACCATTGGGACAGATGTTGGGTTGGGCTGAATAGAACGGAGCTGCGACCCGGGATGGAAGATGGTGACGAGGAAGAGGATGACGATGGTTTATGCCAAACCACCGCGACCCTTCGCGTATTCTACCGCCGCGGCTAGAGCAGAATAAACGCATCATAATAACATCCCCTTGCTACTTTACTCGGTCTGCTGGACTTTCACGATGGTGGAGTGTCACGTCTGCATGTTCAAGGTCGGAGGTAGAGAAGTCCGCAGGAGTAGATAGGGGCCCTGCCGGAGTGGAGTAGATAGACAGGTTGGGTACTGAGTTACCACAGCTTAGAAGTCGTGTGGCTGCTGGCTGACTTGTACAGGGAATCTAACACCAGCACATTTACCACAACCACCATGTAAATTAACCAGATTCAATAATGTCCGCTAGAAGTATCCTATCTTATACGCGGCTAGCGTCTAGGGACAAGACGCTGTTATGGTGTATAGGGGACCGCGTAGTAGCGTTTTCAAGATATTGTTACTGGATTAATTATGCACTACGCCTCGACTAACATTTGAAGTAGCGATGCTCATCCAAAAAAGCAGCAAACTGCAAGATGGGCCCGACCGGATCCCACACGCCCAATTCCTCGTCCACATCTCCCTGGCAGGCCCCGACATCCATGATTCTGAAACCAGCACCGCAGTCGTTCTACTCAATGTCTTTGCTGGGATTGCCGCGCTGGTCTCTTTATCTTCCTTCGACCTTCGGAGCCTGGGTTGAAACGGCGGCGGGGGTACTCTTGCTGGCTATCATGGATGAGCTTGACGGTGGCGGCTGGATCGTACTCCACGGTCAGCCTGGAATGATATGGTTCTTTGAGGAGACCAGCGGGTCGGGCTCCGGGAGTTCCTACTCGATATGGGCCACTCCCATGAGGACACTGTTGTCATTGGGGAGAGATATATGAATGTGAGCAGTGTGAAAGAGTCCGTATACTGAGGATAGTGGCTGGTAACGGAAGCGTAACTGGGTAGGTCTATATTTACTATGGCATGTGAGCTTTGACGTGCCTTCGGACCTTTATTTACTTAAGCTACTGATAGACTTGACTTGCTCTTCCAGCTTGCCCTGTACGCATGACAGATGGTTTGTGTGCGTGAGTATGGGGGTGCGCCTGTTGATTTGACAGCATAGACTTGGCGCAACAGCAGGATCACTGGCAATGGAGTATGAAAGGTTGAGTATAAAGTAGGAGGCAGAAGGGGGAGCAGAAGGGGGAGCAGAAGGGGGAGCAGAAGGGGGAGGCAGAAGGGGGAGGCAGAAGGGGGAGGCGAAAAGGGGAGATATCGGGAAGGAAAAGGCAAAGCAGTGATAAGAAGTAAGGGAGGCAGAGAACAAGGGAGCTACTAGCAAGAAACGGGGCAAGTGAAAAATAAAGGCGAAAAGCCCCAGAGCAAAAATCCAAAACTCCAAAAGTTTAGGCCCGCCAGGATTCGAACCTCGATCTCCCCTCGGTTGCGGCGTTGTCCTATAGTACATATCCCCATTGCCCTCCTCTTGCCAGGGTCGCTACTAACCATTACACCACGGGCCTGGTACGGTCTGTGCTTGCTTCGATGGGGAATTTTGCTCGTGTTCGGCGATATAGGAGCACTTCAGCTGATGGAGTGGCTGCGGGTGGGGAATTGTGCGACAGTTGATGGTTTTACCGGGCGTCTGTGCTCCGGGGGTTGGTGGTCTAGGCGGGATGTGATTGTGGGTGTGGCATAGGACAATGGCTGGTAGTTTATCGGGTGTCTGTGCTCATGGGGTTGGTGATGTGGGTATGGTGTGACTGTGGGTGAGGGATAGGACAATGGCTGACAGTCCTGTCGGGCGTCTGTGCTCATGGGACATGGGATGGCGATGTGATGTGAATGTGAATAGACAATGGGTTGAAAATTAAGGGCGATATACTAGTTGATAATATAACCAGGCATCTACGCTAGAGGTGCGACATCATTGTCATGTGCTGTTGTCGATGCTGGGTGGAAGACATATAAGACATAGGATGCTGCTTCATTGTTTCGCCAGGAGTTTTTGCACTTTTCATCTGAAGTTTTCTTGCTAAAGCGGTATGAGAACTGTCTACACGTGCAAAATCACAAAAGGGGGAATAGTAGCTTGATTCATTTTTCCTATCCAGTCTATGTCCACCGGGTTGCTGATGTGATGGTGCTTGTGATTCAGGGGCCAAGGAGGTTCATTGAAGATCGGGACATTAATTCGTGGCTTTACATACCGTGAGCCTGCCTGCCTGGAGGTGACGGGACGTAGCTGCTACACCGAGCACTGGGTTGAGGATCTTATGGAGCAAGTGCAACTTGTCTTTGTATAACTACAGCATATAATCAGTCATTGTATGTTACCGTGTATGCACCACTTCAAGATAGCAGTCCTATACCAACCGGCATATCGCTACCTAGTGACACAATGTATGCCTAGCAAGTGAACCATTCGGATCCTCGCTGGGTCAAGCTGATATTGCCAACCACGTGGATAAGCAAGCGCAGTGGTCACATTCGAGGAACCCCAGCAAGGTGCTCCTTGCTGGAATACCCCCAGGAAACCCGAAGATACGCATTCTCGACTGCCCAAGTCAGCAGAAAGGCGATCTGATTGTATCCACGAAGGTTTATTCCAGATCTACGGCATGTCTACATCCCGCAAGAACCAGCTAGTGAAATCCAGGTGTGCCTGCCAGCCAGCAATATATGTCTTGCTTACAACCAGGTTTCCAAAAACTCCAGATCAGGTATAGATCTCGTCAGTAAACGCGTTGAGGCTGAGCCCCTCCTTGGCGATATCCTTGACATCAATCAAGAAATCGAGGGGCATCTCCACAAGGGTGCCGCGGACACGCGACAGCCAGTCCTTGACCTCGGCGACGCCGCCATCGCGGAACTCCTCCGGCACCACGTGCCCGTAATCGACCTTGCCCTCCTTCTCCTCGTCGCTCATTTCCTTGCCCGGGATGATAAAGTGCCGACTGAAGAAATCCTCGTACTGGTCCCAGTCACGGACCGCGTCATTGGGAACGGGATGGAAGACCTTGCTGAAGATGCTGGTATTGTCTCGCGCCGTGTCCTGCCACAGGCTCCAGAATTGCTCACTGAGCGGATCCTCGACCAGCCGGTCAGACTCAGAGCCCCAGTCATACTCCTGCGGGTCTTGGTCGATCGGCGTCCAGTTCGCTGTCGGCTGATCCCAGCGCTGGTCAGGGAGGAGGCCAAGGTGCTTGCGGAACACCTGTCGTCGCAGCGAGGTCGCGAAGCGCGAGGCTGCGTAAGGCTGTCCGTTCATGCTGCTCTCGACAGTCTCTGGATCCTCAATAACGACCGCGATCTCAGAATCGTGGTCGCCGAGCTGGGAGCGGTCGTTCAGGTTTGCTGAGCCACAGATGACGAGTCTGTCGTCTGCAATGAGAACCTTGGTGTGAATGTAAAGTTCCTCAGATACGAAAGCATTCATTTCCGCCTCCTCGCTGCCTTGCCACGGGACATTGCGCAGGTCAGGTCCGCCTTCCATGTAGCATGAGGAGACCGTATCCCAGGTTTGGTCCGAGACATTGGAGGTCGCGTTCTGGTAGCGGTCGTACTGGTCCCTGGAACCGCCCCCGTCACCTTCACCCCCGCCGACCATGTCCTCATACTGACGTCGAGCATCATCATACGCCACACCACTCTCCTGCTCGGCTTGGCCCATGGTGGACGAGATGTTGATACGATCGTAGTTGCGGAGGTTGTAGAAACCAATGTAGCGCTGCCAGTCTTCCACGCCTTGCTGTTGCAGGGACTCGATGATGCTGTGGCCACCACGGCTGATACTGTTGTACTGGAACTCCATAATAGCTCGAGTACCGAGAGCGCCCTCGGAGTGGAGGTCACCCGCAAAAGCTGGGACAGCCGGCATCAGGACGATTACACGAAACTCTTCGCCATTTTGGTAAGCGCGAACAATACGCGACACTATGCTTGCGCCGATCTTGTTCTTGACGGGGTGTTGCTCATCAGAGGTTGCTGTGATGAAGAACTGCGGAGGTCAACTATTGAGACAGCCCAGACAGAAACGTCTTCGACTTACTTGGTTCTCTATGTAAACAAAGTGCTCCGCGCTCTCGATAGCGTTGACGTAGGCATTGAAGATGGAGTGTTCCGTCGGGTGGCCAGAAGACCATTCGCAGGCACTGCCAATGTTGATTAGCTCATATAGATTGAGGAGAGCACCCGTGTCTGAGGACATACCTTCTGCAGAGCTGGATCTTTAGACCTCCAGATCCACCATACTGCCCACGGTCACCTTCGTCTCTAGCTCTTTCATCTCCCCCATCTCCCATGAAACGTTGGAGGCCGCGGTTAAGGTGACCTTGCATGTCGTCAAAATGGTGGCGGCGTCCTTCGTCTCCTGATGGCTCCGTGGAGCCTCCAGCGCTAATCCTCTGGTATTTGCCATCATCCCTATTTGTGTACTTGTCATCCCAGATGAAGTTCCTTGGTAAGCGTTAGCCGAAATTCAATGCCTGCGAAAACTTGACGTACCAGCGGTCGCTGAAGTGCTCAAGCAGACTGCTCACGATAGGACCATTCATGGAGAGCGCTATATCAGACCAGCCCATTCGCGAGCTCTTGGTTCTGTCCACTATGACTTTGTCAGCATATGTATCGTCCCGCAGGGTACCCGCTCAAACTTACATTGGTTGTGATCCCAGTTGTCCACGCCCTCAAAATCATATGCTCGAGCGTTGTTGAAGTCCTGACCGGGGAAAATGATGTTGCTCACGTCTCCCGGGTGCGCATCTGCAATGGGGTGGCCTATTGTGGTCCAGTGAGCTTCCACCTGTTTCCAGGTGGGGTTGCTGATAGAGTGGTAACTCACTGTTTGTGTCATATCGTCCAAAACCTGTTTAATTGTGAGCAGTCGTTGCCAATCCGAATGATTCCTCTGACTTACACATGTCGAGTCCGCCCATGAAGACAATACGGCGATCAACCACACAGAGCTTCTCGTGATGGGCCCAGTACAAAACCGTGTCACCAAAGGAACCGTACAGTTCCTTCAGAGCATCTCCCGATACCTTGGAAAGACTGAAGGTATCCAACTTTAGCTTGTCTAGCGACAGGCCTTCGAAGGCCTGCTCAAGTCTCGAAACGTCTGTGGGCACATGGTCAGGGTGCCTGAACACTTGGATGTTCGGGTGTAGAGCCTCGAGGGCATGCTTGGTATGCTATATCAATAGGTTAGATGAATGCAGCCAGGCTTGCAGAGTAGACATATGCCTACCGCAGAGTCCACTGTCGAGAACTTGAGTCAGCTACAATTACCATGTTTATGTGCCGTTCGCGCTGACGACTTACGGGTCAAAGCCTGAGTGACCTCCTTATATACGATGATTCGAACTTGCACGCCACGCTCAGCAGCGGCGCGGAGCATGTTGTCCAGGCGATACTGCTCATTGCGAGAAGGGGGCCGTCGGAGGTAAAGCTCGGGACTCAACCACCAGTCGAGAATATAGACGCTCTCCCGTGCCTCTGGGTTTTGTTAGCAAAAGGGGTATTCATCTCAGATGCTGATGTTCAGGGTACGTGTCACCTACGTTCAAGGGCCATAGAGACGGCCCAAAAGTACGAAGCTCCATCGACGTACCACTTGACGTTGCCAGACGTCTCGGGCGAGAAGGACTGGAAGCGATGGTCGGTGTTCACTGGTTTGATCTTGGGGCCGGAAGGCTGGTCATAGTGCTGCTGCTGCTGCTGCTGCTCTTGCTCCTCATAGCGTCCGCCTTCATCATCGTTACGGGGAGGGCGCTCCTCCTCGTCTCCTCCGAGCGCCTCCTTCAGCGCGCTTTCTGCTTTGCGGAAGAAATCCATGCTGGCTAGGGATGCTGATGGTGGGGCTCACGCGGGCAAGTTAGAAGATGTCGTGGTGTGTCAAAGCAGGCAAGGAGGAGGAGCAGACGTGTCTAAAGCAAAAAGAGATATCCGAAGATACAGCAATACAGGTGCGACCGAGTTCATAGGTTGTATTCACGGCTCAGGCAAGAGGAAGGACAGTCACTTGTTAAGGATGATGTTTTGGTATGAGGTAAGACGGCTGAGTTGGAGATGCGTGGAGGGGTTGAGGGGTGAAACAAGGACTGGTAGCACCAGACTGCTGGGTCTTGGCTTGCATCAGCTCCATGAACGTCCCGGGGCTATGGGGGACCTCTGGCGCCGCCAATGAATCATGGGAGGGTGCGCCATGTCACATCAGGTTTGATTCAGGGACAGGAACGGGGGCATGACGCTTGATCTTGGTGTGAATGGTCGCATCTTGTTGCCGGCGTCGTTTGCAATAGCGGTGATAGGATACGAATAGGCTACGACACTGCCCCTCCTGGGGCCGTGATTCATGCACTGTGGCGACGTTGATGGAGCGCTAAACGCTGCCAAGAGCACAGTATCAGTGACATTCGCACTGTTCTCAACGTCCAGGGGCTTGGGCCGGTGGTACCAACACACCGGGAGTCAAGGCGGTGGGCATATATGTACACCGCTCTCAGGAAAGACCGGCAGAAAGTACCGGACCCACCAAAAGTTTTGAATTGGTCCCTCCATTTGATCGGCCATCCTCCAGCATTGCGAATACGAAGCCTACAGCGAGCGACTCCTGCCAACCGATTCGCCTTCAACGAGCCAGCAAGACAAAATGCCTAAAAAACAGGCCACGAAGCAGGATGGGCCGTCTGCCGCTGCGGCGAGCGACCCGCGCTTTGCCAGCTTCGAGACGAACCCGCGATTTCGACTGCCCTCCAAGGGTCGAAGCAAGACCAAGATCGACAAGCGCTTCGCCCACATGCTGAAAGACAAAGACTTCATCGCGAGCGCAAAAGTTGACAAGTACGGCCGCAAGCTGAAATCCGACAACAAGCGAAAGGCCCTGCAGAACATTTACGAACCAGAAGACGACGAGGGTGCAGAAGTCGAGGATGACGACGTGGTCCAACAGGAACTCGAAAACGCCGATACTAGACACGATCCAGCCCGTGGCGGAGGCTTTTCTTCTTCCGAATCAGAATCCGACTCGGACGAGGAAGATGGCGACGGCGACGAGGGTGGAGGCCCAGAAGTGGCTGCATCTGGAAGCATGCAGAAATTGCGCGATGAGGAAGCCAACGTCGAAACGGGAGAAGTCACGAAGCGGATAGCCATTGTTAACTTGGATTGGGACCATATCAAGTCGGCAGACTTAATGGCCCTCTTCTCCAGTTTCGTCCCTAAAGGTGGACGCATCGAACGGGTATCCGTCTACCCTAGCGAATTTGGCAAGGAGCGGATGCAGCGAGAAGAACTGGAGGGTCCCCCGAGAGAGATTTTCAAGAAGAGCGCAAAAGATGATGCCGAAGAGTCTGAGCCCGATTCCGAGGATGATAGTGGCGTCGAAGACGAAGACGAGGATGACGAGGACGAGGACGAGGATGAGCAAATAAAGAAGGATCTGCTACAAGAAGGGGACGACCAAGACTTCGACAGTGACGCTCTGCGCTCCTATCAGCTGGATCGCTTGCGGTACTATTACGCGGTAATGGTCTGTTCTGATACTGCTACAGCTGCGAAGGTCTACCAGTCGACTGACGGCACCGAATACCAAACATCTTCCAACTTTATCGACCTACGATTTGTCCCCGATAATGTCACATTCGATGATGAACCGAGAGACGAATGCGACTCGCTATCGGCGGACTACAAACCAACCGAGTTTGTCACTGATGCGCTACAACATTCCAAAGTGAAGCTCACGTGGGATATGCACCCTGACGAAGTTGCACGGCGGGAGAACATCCAGCGAGCTTTTACTGGCAGTCGGCAACAGCTAGAGGAGAATGACATGCGCGCTTACCTTGCTAGCGATAGCGAGGATGACATCGGCCCTGAAGAGGACGAGGGCGAGGAGGCCGATGTCGCTGATGACCAGCCAAAATTGACGAAGAAGGAGCTGAAGGCCCAAAAGCTCCGTGAAGCTCTTGGACTAGGCTCTGCACCAGTCAAGAAGACATCCGAAAAAGCTGGTCCCGTTGGGGACATGCTAATAACGTTCTCGGCTGCGCTGATGGACGATAGTGACAAGAAGAAGAAGAAGGAACCAGAGACGGAGGAGACAACTATTGAGAAATATAAGCGCAAAGAGCGCGAACGAAAGGAGCGAAAGAAGGAGATCGCAGTGGCGAAGCGGGGCGGTGTCTCGGATGAAGTCCCCGGTGATGAACCTGCTGAAGCTGGGGAAGACGACCTCGGCTTCGACGATCCCTTCTTCACGACAGAGGAGGCGGCCAAGCCCTCCAAGACGTCTGAAAGAAAAGAGGAACGTCGTAAGAGAAGGGACGCAAAGAACGCCGAAGCCGCCGAAAAGGCCGCCGAGAAGGCCCACCTCGAGAAGATCATGGCCGACGACTCCGAAGATGGTGCTGTCGAGCACCTGGACCATTTCGACATGAACGAGATCTCCCGGGCCGAGAAGAAGAAGTCCAAGAAGTACAAGAAGAAGGGCAAGAAAGACGTCGTCCAGGATCATGGCGGCCTGCAGGAGGGCTTCGCGATGGACGTTGACGACAACCGCTTCAAGGCAGTCTTCGAGAGCCACGAGTTTGCCATTGATCCGTCGAACCCGAAATACAAGGCCACGCCGGGTATGAAGGTACTGTTGGAAGAAGGACGGAAGAAAAGGAAGAACGATCCGGAGGATGCTGTCGAACCAAGTCGGGACGGTGGTAAAGCCAAGAAGCAGAAGACCAAGCCTAACGACGACCTGACCAGCCTTGTCGAGTCGGTGAGGAGGAAAGCTCGTTCGAAGGCGTAGTAGAGGCTATTTTCAATATAAAGGAATCTTGTCACGAGTTCATTCTTCATGGTGACCACAGTGAATGAGCTACCCGTTAAAACTACTTCTAATCTCGATCTCGCGCATCATGATGAATGACCCAAACCATTGAGGCAGGAAATTTCTGTACCCATCAGTTCAGGTCATTAAGCATTCGTAGAAAACTACATGAACTCCATCTAAACGCCTTCCTATTAGGTAGGCTCCAAACAAGTGTAGTAAGCATCATTTATCATATCCCAGACGTCGCGAGTGGACGCGTTCAAATCACATCCCAAGTTGCGACGACTTCCCAAACACAGTGAAAGCATAGGCCAGGCACACAGGAATAGCAGTCCCGGAATCCGTTAGCTGTCGTAACCCGAATTCCCGTAAAACCAGAGCTGTCCGGCCGGCTGTCTCAAGCCTCCACGCCGTGTTCACCCGTACCATTAGTGTGACTAGCAGTCTTGACCAGAACCGAGCTGTCCATCACAACATCATGCAGGTGCTTCCTAGGGACCCAGAACAGCTGCACGACGCCCAAGACAGCGACGCCGGCGCAGCTGAACCAGGCCGCGGCCGACCCGCCCGCCGCGTAGATGATGCCGACGATGGGGGGCGACAGCGTGCGCGCGAGACAGCACCCGCTCATGGCCAGCCCGTTGACCTTGCCCAGCACGAGCGGGTGGGGCGTGGCGTCCTTGAGCAGGATGAGCGCGCAGGGGATGACGATGATGCCGAGCAGGCTCTGCAGCACCAGCGAGATGTAGATGCCGGGCGACTGCCAGTGCGGCGGCATGGCCGACAGGAACGGCATCAGCACGTAGCAGAGCGGGTACAGGATGATCATCCACACAAACGACTTCCACACGCCGACGCGGTCGACGAAGACGGGGAACACGAAGGCCTGGATGAACAGGCCAAGCACGCCGTTCACGGCTAGGTACACGCCCACATCGTGCACCGTGTAGCCCAGCCCGCCGCGCAGGTCCACCTTGCCGTCCACGCGCACGGCTGGCTTGTCGAGGAGATGCGTAGGTAGCAAAGTATTGAACGCCATCTGGTGGTACGATACCAGGATCAAGGCTACCGTTAACATGATGATGGTGAAGTTGAACGCGCGCCCACCGTAGCTCGGCGCCCGTGACGGCATCTTGGGTCGCTTCTGCGCGTCGGCCGGCAGGTTGATCGAGTGAATGGTGCCAAAGGACGAGCGCCGCAGGTCGAAGTTCTGCTCCACGGGGCCCGGCAAGCTCTGCTCGACGAACATCGGGCGCCTCTCGCCGTCGCGCGACGGTCGCGCCGCGCGCCGGAGCGTCGTGGTTTCGTCGGTGGCTTCGTCGTCGGTGTCGTCGATGACTGCGAATGCGGAACTGTCCTCGAAGCCGGCGGCCTTGATCAGGACCGGGTTCGTCTCTTCCAGGAAGAAGATGCCTTGGATGATGGCCAGTACGATGGTGACGACCGCGACGAGGTTCGGAAGCAGGTAGGGGTAGCGCCCGAACAGGCCATCCTCGGGGAAGACGTCCGGGTAGAAGGTGGCTGGTTGTGCTAAAAAGCCGCCCATGGCGGAGCCCAGGATGCCTCCGAGTGTCCACACGAACGGCTGCGTGGCGTATGCTTTGGCTAAAGATCCGGGTAGTTAGTAAAATGATATGAGCCGCCAATATTAAGGGTAGTGAGACTTACGCTCATGCTTGGGATTCTTGACCATCTCAGCTACCATCGTTTGCATGACCTGTCTTTAATGTCAGCCTACTCTTCTTCCGCCGATCGAATACAAGTACTTGAAGCCGCATCCCGTCCACATCTCTCATTACACCAAGTTGCCCTCAAAAAGGGCAGACAGGAACAGACTCACGGCCACATTCCCGTTCAGCGCGCCGCCGATAAACCGCGCCAGCAGCGCCACCCAGTACTGCTGCGCCAGCCCGAAGATGAGACTCGAGATAGCCACGCCGCCGAGCCCGATCAAGACGACGGGCTTGCGTCCGTAGCGGTCGGAAAGCGCGCCCCAGCCCATGGCGGTCAGAGCCTCGGCGACGGCGTAGGCCGACACCAGCAGGCCGGCGTAGAAGGCGGCGTCGGTGTCGTCACCGCCGTGCAGGTCCTGCACCATCACGTACGTGTACGCCAGGATGGAGTTGAAGGCGATGGGCTCCGAGAAGCGACATATTGCTGTTTGGGGACGCGTCAACTGGGCTTCGCTCACACCGCAGAGGATGACTTGGTGTGGTGGTGGGATTCATGTGCACCTACCCAGTATGGTGAGCTGTCTGGTAGGGAAGGCAGCTGAGGCGTCCGCTATCTCTTGAGGCATCATGCAGCAGTGCAGTACACACACGAGAACACCACACAGCGGCGGAGGGGATTACCAGCTTCTTGGTTGGACCAGTTATATAGGTAGGCACGCGGTTGATCACTTGCGTGTCTGCTATTCACGGGCGGAACACGTCTGGACAGGCTGACAGGAAAGGAATCATACCGATTTACCACTGGGTGCGACGGACGGGGGCAGCGACGGTATCTGAGTCGCACCGATATGCGAGCTTTCCTCATGATTGCGGGGAAGCGGCCTCTGCGACGTCGGAACTGGTGGGACTAACATTTTCTTCCTTCCTTTCCATGCTCTCGGCTCTCTGTGAACCTCTGGGGAGGTGTGCAGGTGTGGTACTGTGGCATGTCGATCTATCGGACGGTGAAGAGGCAGAGAGGCTGAGAGAGGTTGGTTACGCATTGCATCATGGCCATCCTTGCGTACATAACTGCATAAATGGCGCTTGCTGCGCTTGGAAGAGCCAAAAGAGGCGGCGAGGCGGCGAGGCGGCGAGGTTGCTCGTGAGTCGTCAGCTCTCCAAGCGGATTTAGGTCACTTCATTCGTCGCTCCTCCCTGGAGGTCAGGGATACTGACTGCATCCTGGAGTCTGGACACCTGCATCGACTTGGTCATCATACTGTATGCGTCCGCTTGGCTCTGGTGACACATCTGTGTATCGCGTCACGACTGACTTCTATGAAGTCGGCCTGCCCAGGAGAGCCACTGATTCGAAAAGAGAGGTTTGGTGTTTGTGATGAGCATGGTTCAACTAACCTACGGTAGTAATCTAGGCTATGTCGGACGCTGATATGTGTAATGTGACTACGCCACACCGTGTAAGCCACAGTGACTGATAAGCACCCCTGTTCAAGACACTAAAAGGCGGATGCGGGGGTCGGTGAATCGCCATCGGTATCCGCAGACGTGAGTGTGTGGGGCTCTAGCCGGTTGCGTTCCCGACTTATTTGAATATCGTCGGACCTATCTGGCATACCGGACTCTTAACTTCTATCAATCTTCCACCTCCTCGGTACCTACCTTATGTATCAGAGAAGCCTCGGACAATAAGTGCTGTGGGTGTGAGTGTACATGCGGTGTCGAGTGAACATGACGATGGTGTGCTCCCGAACCCGATCGACACCTGTACGCCGTACGCGAGCGACCATCGCAATCACAGCCCAGGGTTCGCAATGCGCGCCCGAAACGACAGCACTATGATTTAAGAGTTGTTTGCCTGTGGTGGACGACAGGTACAACCAATAAGCGAGCCAAGTACGAATACAGAACATCCTTGTGCTCCTGTAGCTGTTCAGCACGATGGAAATTGCACCGGTTACCTACCTCCTTTAATAGGTACTTTGCATCATTGAGGGTCCACACGCGTTACCGCCGATCCAGCATCGGAAGCTTGCTTGCCTCCGTCGCAATACACAAGACCAATGATCAATGAGACTGGCCTCTCACATGTAATTGAGTTACCATTGGACTTGACACTGGAGCAAGCTGGAAGCTCACGAGTCATAATCACAGAAGATGGCGAAGTGGCCTGCACCATCTGCAAGCTCCAAGCCCCCACCAATGTGGTACTAATTAAAGGAGTTCAATGAGTGCACATGCCTGGTATGCAGATTCGAGGACTAATCCAACGGAAGTTACACACGATAGTATATGTGTTATAGAGATATGTCTAGGAAGACTGATGGCTAAGCGATACTCCGTGGCACTACCCAGTCCTTTTATAACCTCGAGCCTGCAAGGTCTACCGTCCAAAACCGTTCCACCACGTCGAACAATGAAAGCCACATGAGAACCGAAAGACTGAAACACTCCTACAGTCCCTTGCACAGCGATGATGTCCCGACTGGGCGTGGCATCTTCGCCATCGAGGCATCGGCAGAGTGCCTATTGCCAAAATCGAAGATCTCGCGTTCCAGCCCTTTGAGATCGGCACACTGCAGAATAGGCTTCGCGCGTGGGTCACCATTGAGCCTCTCCTGCCTGGCCAGCGCCAACCTTCTGGAAGTCGGGCTACGGCCATTGCTAGGTTCCCTGGCCCGGACCACGTCACTGGAGCTGCTATTCAAGCAGTCAGAGATCATATTCCTCCGTCTCCCTTTCTCACGCTTGCTGCTCTTGCCCAGCCAGACGTCGCCTCAGGTAAGTCGGGCCTACAGTGTCGACTTCAGCAAGTAAAAAACCAATCTTTCTCAAAGCTGTTGGTGCTACCAACGAACGTATAATAGACAATACAGACTTATTTACTCGAAGAAGCGTGTGGTCGGCTTCCCCTTCTTGGGGTTCGCGACTGGCTGAGTACAAGGCAACGTTGCGGTTGCAGGAATAGAAGAAGCAGGAGAATCTCTGGACGAACGAACAGTCCAATGCTGTCCACCTTCGGGAGCCAGACCAGCGGCGTCAGCGCGCGCGCGTAACTACGGCGGAATGTACACGTCGCATCGGGCGCGGATGCAAATTCTGTCTGAAGAACAGAACATGGCTTTATGGCTTACGGATTTGCCCGCCGATTGCACCTACCAAGAGTTGCTCGCCGCAATAACCGACACCGGAAAGGTGTTTTCGACGCACATCACCCACCCGGTGGCACACCATGCAGGTTGTGCCGCCACAATCGCCTTCTTCACCCACGAAGAGGCCCAGACGTTGCTGTTGCGGACCGCTAAAGGTCAGTTCATGGTCCGAGGAGCAGTCCCATGCGTACGTTGGAACACGAACAAATCCGACGGCGGCGGAGGCAGCATGAGTCCCTTGTCGAGAGTCCTCCGAATCTCTGGCAAACCCCAGTTCGTTAACCAAAACTACCTGGCCCACTACCTCCAGGTGGTAAAGGGTATCTACTACGACACAGGCGCCTTTATCCTTACACCAGGACCCTACGGAAACGAGGTAGAGTGGAGATTTACAAGCTACCGCGCCCAGGCAGAACTGGCATTCAAGGCAATCACGAAAGAGCTTGCAGGGCAAATGATTGCGTGGTACGGTGAAGATCCGTGCCGCTAGGTGTCTTTGGTAGTCATGGCTCAACTAGAGCGAAGGACATACTCTGAGGTTAAGGGTTCGAATCCCTCTGATACTTTGCCGGTGTCGTTCTGCCTGGCTCGTGGTGTTGGTGCAGGGTTTTTCTTTCATGGGCTATTAGTCAACATATAGTGTCGTTGGACTCTGGGGTCGCGGTGGTTTGTCCCCGCTTCCCACCCTCCTCGACCACGTAGAGATTGCTGCTCGGTAGAAATCCGGCGGCTGAATGGAATTCCTTCTCTACATCTAACCCCGCCGCCGCCCTCTATGACTGTTCGATCGAGTAGTCCACATTTCATCGACACAGCTCGATAACATTTCGTGACAACATACTGCGCAGCATCAATGGGACATGGCCTGCATGTGGGAGCTCGACCCGAAGAAGGGGGGGAGTTCTTGTTTTATATGTACCCAGCTGATGGGATTTTCCCTGGCTTCCAATTAGGAAAGGGGGAGAAGACGCTCTTCTCTGGGGTTTCGATCACTGATAGCAATCAACTCATTTCATTACAGGCGCATGTTTTACAAATGTTAGTCTACTTGCCGGATCTGATTAATTGTTAGAGGAATTGCTGGCTTGAATCTTGACAGTCACATATAACCCAATCTTACCTCGTCGTCTTCCCGACTTAATACTGTTCGTACACAATGTTTCTGGGATTTTGGAACTAGCTATTTGCGTGCCATCTAAGCGTTCTTCGCAACTCACGCTCTAATTTATGAACACCCCAAGGTAAAACCTCACCTTTCCATCAACTTTCTTTACTCCAGCTCGCCATCTCGCAGGTCCGCCTGTTCACGATTCCGTTGGCACCTCCATCTACGACTTTGACGGCGTAGCGGACTATGGCTAAGTCGTTGTAGCCGTTTCGGGGGCTGCCGATTTGCCGCTTCACGGTTCTATCTGCACACTCGTGACACGTTATTCTCCTGTATCCAACTCCTCAAACACTGGGAAAAGCACACACTAATGGACAAGGCGGGATATGGGATTTGTGCGCTTAGAGGCATGATTTCGAGACGGTCAGTCTGAAAGACCGAACCTAGATCATAGAGACTAAGCATGAGAGTATGCATGATGAGGGCAATGCACCCGAAGACCACGCCCGAATTGCCGGGGTGGACAGTCAGACCCATACTTGCACGTTGGCGGAGGTCGCCATAACCGTGTGGCAGTTTAAACCGAACCCGTCAAGCCCACTACTCGAATATCAGCATTAATAGCCTCAGTCCTCAGGAACGTACCTAGCAGCATCTGAATACCCTGATTTACGACCAGCACTTTGCTTACTACGACCAGATTGACGGGAACCACCTTCATGAGTTGGATCTTGCATCTTTTCCGTGTGAGCATAATTACCGCGGCAGACACACAGTGCATCGGGCTCAGACGGCAACCCCCTGCCGGAAGAAAAGAACACAGCATTATGGATTACCAAACTGCCTTCTAATTAAGCACGGGAGCCTCGATTCCCTATACGACTTGGCTTGGCTGTCGAGCGCGGTGGGATGCTCATTTCTTAGGACAGGACAATGCTGGCACACAAGCATCAGGATATCTTCCGCTAGATTCACCCATCGCAAATGATCCCTTCATGTAGTCCGTTGTCTCACTTGGTACGGGTGAACAGGGAGAACTACCTCGAAGTATTAAGTCGTGAATATGTATGCCGATCATCGGTACCCTGTATTTGGATCTGATACTACACGTATCTAACTCGCGTTGGAATGCGTATGCAGGTGATCCTTAACATGATTCTTCACCCTCCTGAAGAGATGAACCCTCCCATACAGCTCCTCCAGCCTAACCCGAGCCTCCCTTACTCCATCAGTCTTCATCCTCTTCTCGACCTGGCTATCACTCAGCAGGGCCGTGATTCAGGTACTCGCTCGCATCTCCAGACAAGCCCTGCGCCATGGTGCTCCACGAGGCGCCCAGCCGCGACAGCGACGTCTGCCGCAGAAACATGAACAAGATGACCACGGTCACGAGCACGTGTGCTACCATACTCGCCACCACGACAGCTAACCCGTGGTGCCCAACCGGCGCGTCCGCGACGACCCAGAAGGTCTGCTGTGCGTCCGCCAACTTGTCGAACTGGCCAATCTGATCGTAGTACGCCATACTGGAAAGCAGGGTGATGGCGGTCTGCAGGGCGAATGCCGTCGACCCGCCCGTCTGGAGGGTCTCTTGTACGAGCGAGACGTGCATGGGCTCAACGGTGACGCATTGCGTGTCACCGAAGAGCGAGGTGACGCACGGCGAGGACGACCGGAGCAGCCCGGTTATGTTCCCCTCTTTTCCGGCGATGGCGCGCATGAAGGGCTCGTGGCCGACTATGCTGGCGGAGGAGCCCTCGTAGGGCGTGCCCTCGGCGCCGTACCAGGTTCGGTCTCCGGCGACGCAGTCGCCAGGACCTGTGGCCCATTTCTGTGGTGCCAAGTTCATGATGCCCCGGTCGTCGTGGGATTGGGACTTGTGCTGTCCCATGGCACGGCGGAGACCCTCGAACGTGTAAGCAGACGTATCGGCGTTAAAGGTCGGGTTCATGGATGACTCTGTTCGGTTGAACCAAGCTGACAAGTCCTTGAACTCGCTGACTAGACCACTATTGTACTGGAGACCAGAGCCGCCCTCATCCAGTTGGCATAAGGACAGCCTCCACTCGCCTGCTTTCGTGGCGTCATCCTGCATAGAAGCAATGCATGAAAAGGGCATGAATTCATTGTAGAGAAAGTTATCCTGATAGGGCTTGGACGTATCAAAGACATCTGCCGATAACTTGACCGTCGCCTGTATCGCTCACACCATCAGCCACGTATGGAGGTTCGGAGTACTCGGCGAAAGTAGTGTAATACGGCGCCTTGAGATGCCAAGTCCCTTCGCGCCAGATAACTCCGCTTTGCATGACGTTGGTCTCGCCGGATATATTGTAGTGGAAGTTGTACGCGACCTGCTCTGCCACCGGAAACCCCTGGACCGGCCGCAAGCTCACATCGGTCAGCAGGATGATCATCATGAGCTGGTCGATGGTCCAGAGCACGGCCACGACCAGGACGAGGTCAAAGACGCTCGAGAGACGGAACTTGGCCGACCAGAAGCTAGAGATGTAGTGCCAGAGCATGACGAAGATGGTCGAGCTGGCGGCTGTTGCCCGCATCATCGAGACCGAAGCCATGGAGGGAAGTATGACCTCGAAGGAATTAGGGCCAAAGATGCGAGTATCGCTACGGCGACGCCGAGTTGGAAGCTGGAAGCCTGTCGAAAGACTTCGACGCAGATGGCAATGGCTTTTGATAGACCTTTGCCGGCGATGATAGAGTGCCATCCTGATGAGTCGGGATTTCCAAACCAGAGGAAGCCGAGCATGGCAACTGCTCCGAATGTCAAGATTGGTGCGATGATCAGGACGATTATTGAGAACATGACCTGCTTGTCCTTCCATGTCAGGAGACGCTTCTTCAAGTCGACATCGATGAAGTTGTTCTTGGCCCTGCCACTCCCTTTGCTCGTCGTCTCTGGAAGGGCGGTGACATTGGGTTGAGAGCTGGGCGCATTTTGATAATTCTCGAATCGAGGTGTGGACGCATACGTTTCTCGGTCGTTCATTACCGACTCATAGCAGGTATCCCCTCATGCGTCTTGTGGGTGCCGGGGAAATATCTCGCGAAATCGACATTGGCGATACCGACGGAGTGTCCGCGTCGAAGTTTGAGTCTACATGGAGACTATGCCGAGCCGTGGTCTCATAGAAGTCATTTTGACGATGTCCGTTAGCGTGATCGTCCATGATGGAATGTTGTCGGTGCTCTCGTGGACTGACTTGAGGACTTGAATCTCTTTTGCGTTGGACACCGTACACCAGAGCTGGCGGCTTCCAGATGATTACCGTCGACAGGTTGCTTCTGGGATCATCAAGACTAAGTGGAAGCCTATGGGGCTGAGTTGGGATGTCTTTCAGGTGAAGTTTTGGTAGAGTCTCGTATACGCAATTCTCGTGTATATTATATTCTTAGCTACATACTCAAATCATCCTATCGTCGATGCAGCTTACATGATCCATCAAACGCTGACGGCCAGCTAGCTCTCACGCTGGACATGGACCGCGGGCTTGGGCTGTGAGCAGAGGTACCTTTGCCGACGCATTCTCTCCAGTCTGATTGGTAGTTATAGCGTCGCAAAGCCTGCCTTTTGGTTGAGCCTGACGGTCTCCACTGAGTAAGGATTATACGGCTGATCTTTCCATCCATGAATGAGGCTTATGTAAATTCCCCTATTCCAGGCAGTCGTGTAATCCTCCAGCTTCGCACTGTCTAATGAGGGTAGTGGGCCGCTTTCATAGGGGGGAAATCACCACAAGCTGAGTATTCTTCAGCTGAGCCCCGTATCTGACAGACTCATTTCAGGTGACCAACCGCATTTATGATTTTGGGCTGTTTGCTTATAGTAGTGGGCCAATGCCATGCGATATCGATTTGGACCCTGAACTTCCTGGACGGCCAGCGACGTCTCTACATCGCTGTCTGATATAAAGCCCCGAGTCTGTCATAACACTGCCGAAAGCCACACATATGGACAGCCAAATTTCAACCGGTTAAATCGTCCTTCACAAGCTTTATTCAAGATGCGTCGATCTATGTTCACCGCGACCGTTCTGCTAGGTCTCTTTGGGTGAGCATTGTGAGTACTCTAATATCATTGACCGCCCTCTAATGTAACCTATAGGATGGGCCACGGTGCAGACTGCCCGGCCCTTGGGGCTGGGTCGAACTTGACCTGTCCTACTGATGTCGAAAACGCGGCCGTGTGTTCTAGCGAAGGGAGCCCCGTTATACTCAGATGCTACGAGGAGTGCCTTACGCCTGGGATGTGCACTCAGAAGTAAGTGACCCAGTCGCGTACGATACCGTATCGTCTCTGAGAGCTGGTAATTGACCTCTCCCACAAAGCCTTGCAAACGTTCCTCCTTACGGGACTAAAGAGGGGGCGAGATGTTGGCAGGAGTCTGCTGATGCCTGGAATGCACAATGCACATGGGATTGTGTGGCCGTTACCATGTTGAACGGATCACAGATCTATCCCGATGTAAGATTCCATTGAATGATCCCTAAGCCGTCACGACTGACAAGGCGGCCAGGGATGTTCTCACTCAACTCCGAACACGAACAGCTCCTCAATCCCAGCCACCACGAGCTTGTCTCTGCCCGCACCTACAACGGCCAACCCATCGAAAGCTACGGCACCTGCTTCGAGTACTGAGACTCCCGGATCAGCACCAGTTGGGGCGGGAACAGTATCATAGGATTGGGTGGTCTGGTTTCTAGCGTGGCATTGGCGGCGCAGTATTGTCTGTAATACAGGGCCCCAGTCTCCGATGGATGTGACAACTGGTCTAGAAAGTCGAATCCAAGAGAGTCAGTTAGTGCATTCAAGGGATTCGTCCTGGCTTGTTCAGAGTGAGCAACAATAGCTCCGGTTCAGATACAGCACCCCTAATCTCAGGGGTCGTGATTGAATGCAGTTTGTTGATCGAAATCTTTACTCTTAGTCTATCCAGGCTATCCTGACAGTTGTAGTACGGAACGGAAGACAACGCACTTCGTATTGTCGAGTGGTCGCCGAGACCGGCAACCCCAGCCCCCGAACCCTAACCCTCTTTCCATAATACTTTCATTCGCCTTTATCGATGTCTGTTCCGTCGCAAGCGGTGAATCGAATATTCGGCCAAACCGGTCGCTCCCAAGCTGTAGACTGTGCCTTTGAAAACACTACTCGTACACGGCAACATATACATATTGCTCCCTGATTCATTCACTCTGTTGCCCTACTCCAACATCGCCAATAGCCTTCCGCTCGTGCAGTTCGCAATCCAGAGCGACTCGTTCTCATTGGTGATGCGGTTGACTCCGGCGTATGCGCGCTTGACTTCTTCCTTTGCCTTGAGTAAACCTCGAGTGCGGGGAACTTTTCTCGCCAACAAGCTTCCGATGACATTGCGGCCTTGGTGAGTATCGCGGCATTTATTATCATGTGCGCTGGTGATACGAAGGCTTGCTGTCCATTTGAAGTTGTATCTCCAACTCCTGGTGTTCCCTGAGCTGCCTTTTGAGAAGACTCATCGAAAACGTACGTCGTGTTTGCCATCTTTGCGGCCGTCTTGTCGGCGAGGTCGCGTAGCAAGTATCATGGTATCTACGTACTAGAAGATCCTCGGACCATGAACCCCAGTATGTGATGGAGTATCCACTATTCAGATTCTAACCCTTTTGCCGAAGGGCGCGCGGACAGGAGCCGGTACTAATGTCGGCACGGTGCCTCAGTGGTTGGGTTCTGGGCTCCGCCGTGACACCTGCTCTTATTTAAGCCCCGAATGTTGTAAGCCGTAAACCTGACGAACCAGGCGAGCCCAGCACACCAGAGACGGCACGGCTCGCATCCGCAGGGCTGGCATGGTGTCAGGGAAGGTATGAGAAGACGCTTGCTACACCCCCGCATGAGCTGATTCCCCTCCTCTGCGCCGACCTAGCTGTCGCCAGGGTCCCTAGACAGGATACCGGGGTATCGGGGGAGTTTTGCAGCTGTACCGCCTTTTCCAAGCAAACCTTTAGTATCCTATACGGGCTACCTGCTCATATCTCTAAGTATTATTAGCTTAACAATCCGGGGAACCTTGTCGTACGTAGATCTATCGTCAACCCGATGAGGATTATGGGTGTAAATTGTTCGGCTTGGCAAACAAATGCTCCGAGTGGGATATTAAAGGTTTGCTTAGAAAAGGCGGCATCGCAAATCGCACAGAGCCGAGGCAGGTGTGACAGAGGTGAGGAGAATGATGGTCGACTCAGGTAGGTCAGCTGCGAGGGAGCACACATATTCTTCTTTTCTGCTTCAGTGTCCAATCTGCAGGCTGCCCTGAATACCCCACGTCTCTTTGGCTGACCTTTTCCCGTGGAAAACACCATTGACATCATCTCACCCACCAGCCAGTCCACGCATCCAGACACAATGTCGCTCCCCAAAACCTACAAGCGTGCCGTCTTCACTGAGAAGGGCAAGCCGCTGTCTATTGAGCAGACGCCCATGAAGCTGCCCGGCGATGGTGAGGTCCTCGTCAAGGTCGAGGCCTGCGGCGTTTGCCACTCGGACATGTTTGCTCAGCAAAACATCTTCGGCGCCGGCTTCCCACTGTGCCCTGGCCACGAGGTCATCGGCAAGGTCGCCGCTGTGGGTAACGGTGTCACGGCGTGGAAGGTCGGTGACCGCGTGGGCGGCGGCTGGCACGGCGGCCACGATAACTCTTGTGCGGCTTGCAAGAAAGGCTTTTTCCAAATGTGCGACAACCAAGTCATCAACGGCGAGACCAAGGACGGCGGATGTAAGCAATTCCCGTCTTGTCTCAACACGGCGCTGCCCGTTTCAGCTTCGTGTGCTGTACTGGGAAGCGCCTGAGGGCAGCGGAAAGCGCTCTGAGGAATACAGGCTAATTTTTCGTTCAGATGCCGAGTACTGTCTTCTGAGATCCGAGGCCACCGTCCGCGTACCCGCCCACGTCGACGCTGCCAAATATGCACCCGTTTTGTGCGCCGGCACGACGGTTTTTAACGCGATCCGAAGCATGAAGATCCCAGTCGGCGATACGGTCGCCATCCAAGGGCTCGGTGGCCTGGGCCATCTCGCGGTGCAGGTCGCGGCTCGGATGGGATACCGCGTGGTCGCCGTGTCGCGCGGCCCCGACAAAGAGAAGTTTGCGCGCGAACTCGGTGCGCACGATTACATCGACGCCGCCAAGGAGCAGGACGTCGGCGCGGCGCTAAAGGCCCTCGGCAGCGCGAGCCTTGTCGTCGCCACCGGGCCCACGGCCTCCATGACGCCCTTCATCAGCGGCTTGGGCGTCCTCGGCAAGCTTCTCATCCTCACCGTCGGGGGCGATATCACCGTCGACACGACGGCCTTGTTGGTGAAGGGCATCTCGATTCAGGCGTGGCCGTGCGGCCACGCGCGGGACTCGGAGGAGGCCATTGCTTTCGTGGAGCTGCAGAATATCGACTGCATGATCGAGAAGTTCCCTCTGGACCAAGCGCAGAAAGCATACGGTAGGTCATCAGCTCCTTGTCCTTGCATACTCTCGGATCCTGTTATTATTGATGGAGAACAGGCTAACTCCCTCGTCTATGACAGACGCCATGCTGAACGGCACAGTCCGATTCCGCGCCGTCATTGTGATGGAGTGAGTTGGACCAGAGGTGTTGACCTTGATGAGGGACTGCTGGGTTTCGTGGTTTGCCTATGGGGATTAGCCAATGGGTGGTGTCCCCGTCCCAGCGTGGCTGGCTTGCGTTGTAGAACAGAGGTGGTACTCAAACCCACAAATATCACAAGAGTTCTTGTTCAAGTAAGCAAGCCAAACAATGTGCTTTCACGTTGACATCCGAGCCAATCCTCAAGCTGTGTCTACTCATGCGGTAGATGGTGGTGCTTTGGGAATTGGACCATTGCGCACGCACTGGCTCATCAGCCAGCTTCTTCGACTCCTTGAGCTCCGCTGCGCATGGTACAATATCATTTGCGGGCCAAGTCCTCGCCCATCAGCTTGGATTGCGCATAGCCCGTGCCTAGAGCGTACTCGAAGTCTCATATTGCCGCGTAGGCGATGATGGATGAGACGGGCGCCTTGGAGGAGCTCCGATGGGCGAGCAGAAGAAGAGAGTCGCCGGCTCGTTTTGACGCACCGAGCAGGCACAGTATTTTCAGGTCTCGTGCGACTTTGAGCGCATTCCGAAGCTGTGGAGGTGGATGTTGAAGTTCCCCGGCCACGCAGTATGGACGATCAGACTGGCTCCGTTCTGAGCTGCTCCATGCGGTCTTCCCCGAGGCCAAGGTCGGGCTGGCGATGTCAGGACTCCAGTGCGACAACCTTGGCTTTCGCCGATGGATTCATCCGGAGAGGGCGGGTTTCAAGGGTTGGTGGGCCCTCTGCTGGGGCCGGGCCTCGGACTAGACAATAGATCTTGTTGATGCTCGTGTAATTCACCATCTGGGTCAGAACATGTGCTGTCCATGCTACTAGAGAGGTGTGATTCAGGGGCGGGATGGTGATTGAAGCATTCAAGCAGTGTCTATTGTGAAGGCCAAGGTGGATCTGTGGCTGCGTTTATTGTGGCGCTGCCACAAGAGCTATTGTTAGCAGTTAGCTGGGAGCAGCTGGCAGGATCCTTCTCTGGGTCTGCCTCACTTCGAGTGCACCGATGCGCCCACTCCGCGTCCAACACTACACGTTGCTTGAGACGCCTCCCACGGTGACCAACCCAGCTCAAGCTCTAGAGGTGCCTCGGTCATGCTGAATTCGGTACTTCTTGTGGGTAATATCTCCCGACGTCGCAGTCTTTGCGCGCATACTACGGAGAACTCAGCGGTGGAGTGCCAACAGAGGGTCTATAGGATCAACATGCTAGTTGCTGCAAAATACCTACTTACTATTCTTAGGATGCCTTCCATGGTCTGAGAGTCGGGATCACAGGATCATATCCAGACGTCGGGGTGCGTCATTCAAGCGGAGCCTTAGTCCCGCTCGGAAGCTTGAATGGATTTAGTTTCCATAAATACCAGTACACGGCTTGTCCGACTTCTAATTATAGACGTGTTCTTACACCCACAACCTTAAGGAATGGCACTAGACAGCTATATGCAGGTTTGCCACACGTCTTCAACTAGTATCGATGACCAATAGCTGCTATGTTGACAGCTCTTCCGAGGCTGGGCCGGTGCTGCCGCACAGTGGCAGGATCCAACGCTTCTTTGTAACGGGCAACTGATTAGGTGGTTGTGGAGTATGTGACGCTGGATATTGCCGGAGAAGGCCGAGTAAGGATGAAGAGATGGACATTGCTCATGACAACACGGCTTTCTTTCCGACCGATCGTGGCGATATTGTCTGTCTACATAACTGAACAACGACTATTTAGGTGGTGGTAGTTCTGTTTTTGCTCTTCACCAAGCATCAACTTTCACATCTCATTGGCAAATCCTTTACAACCACGTCCGAATTTATAACGCTCTCAGCTCATCTTCTTCAACTCCGTCACTTCACCGCACGGTGATACTACACAACAATGCAGATCTTGAAGGCTCTTGGCTTTGGCCTGCTCCTGGCAAGCAGCTACAGCGTTGCCTCGGTCATACCGAACCATGAAGCACGACAGGATGGGTAAGCCGTCAATATGCATCAATGTGGTCGCCTAGGACTCCAAGCTAACAAGACCCAACACAGCTCATTGTCGAAGCGGGAATGGCGTAATCCAGATTCGCCTCTTAACTCTTTCGTCCGAAGGGGAGACGAGGAAGATGCTAAAGGGTCTGCAAAGAAATACGCCCGTTCTGATTCGGACGCAGAGGAGGAAGTGAAAAAGCCATATTTTCAGGATGCGAATGGCAAGAAGCACTCGATGAGCAAGATAGGTCTCGTCGAATACGCGAAATTACACAAAACGAAGGCAGTGGGAGCTATCGTGAAAGGGGGGAAAGTTGTCGGAACCCAGTATGAGGATGGTAGCCGGGTATTCTTCAAGAAGGGGAGCAAGAGCGGCTAGGACAACGCATAGAGATAGCGTTGCGGGATAACTGCCGATGGTGATTATGTGTTTTTGAACGATCACTCTCCTCTTAGGCAGGAAGCTATTCATTCATTCACCTTGATTATACTTTCCGAGGCGTACATGGGCTCGTCTCATTCATTCACCCGGTCACCCTCACTCACTGATCCATTCATTCGGGCACCCAGTCGGTCACCCAGCTCACATATCTGCTAGTTCACTTTGTATATCTTGAGCAGTTACTATAACATCGGCAGAAACCGGGCATGCAATTGGTGAGGCTGAGCCTCCAAGTAAGCGGGTCCAACCTTCCAAACGATCTCCCTCTCTCATGCTTAGAGCTTGTTCTGAGTACTATTGGTGGTCCATTGTCAAGTTTCTCGCGCTAGACAGGGGTTTTGGCTCAGAGATGAGAGAAGTATATCAGACATCTTGGCACGCTTCGGCTAGCTATGCAAGACTAGGGCTGACATTACTTGACAAGGGACGAAGCTTTGGCCTGCAACCGCAATAAGCCAAAGATCCTGCTGAGCCGCTGTCCGCTTGGGGAGGATCATATGAAACGATCATTCGGTATTGCCACGAACCTAGTGGTGTAGGTTAGAGTTATTTTAAACTCGAATGAACTTCCAACTTAGTCTGAGCAGCGTACCCGACACATCTCATGTGTATATAAACGACTTGAACTCGAGTGACTTCACAGCAGCATCGTTCTGCCTAGCATTCAACCCATCTAAGCACTGGAAGCTACGATCCATGATGAGGTACGCCGTTCCCCTACTCTCCGCGGCGACCATCGCGCTCGCCCGCGTCGACATCATGCTGCCGCTATACACTCCACCCGGCGGTGCGACCATGAGCGCCGACTGGGCCGCCACCATCGCCGCCACCATCGCCGCCGCCACAGCACACCCACAGCTCCGCTTCTACCTGGTCATAAACCGTTCAACGGTCCCACAAACTCCTCCGACCTGGGCTTCACCCTGCCACCAACGTTGCGCTACTCAACGCCCTGCCCAACGCCCAGACCAATCGGCTACGTGTCGACGGCGTACGCCACGGGGGTGCGCAACCGCACCGAGGCCGCCATAAAGGCCGACATCGACAACTGGGCGAGCTGGCAGACGCAGACCTCGTGGAGCGGGCCCGGCGCCAATATCTCGATCAACGGTATTTGGTTCGACGAAACGAGCGGTGACGCGGCGGACTTTGCCTTCTATCAGCGGCTAACAGCGCACGCGGGCCAAGCCTTCGCCGGCCGGCAGTACATCACGGTGCTAAACATCGGCGTGCGCATGGACGCCGCATACGAGCGGCAGATGTTCGACCTAGCCAGCGCCGTCGTCACGCGCGAGACGTGCTGGCAAGAACCATCAACCGCCAACGCGGTCGAGTGCCCGCCCACGTACACGCCGTTTGACGCCGCCACACTCCAAAACAGCAGCGGGTTGCCGGTCAACGCGGACCTGTACCCCAAGGCGTCGGTCATCGTGCACTACGTGCAGCCGCCGCGAGAGTTGGACGGCGCGATGCTGGCGGAGCAGATACGGCAGACGGTGGCGTACGGCTTCCACAGCGCCTACTTCACCAGCGCGAAGCTGTGGGAGACGACGACGCTGGGGCCGGCAACGGTTGGGGCGGTTGCGCAGGCGATGGCGGATGCGCAGGTATAGCGTGCTTGGGAGGGTGCCCAGGGATGCATGATGGTGTACGACACAGCAATTGATATGGCATTTGCTCAACGTTCTACCTCCTGCTTGACCTACTGTTCGTCTTAAAGGTAAGGTGTGGGTATCCGTGAGAATCTCAACCCGCACAAGACCAATGCGTCAACGTAGCTTCAGGTGTTAAGCACGATGAAGCAACTCGTCCAATGCAGCCACGTCACAGTTGCAATGAATACGATTGTAGTCGTGAGTATGTTTGTTAATCCTAATCGAAAAGTCCTTTGTGCCAGCGTCCCAAGTGAGTCGATATCCTCGACCATCTCCCCGAATTGTCACGCAAAAGTGCCCCATTTGAGGCACGATTCAGATGTGAGATATGGACACCAACACCAAAACCCCCTCCGTCCAAAGCATCGCATGAAGCAGCCCAAACCGGCCAACTGATCAGGTAACCTATCAGTTGAATCTGAACCACTTCCAAGTCGCAGCAAGAGCACGAGAGCCCTATTCTCCGTTCTTTCGTGGCATGATGGGCTTCGGTTCAGGGACGTAATCGGTTGCGCCGCCCATGTTCAGCAACCAGACCTTGCCAGCGTCCTCAGGTGCCTCATTACCGTAGAGGAAGCTATGGGGGAATCCGTACTCAAAGGGTACCGCAGACTCGATCTCCTTGATATCATCCGCCGAGAGTCTCAACGTCAGTGCCTCAATGTTGCCCTTCAGGTGGTCGGGATTCCGTCCTCCGACGATCGGAAATACGTAGGGCGCTTTGTGCATGACGTAGGCTAGAGCAACACTCGTAATGATCGTCTTGTGGCGATACGCGACAGTCTCCAGAGCTCTGCTGATCTTCACGTCGGAATCGCTGGCGCTGGAACTTGAGCGTCCCGCTCGAGAATTTCGACGCTCCTCCTCCGTCTTGAACTTGCCACCTCCCAGGGCTCCCCACGGAGCTAAAGCCATGCCTTCGGCCTTGGCCATGGGGATTATCTCACGCTCGAAGTCGCGGGAAGCCGCTGACCAGCGGCCCTGGTAGACGCTGAACTGTCGGAGGCCGTGGTTGCGTGCATACTCGTTGGCTTTGCTGACAATCCAAGCTGGCGTGTCACTCACACCCAGATACAGAACCTTCCCAGTCTGGACCAAGTGGTTCAGTGACTGCATGAGCTCAGGAATCGAGGTACTGAAGTCCCACCAGTGCACGTAGAGCTACAACGGATGTAAGCGCCCAGCAAAAGAGACTCTCAGGGGCAACGTCCTTACCAGGTCGATGTAGTTTGTCTGGAGCTTCTGTAAGGAGGCCCGCACAGACACATGTAAGCTCTTCGACCCATTCCCTTGGTTGTTGATCATAATCTCATTAGTGTGACCAGCGCGAAAGTTAGTGGTGAACTTGGTAGCAATAACTGTTCTCTGAGGTTAGCAACCATGCCATATGTCTATCTCTACTAAGAAGGAAGCCAAATTCGGTGGTCGGCTACCAAAGCCGGGTGCAAACCTCCATTGAGGTGTCCGGTCGGCAAGCCACCTGGTAGTAGAGGTTTGATAGGAAGCTCACATACCCATCTGGTCACGCACGCTACGCTTCTTCATCCACTCTCCAATCCAGGTCTCAGACTCCTCATTCTGATAGTTGTTTGAAGTGTCGATGAAGTTGCCGCCCTGGTCATGAAAGAAGTCGAGAATGCCGTCAACCGTGTTCTGGTCACAAGTGCCCATGTGCTCCTTCCAGGCATTGCCAAAGTTCATGCCCCCAAGGCAAATCGGGCTTACGCGAAGTCCTGCCGAAGGAGATAGGAGGCGATAGCGGGCCAGCGGGCTCTTGGGAGCTGGAGCCGTTGGTAAGTGCGATAGAGAAGGAGCCATCCTGATGCAGCAGGTAATTTTGCCTTTTGGAAGTGTTGGATTGTAGAGTGCGACACTGGCGGTTGAGTGGTATGAGAAGAGTCAGGCGGCTGATATCGTGATGAACGCGAATCAAAGAAGGAGTGGAAGACCAGAGAGGCGCCGAAACCTTCATATAGGTACCTACCACTCCAGCCGGACTGACGTGTGAGGTAGTTGCGTCAGGGCAGGCAGGACTGACATGGAGAGAGCTCCGAACTCCAGAGGCCTAGATTAGTTGCCGATCTTGTTGCCGATCTTATTGCCGTCGGACGTGCTGATAAATGTACCTCAAGCCCAGGGTGATTTCATAATGCCGAAAGGCTCGGGATTGCTGCAAGCATGATATCATCAACGGAGGGAGATGCGGGCAGATGTCCAGAGACATCACGGACGTAGTTCGGGTGGAGGCGCAGTGCACTGTGCACCTGCAGTGTTGATCACAGTTGGTGCGGTGCGGGGAATAACTCCGGCAAAGTCCGGGATGCTCTTGTGGAATAGGGGAGGCTTCCCGGCCCGTCATGTTCCGAGTTATGCTTGCCCCTTGGTTGCACAATTCACGAGTCAAAGAAGATCAAACAGGAATATACAGCACGCATGCTGTCGGCTATGAAGTTCAACGTACCTCCGGAAGATGAAGATCATTGCGACCCATTATCAGCAGAGCTGTGTTAATTTTCGATCGCCACCAGTGCTGCGCTGGTATGATGCAACTTCTCTCCTTGGGCCAAGACCGGGGCGTTACCCTGAGGAGATAGGGAAATCGACTTTGGCTCCGGGGTACGCAGCTCTCTGGAATCTGGGGCTGTCACGGCCAGTAAATCCTCTTTGGTGGCTCGTAAGCACCCAAATCTCGAGTATCGACCTGGATACTAGCAAGGACGACACCGACCTGCCGTTCGCTCGATACGTGCCAGTTTAGTCGTACTGCCACTTAGTGCCCGACGCTCACGACAGTCCTAACCCCGATGCCGCGCCGCACGGCGCTGGCGCTCAGGAGGGCCGATACCTTCCGGAACAGCGCGACCGTATAGTCGAAGTCCGAGTCGGCGGACTCCGTTTACTCGGACTCAGGAGTCCAAATAGGAGGCCATGAACCCACACACGTCACGAGGCGCCGGCGCCCACTCCTTACTGGCTATCCCTCCCGGCGCCGACGAGGTGGGACAGCTCCCTGAGCGACTCGAGCGGAGCGAGCAGCTTGTGCGGGCTGACTCGTGCAACAACCTGTCATATAGCTTCGTGACATCGCATAAGGCCAGGCGCAGAGCGAGGTGCTGTACAGACCTACACCATGGGCTGTCCGACGCGGTGTCGAAGGGGCGTCCGTGGAACACCATGAGTGTCAAGGCTTAGACGAACAAAAATTGGCCGGTGAGTAGATTGATACTGATATTGCTATCCTATGTACTAGTGATAGAGTACAAGACGATAGACAAAGAGAAAAAGAAGAAACAAGCAAAGATGTTTCACGAGCCAACTATATAGAATCTCGGACAGAGATTCCATCTCGTTCCACGATGTTCTACGCGTGGTTCCAAACTATTCCAGATCGTTCCATGACAATGAGTCCCAGATACACCATGTCCTCGCTGCAGTCGACAGGGCATACGAGTTCGGTTGAGAACTGGACGGGCGGGAGGCCAGGTATAGGTTGAACGATATATTTTGTTTTGTTATTAAGCCTCTTCGACCGTAAGGGAGGAGCCAAACTTAAATTTTCAAAAGACAACAAAAAGCAGAGCCCCATGTATAGACGTCCCATCTGTTTTTTCCTCGGGTGGGTTGCGGGACTGGCTGAGGAGCTTTTGGAAGGAACCTTGCCCATCTCGCGCGCGATGGCCTAGGATTCCTTGATGATGTATGCACGGGCTCTTGACCCTGTTCTCCTGATGGTGAACGCATGTTCTGTATGGTTCTGCGCGCTGGAGACGAAGTGGACCACGCAGCTTTCGAAGTAGGGTCATCATATCAGCTGTCGGAGTTCGAGAGGAAGTCAAGAACAATAGTGTATACCGAAAAGTGGTGTAAAAATGTAAGAAAGGAGGAGGGAAAACGATTGGGTAAAGGATCGATGAAAGAATCTGCTTATTTATCTTCCGACAGTGAAGCAACTTCGAGGTCATGAGCCGTGCACGGATAGGAAAATGCAAATCAGAGCTCGTATAGAAGGAGGGTTCTCGTCTGCGTTTGCGCCCCGAGCCTCGGCCAACAGAGGAGCGAATGGTACACTGAACCCTTAGAAGTCTCCGTACACCACATACATACTCAAGAACCTGGATATTTAAGGTCGTCTGTGATCTGTAGAATAATCAGTTTAAAACAAGCATTCAGCACGACTGATTAGAATACAACTGCTTATGCCAGGGTGCTTATTCGATTTCTTGATTCAATACCATACAGGGTTAAGAAGTGCTCGGACGGAGACTTATGAGGGGTGAATGTAATGAATTCGACGGTGTAATTTACCGATGTTTTGCAACGAACGCTTTGTTGTACCAGGACCCTCCCAGATTGTTGAATCCATCCCAGTGTAATAAGACACAAAGCCCGCCGGCATTGCAACTATGCATTCAACCCACGTCTGGAAACCCAGCTTTACTTGACCCTTCGCAAACCCAACACATTCCGCTCACTTCAAAGCTCGTTCTGACGTTTTGCGTGCTAGGTATTCTGGTATGGTCGGTGCTCGTTATTCTTGTCTGACATCCCGACGAGGCCCGAGCAGTTAACGCAGTTCCTGCAGTTGACGCAATTGGTGCAATTTGTGCAGTTGTTGCAGTTGTTGCAGTTCTGGCAGTTCTGGCAGCTGAAGCAGTCGAAGCAGTTGTTGGAGCTCGTGCAGCCGCCACAGTTTCGGCCTAGCCAGAGAGTCAGGTCAGTACAAGAGCAGTCGGCCAGTCTGAACTGTTTCCCGGGTATATTCAACGCAGGTGAGCTAGCCAGTATAGGTGAGAACACTGGCCAAGTGTAGTATGGAGGACGGGCACGTAACGCACATCTGCCGCAGGCTTTACAATCGCTGCAGTTTCTGCAATCGTTGCAATTTTTGCAATCGTTGCAATAGTTGCAATAGTTGCAGTTTTTGCAATCGTTGCTGTATTTGCAATAGTTACAGTTTTTGCAATCGTTGCAGTATCTGCAATAGTTGCAGTTCCTGTTGCCGTTATCGTTGCCGTTCTCGTCTGCCATTTTGGCTCTTGGGAACAGTAGAAGCTACGGTCTTGTATGACTTGATATGAGGTTGGTAGTGAACCTGGAACGGGTGATGGTGGATCGCGGTCAATATTGATTCGTGTGTACTGACGATGCTCAATGGAGTCTTCATGTAGGATATTGAGGAGACGGGAGTGTTGATCGTGCGCAGCTGGTCGTCTCCAGCTCGGCGTTACGACAGCGTCTTTAGCTGAGAGACACTTGTTGGGGGTGGTGTGAGCTGGAGAGGCCGTGCTCCATCTCCAGGGAAAGAGCACACCATCGTGATTATGGTCAATCAGGTGGGCGCGCGGTGGACAAAGCAAGTAGGAAACCAGCTACATGAATGGAAGGTACACTGAGCACTTATAAGTCTCCGTGCACCACCCATCCAGCAAACGACGGTCAATTTATCGAATTGGAATAAGCACCATGGAACCAGCATTATGAGTGGCGTATTAAACCAGAGCTGCGTATTTCTGTATGTTTTTTCCAGTATCTCGAAATCCCCACGGGTGATCTGGAGTCTTATCAACATGGCGCGTACGGAGACTTATGAGGGCTGAGTGTACTTGACCGTGACCGCTTCAGCTCTTGTAGGGCTTCCAATGCTTTTAGCAAATTGGAAGGGACAACGAGGCTATATTATTGATTTCCAGTCAAGTGGCCAGGCACAAATACAGCCAGCTCGTCGCTGTCCCCTATAAAGCAGACCTCGTGGGTTAGGAGCGTTCGTAAAGCATCCCGAGGCGAGTACGACTGGTTCCATGGAATCGTTGGATATCGCAAAGCGGGCACAGTCTTGTCTCCCATACTCCCTTGTAACAGGGACAGCAGATTTATGTCGTTTGCCCTGTTGGACAGACTCGGAACAGATAGCAACAGAACGGGCTGAGAAAAGGAAACACAGAAAGGGGTGGCACGGATGAAGATTGACGTTGACATCAAAATCAAGTCAGCGCTTGCGACACCGATACCAGTGCCGCAAGCCCTAACTTGGAAACAGATCAAACCGTCGTAATCCAGCCGCTACTAGCTGATCAAGCTGACAAGGCTGAGAGTCAGTTTGGTCGCATTTTATTTGACCCCTGAATCATGCTGTGCTGGGACAGCTGCGGTGGCCCGATACACCGGAAGACTTCTGCCCGTTGTGAAAGGCATCGGTGGCGTAGCTTCGCGAAAAGCTTTGAAGGATTGACTTTCTCCTCCTTGAACCTTGATTGTGGCAAGTTCGTCCAACCGAGATCCCCGATCAAGCATCGGTCCGGTTTTCGTGCACTCGTTGCGCGTAAGATGCAGGGTTGTGCAGGGTTGACAAGGTGACGACAACACTGCTGCCCCGAATACTCGGGTGAATCATGCAAGTAGAGAGCCTGTCAGCATCACAGCTCGTCAGGAGGTGGGGGTTGAGGTTCTTCGGAACCCGAAAACCTGGACTTAGGGTTGCTTGTGCCTGACGATCGTGTTTATTTTGGTCCCTGGTTCCAGTTTTGTGGTGGGTTCCATGGCACGGACTCACGCAGGTTTATGCCGTTGCGAAAAGCCGAGTCGGGACGGGCGAATTCATCAGTATGAAGGCCGCGGTTGGATACCGTGGTCCGTGGCATACATCATTGTGAAAAGTCGTCTACGATGGCCATTTCGATAACATTCTCGTGGCATACGAGACTTTGTACACTGTAGACCTCATTGTGTCACTGCAGAACATAGCAACAGCAATGGTTGCCCCGTGCCTCCAATGTTTTCCTTCACCTGCGCTTCAAGCTGCTGGATTGATGCATGGCGGGTGGGCTAGCAGGTAGCCTCGGGAAGCGCGGATGCACCGGGGAACTGTCCACTGCAATGGGATGGGAAAGAACCGCTAATATCCATACGAACATACGAGTTTGATGGAGATGCGAAGGAGCACGGAAAATTCGCATGTGCAGGATATGCAAGGTATTTGTCTGATTGTGTAGCCTGGTCCATGTCGGCTCGTAAAAGGGGAGAGTGTGGCGCCGACAAGAATCAAATCGGGAGAGCTGACCCATCAGCCCCATCAGCCCATCCGCGAAAGATGCAGGGCCTCGGCAGGACCCCTAAAATGGGATAGATGGCGTGAGGTGGGTGGCTAGCTATGAATACGACCCAGCGGTCCGGCAATGCAGGAAATGCACCATTGATGCAGGAAATGCCAAGGAGATGCCAAGGAGATGCCATCGTGATCATGGCGGTGAGGCTTGGCTGCTTGGGCGGTCAGGACTCAGGGGGCGTTGGGGGTTTCCGCCGAGAATGATACATGGAAGCCAAGAGGACGGCGGTCGGGCCCGACACGAACCCACAAACCTCGTCGAAAGATCAGATCGACTTTTTGCTTGCTGTCTTGCTTTCGTACGCGGTGGCCGGTCAACACCTAGAAAAGGAGAATTGAATTGCAAGCCACACAGGATATGGGACGGGACCCCAATCCCCCAGGGCTGTCACCTCTGAAAGGATAGGTACCTACCTTACCAACCTTAGGTACCTGTTCAGGGGACCCGATTGCCTCACCGCCTGAGACCTTGCTGTGGAACTGCACAGCCCGAAACGGTGACCATCCACGCTGCCACGTACAACAAACCGGCAATCAAATCTGACATCTTGGAAATACCAGCCTGTTCAACGGGACGTCCCTTCTTTGTGCATATCTAACACACCACCGTTTAACAGTAACCGCGAGTGCTGGTTACCTATTTGGCCCGAGGAAGAAGCGACACTGGCCACGTGCTTCAGAAAGCGAAAATAGAACCCCGCCATCCCGCCGAGACAGCCGCCCTGAGAGTTCATGGTCATCACCTTCAATGTTCACAACGGCTGACGGAAGACAAACGTCGAGTATCGTCGCATCTTTCGAGACTCAAAGGGCCGAGTTGGACAGACGTACAATGTCGGCCCTTCCCAGTTCCGAATTTCCTAGTTCCCATGTGCCAATTGACCCTTCTGATGGGCCAGATGGCTTCCATTGTTCAACCTCCTCTTCATTCACATGAATCACATCTCTTCTTTTGTCTCCTGGTCTTTCAACTCGCTCGCAACCGGAAACCCCAGAGACTTGACTTGTCACCCGCATTGTCAACATTGAAGCAGTTCTAGTCATGGTCAGGGCTGGGTAGGGTACCTTGCGTCATTCTGTTATGGCATTCCTCTCCTTGGGCCGCCCCAACGCTAGAGCTCTCCATGGACCATCACCCGACTGTCGCTTGCGCTGTCGTCTCTAGTAGCTCTCCTGAGTCTCCTCAGCCTCGCTGACGTTGGAACCACTGGAACCACTCAGGGGCATCCCATCAATGATCATCCGCCCTGACCCATCAGCTCCATCCGGATCCATTCATCGATCAATCTGTATCCACATCTAATCCCTGCGTGCCCTGGTCGTCGGTCGTGAGCGCCGAGCGGTGGACGCGGTGGGCTCGCATCTTGCCATCGTGGCATCGTGTAGAGCGCCGGCTTGTGGACTGCATTACAAGCTCGAGCAGGCGGCCCCTCCTGCCCTCACACTGCACATCGCACCATTCCCATTGTAAATTCCGTATTTCATATACATAGACTCGTTCTCGTCCTGTTTCTCTTCTTGTCCCGAGAATTGATTGTTATCCCTCCTTCGTGCACCTGTTCCAGCCACTCGCTTGATCCGACCTCGTATACGAAGTACATACGGTACATAACGACCTACTCACCTATATAATCTCCGTCTCGCGCCCTTGTCCAAGCTGCAACCCCGAGCCCCCATCCCCGTTCTGCGATCGAATCCGGCAATCACAGCTTCATAGAGTGATTCGTTTCCTGTATTGGTCGACCCGTGATTCACTACTTGGAACCACCCTCGGAACATGCGCGGTGCACCTTGCTTCCAACCGTGGTCTTGATATTTGGCATTCTAGAGCAATACATACATACGACAAAATGGGTCATAACAAGAGCTTCTCGACGACGGTGGAGGATGACGACTTCGAGTTCGACGAGGCATACTTCAGACAGTTCTACAAGCCGCTTTCGAATCTTCCTACGCCGCCACCCTCGTCCCGAAACTCCTCGGCAGCCCAAAGTCCGCAGATGGTCGCCGAAGATGCAGAGAGCCTCAACTCCCAGTTTCTAGGTCAGTCACCATGCTCTCCAATTGCTCACATTCTACATGTGCTGATCCTCAAACAGGCCCCGCCGCCCACCTCGCGAGAATGTTGCCTCCAGGAGCTTCTTTCATTACGCCGTCTACCTCTAATGTCGAAAACATGCTAGCACGTGCGAACCTGCCGATGGATATTGTGGCCCTCGCAGTGTGCATCTTGGATTCTCTGAACTCGAGGTTCTCACGCAATTGGCGGGTGTCATTCCCTTTGAACCGGCAAGGCCAGACGGCTTCGAAGCGGCACACGCTACCCTCGGGCCCCGTCCAGGCCACCCACATCGACTACGTGTTCCCCGAGATAATCATCCTCGCAGCCCTAATCATCGCCGACAAGTTTGTGGATGACCTGCAGGAGTCGACCCAGTACTACGGCTCCGTATGGGGAATGAACCTCTGGTCCTGCGAGCAGATCAACTTCACCGAGCGCTGCATCATGGAAAGCCTGGGCTACCGCATTCTGCCGCTCTGGGAATCGACGCCGATCAAGCAGGCCCGGCACGACATCGAGATGGCCAGGCGGGAGATTCTGCAAGAGCGCACGGCGATAGTAGCGGGGAACGAGACCAGGAAGCACTTTAAGTCGATGAGTTCGGGACACGCCGTCGTGGGCCTGGGCCTCCAGCTTACACCCGCCGAGACGCCGACGTCGGGAATAAGCTCGCCTTTTGGGCAGCTCCAGGACCTAGGGCAGGAATCGCGCGAAGCTTTCAGCAGAAGTACGACTGTCCCGCAGGATTACCTGCATCTACCTTATTGACATCGGCACGATGAATCGAGTTTGGCGTCGAGATCGTTCCTTCTTGCGTACATTTTATTACTATTACGTCTTTAATTGACTACCTCTGCATAGCAGGCCGGCTGGCTGCATGGAACGGGCTGGACTCATACTCCATTGGGCTAGCCCCGGGACGGACAGAGGGCAGAGCATTGTTCTTGGCGTCGAACCGTGGGATGATTTCTGTCTCTCCATCTCATCAAGGGGAAATCTGGGCAACGGCGTTCATTGGGGGGCGGAAAGTCTGGGCCTGTGTGGATATGGCGTCCTGGCCTTTCCCGTCCCGTGGGAAAAGGAGTTCCAAAAGCAGGGGACACGCGTCCCTGGCAACGATATACCCACTCGTAATATATGATCATTAGCAGTACCGTTCAATTGTATGCCCACATAGGGCTCTACGGGCCTTCCCAACAACTACATGTTTTTGAATCATGTTCATGTGTACCTCCTGAATGAACTGCCGCCACCAGCAAACCCGAAGTACGCAAGAAATAGACATGTCGATATCAGGCTGAAGACACCCGATGCTGGCCGGTATACGTCGCATCTTCCCCGGGCCGTGTCCGCCTGCTGTATATCCCGTGCATAAATACGCCTTACTACCCCAGATTTGCGTGCCACACAACACACCGCATGGCACGGCAGAGAAAGTGACATATGTATGTGCCGGTGCCGAACAGGCGGAGACGACGGCTCGTTACCCGTGATCGCAGACGCCCACCTAGAATACATACCACGACTGCCACGTACACATCCGTGAAGCACAGGAGGATCTGGTCTAGGACTTGAGTCAGGTCATAATAAGATCGGGACAAGGCACATGAGCTAGCTAGATCGATAGAGACTCGGAGACAGAGAGACCAGTACAATGATTATGTACATACCCTAGGTAGTCCCACGAACACGCAAGCCGCCATGAGCTGTGTACGTACATATGCTCTTCTCCATCTCAAGCTTCTCGACTCTCGTAGCAGTAAGAGCACTTCTTGAGCTCGAATTTGCCTAACAAATGCTTCCAACCTCCCACAACACAGTGCAGGGCGGTATGCTAGCTGACACAAGAACACGCTATGGAAGCAGAGCTGAGCCGAGGTGGTGCGGATCATTTGCAGCGGGATGATACGAGGACGATGCCTGCGGCACGCGAGTGAGACGCGCTCGTCTGAGCAGCCCGCGGTGCCAAGCCCGTAGTTGGCGAGCTCACGAGATCCCGTTTCCCGAGAAGAAACACTACGTCCCTGACATGTATGTACTCCTGGCGGTGGCGCTGCGCGTCGAGGATGGTTTGTAGGAAACTCATTTAATCAGGCAGTCTCGATGCGCGATGGAGGTTATAATTTTGCATGTAGCTGGCTGCACTACTCTGCTGGTTGAAACGTTTCTGGTGGTAACCAGATATATCTCCCTTTCTATCAGACGTGGAAATGACCGACATCCAATGGATAGAAGATGTTTTTATAGTGAAGCGGGGATGGCTGACGAGCAAGCTACTAGCGAAAGACTGAAATCGGAATTCAAGCTTCACAGCACAAGAGGTGATACCGTCGTCAACACAGGCCTACCCCAGCCACTCGGCCCAGCTCAGCGACCGAGTCCCGCGCGCGTCGTACAAGACCAGAAAGTAAAAGGTACCATCCCCCCCCCTACTTCTCGTACACCCCCACATCTCGTACAGCCAAACCCCACTATCACCACCAAAACACCCCATTTTGCACCGACACCTAACTGAGGCTATTCACATTGTATAAATTTAGCAAAATTACTATAAGTAGAAGAATGATACGGCTTCAAAAGGATATACGCCTTAAAGCCGTGGCATAAGGCAATAGAAAGTTATAATAGATTTAGGCCGAGGTCTATGACGACCTTGTTTCCCATACAAATTGTATGGAGGACTAGATCTTACGCGACCGTAAATGATTCAAGAAATAAATTACTTAAAAATAAACGGCTTTGAAATATTATATACTAACTTGAATAACTATATATGTACAAAGTTTCATATATATAGACCTTATATATCAAAAGTTATGAAAAAGTGGTCGTTATAGATGGTAGTTTTGTATGGGAGTGTACGAGACGTGGGTGGGGGATGGTAACTAGAGGGTATGAAGCAGAACATGAATTGGGATATCCAGATGATACTCCTCTGCAACCTTGTCTTGTGATGGGGACGGGAGAATGCCTCGCTGAGACACAGGGCCTGGCAGCACGTCGAAAGCCATGCGTCTCTTGCAAGACCAAGAGCGTCCGGCCACTTGATCGCCCAAAAAATTGTCACCGAGACATTTAGAGCGAATTGAAGTGCAACCTGTACCGCCGTGAATTCAGATCCTCTCACACAGGATCTGGGTTCATCTTCCTTCTCCAGCATCTTTATACTTTTCTTGAACTGTCTCGCGAACCACGAATCATCCCTCATCATTTGACGCCAGTCTGGAAACAGTGCTGTCATTGTTCTTTCTGGTGTGGCCCACTGTGGTATCCTGAACGATATATCGGCGAGTTGGACCGCTGCAGAAAAAGCAACGAAGTAGTCCTGCGTATTCCAAGGTCCGGAGGTGAACTTGAGGTCATACAGTGCCTGTATGTAGACGATAAGCTGAGTGGTGAGACCCAAGAATGACCATTTTCGTTGCAGATGCCAGCCTTCCCCCAAAGGGAAGAGCACAAGTCGCTGTGTCGAGATATTGCCCGCGTCTAATCCCTTGAGGTCGGCCGATAGTACAAGCACCTCGAAGGTCGTCCATGAGAAGAGGTACATGGCGCCGAAGGCTTGAACCCAGGGAATGCCGGAACTGCCAAAGACTTTGATGACATGGGGAAGAACACCAAGAGCACAGGTAAGCCACCGAAAGCCCGACTCGTTTTTCAAACTTCGGAGGCTCGAGACTGAATCATCTTAATAGAAGCCATCCTCGCCACTGGTGAAGCGCTCGAGCAAGGCTCTAGTAACAGCACTACGAAACGGCTGGCGAGGGCTAGCGCAGGCTTCTGTTAAAGTAGCAACGAGCATGTCAGCCGCATCGAATGCAGATAGGACGGGAGAGCTGCGAAGAAGCCATTGCGGCTCATAACGTAGGCCACAGACACGTCCGCTCGGTTGGGTCATCGCGTTGATGGCGAAGCAGACCATCCAGAATAGCACGCTCGGTCCGGGAATTTCGGTAGAGTTGGGCGAGGTAGCCGGCACAGGTTCTATAGCATGTTCCTTATTCATGAAGGAGATGAAGTCCATCGATGTCTTGACGATGTCTGGCTCAGTGCTGTTCATCTTGGTGGTCGTGGTCGTGAAGATGCTTGCAGCGAGGATCAGCAGACTAAGAACATGTATGCCCATCGAGGTACTGAAGCAGTATTTAATTCCATCGTGAGTAGAACACTGCACGAAAGCCTTGAACGACATCATTGGGGTAAGGCAGACTGGGAGGCATAAAACCTTAGACTGCCTATGAGCTGCTTATCACGCCGAAGAGGCTTGGTGAGGGGCAGGGGGCGGAATTTTTTCAGTACCTGCCTATCTTCCAAAACCTTTGGCAAACAACAGCGAGCGAAGAAACCATGTCATCGAAGACAGATACAGACCTTTTATCGCAGGCCACTGACAAGGCCAATGCTGAAGTACTCCAGTCCGTCCTCAAGTCATTGTGCAAGGCGTCCGAGGAATGTCGCAAAGAAGCATCCAAGCACCTTCTGCTATCAACAAGCACAAGGACGGCCGAGAAGCGCAAACCGGACGATAGCAGTGCCAAATCGCCCAGCACAAGCAAGAAACAGAAAGCCGAAGAAACACTCACGTCGAGATACGAAAAGTGCATCACGTGCAAGCAAGTCTTTGACATAGAGGCAAACGACGATAATGCGTGTGTGACGCACGAAGGTAATAAGTCGGGTTATTGTTGTCCATTACATCGCGTTCTTTCAGTGCTGATTGATCCTACCGCGCAGGTTATCTCGAGATGGACCCAGAATGCTTTCCGGACGACGACCAAGTTACGTACGAACCTTCCAGTATCGATCCATATACAGATTGGCGTAGAAAAGAATGGCCGGAAGGTTTCATTTGGCAATGCTGCGACCGGGCCTGCAATGAAGAGGGATGCTTGGTCCAGGCTCATATCGCTGCAGATGCGCCAAAGTCAAGGGCTGCTCAAGGCTCGTGGTCGCGCAAGGCACCTGCAGTGATCGATCTTTGCTCGTCAGACGGGGAGGAGGTCTCTGACGAGGAGGACTGAGATCAGAATGCGAGCGATAGAGCCATGTGAAAAATGTCCTGTTGGGCTAGGTCGAGTTCATGGTGACGGTGGTGATCTGGGCATGAGCTGGGAGTGGGAGTCAGTAGCAAACCACAGCCATGTTGGACGATAAACGCCTTGATACATGAGAAACTCCGCTGGGAGTCTGGCCACTTGCTGACAGCCTTAACAACATGATGGGCGCAAGGCAGATTGTAGGTATATACCTACCTAGGTATGTTTCATTTGCATGAAGCGGCATGTCCAACAACATTGGGGTGAACTGGCGTGACTGGGTGGGAACATGGGAACGATTCGTGTGGAATCATCCGTGATGGGAAGCCAAACTGATAGCTTCTTATCAGCCAATCCCGGTATCCTTATCGTACCCGAAGCAGACTAGTGAGGGGCAGGCGGCAGAATTTTTGATTCACCGCCTCGGATGCCACTCGTTTCTCGAAATGCTCGTGCTTCTCACCCACCTATTCGTCTGCATAACTCCGACCGAACTGTAGCCCGGCCTAGATCCCACCAGTCAAGCACGACCGATACCATGGCGAAGAAACGAGCAAGAGAAGCCGATGGCACTTCGGGGGCGGCAGGCAAGATGGTGGAAGACAGCGAAAGCTCAGACGATGACGTGAGTGGCATGATGAGAAGCGCATTGGAGCTTCTTTAAGATCGCAAGTGCACAGCAGACGCTGACTGACCCAGGATTTCGACATGGTGAACGTCGACTTCGAGTGGTTCAACTTCACCGAGATCGACTTCCACGGCACGAAATCACTGATACGGCAGCTCTTCGACGTGGACTCGACGCTCTTCGACGTCTCAGCCCTCGCCGACCTGATACTCTCCCAACCGACGATCGGGTCGACGGTCAAGGTCAACGGCGAAGAGAGCGACCCCTACGCGTTCCTGACGGCGCTCAACCTGCACGAGCACCGGGAGAAGAAGCCGGTTGTCGAGCTTACCAAGTACATCACCGAGAAGGCCAAGACGAACGAGGCGCTGGCGCAAGTACCCGAGCTGCTGTCCTCTGGCAAGCAGGTCGGACTCGTGCTTTCGGAACGACTGATCAACATGCCCTCCGAGATATCTCCCCCAATGTACGGCATGCTCATCGACGAGATCGAGGCGGCCGTCGGGGACAAGGAGCCGTACGAGTTCTCGCATTACCTCATTATCTCCAAGACGTACCACGAGATCGAGTCGACGCTGGACGTCGAAGAGAGGAAACGGAAGAAGGGCAAGCAGGATGCGACGCTGTTCTACTTTCACCCGGAGGATGAGGTGTTGCAGAAACACGCTGTGGCATATGGAAGCTATCCGTTCACCAAGATCGACGAGGCGATAGCGGATAGCAAGCGGGCGTTCCAGGAGATGGGGGTCATGCCCAGGGGTTCAATGATCTTGATTGAAGCTAGCAAATTCGCTGATGCTGCCAGGGCGGTCAAAGAGTACCTCAGTGCGCCCTCGTAGGATATGAAATGTCAATAAACCCAGCAATCACTTGAGTCTCTGCATCAGGTACTCCACCTCCACCTCCTTCGTTATGGGTATCACAAAGTCCTTGTACATGGACACCACCGCCTCAGCCTTGATCTTGCCGACGCCCTCCGTGTTGGCCGAGGACGGGTCGGTACCGTAGGTCTGCGCCTTGAGGCCCAGTCTGTGCAGGACCTGCTTCTCGACAGCGGCATTCGTGATGGACTCGCCGATGCCGTCGCGGTCGCCCGCCTTGATCATGGCCGTGTACTTCTCGGGGTCGGACTGGAACTTGGACTCGGCGACGAACTTGCCAAAGTGGATGCGGCGCGACAGGGCCTGCAGGCAGGCGATGTCGGCGGTGGCAGAGGAGCCGTAGTTCTCCTCGGACTCGCCGCGGTCGCCGCGGCCGAAGTCCGGGCACACGGCGGGCAGGAACTTCTCGGTGTAGAAGCGCTTGATCTTCTCGTTGACGTTGACGTCGTTGGGGTGCAGGATGCGCGGGTAGTCGATCGGCTTCAGGATGGGCGGCTGCAGCGCGTCCGGGAAGAAGGGGTACTCGTCGGGGGCCTCGTAGCGGCGGATCCGCGACTGGATCTTCTCCTGCTCGCGCAGGTACCAGTCCATGAAGCTGAGGCTCTTGTCCGCGCCCAGCTCTATTGCGCCCGGGATGTAGACCGTCTTGTTCAGCGGGAACTGCACGCGCTCGATGAGGTGGAAGGTTATTGTATCTTCCAGGCGGCTAAAGCAGGCACAGTCAGCATTCTCGGGCTTAGTGATGCGTCCTGGAACGGCGGTAGCTTACATTAGCTGGAAGCGAATATTGGAGAGATCCAGTGCCTGCGAGGCATCCTTGAGGTCGACTATCGTGTCCATTGTTTTGCCGGTCTGACCTGGTGGTCAAGTTGATTTTTGGGTTTAGTCGAGTGCGATGACTGCCGGACGACTGCTTATTCCACTGCAATTATATGAGAAGTCGACAGGCTGCGTGGCAACATCAGGCAGGCTGGGCGTTTGCTCTTGAACTTCGGTCAAGAAGCAGTCACAGTGACTGGTCAGCTGGCGGGATTGTGCAAACCAACGGGAACGCGGGGCCGCAGCCAGTGCCTGGAAGAGGGGCACAGCTGGCGATAGAGGAATGACGATAAGGTTGGTGGTAGTTGGAGACCCCCTCCGCCCCTGCAGCCCGGCCCCGGTTCTTCCATCCATCCATCATCGGTCAACATAGTGCAGTCAAGTCACCAGGACTCAAGCAAACAAAAGAGAATGTCAATCGCTCCAGGTTTCCCCGACTGTCGTGAATGGCAAGCCCGTGGACGTAGGCATGTGACCAAGTCACGACGCGGACTCTGCAGGACGTACAGTATCATGTTCGAGCGGTCTGATGTAGGAACCTTCATTGAGCTATGTGACAATCCCCTTGCAAGGCCCGACTCTCTTTACTTTACTCGCCGCTGATCGTTCTGAGACGCCATGCCTTCGTGTACGGCGGAAAACAGCAGGACGGAGGCTGACGCCAGCTAATATGTCGAGAAGCTTATGAATTAACATTCTCTTATGCGACCGATGGTTTCTCAGACGAGCTTGAGGGTGTGACGGCTCAGAGCCTTGAAGGTCCCCAAGGTAACCTACCATCCGCGAGCGAGGGCACAGTAGGTGGAGAGACTACAAGGTGATTATGGCTGAGTATATCGATCTTCCCAGAACTTCACAGCTTCGCCTCCCCATTGATCACCTCCTTCAACAACATCAGAGCCTCAAGAGCAAACCTCTTCATGTTCGCAACCCTATCGCCCCCCAACCCCGTATTCAACTCCCTGGTAAAAGTGCCCTTATCACAGTCAACGGCCAGCGCCACATAGCCAGGCGTCCTATTCGGCGTGTTGCCACCCGTCGGCCCTGCAGTCCCCGACTCGGCTATCGTGTACGTGCTCTCCAGGTCTTTCCTGACGTGTTTAGCTAGCCCGCTCACTATGACGGTCGTCGGACCTTTGTAGTCTGCTATTGTTTCCTGCGACCAGCCGGCGTAGGCTATCCTCGACGGCAGGGTGTATAATGTGAGACCGCCTTTGTATATTCCCGAGGCGCCGGGTGTGGAGAGGAGGGAGGAAGAGATGAGACCACCGGCGGCTGTCTCGGCTATGGAGATGGATTCGTTGCGTTCTTTGAGGAGGGTGGAGATTTGGTTCAGGATGTCGCGGATTTCGGCGGGTGGGAAGTCTTGGTCTGAGGAGGACGACATGGTCCATTGGGAGTTTGGAGTCAAGGTCTGGACGTCAAGTGATATCTGGTGATTGAAGTGGAAGTCTGATGGGTAGAGCTGAAGAGTGAAGAGCTTCAAGGCCTTTGATATCGTGCCTGACTGCCTGCCGAGTTGCGTTTGTCAGCTGTACGTCAGTGCGGGGCTCAGTGGGGCACATCAGCCCCCTTTCCCCCCTTTCCAACCTTTGCCCCGTTTGTATACTATCCGTTAGCTATCAACGCTCGCCGTGGTCAGACTAAAAGCATAGATGCAAGACTTCCAGATTGGCTGAAATAGCTTGTGGCAGAGATGTCGAGTATACATTCGTCCAAGTCGGCATCAAAGACGGCTTGCTTGACATGGCTGGGAATTGCGGCAACATATCCTCCGCTGTCGGACCGTACGCTATCGATCAAGGCCTACTGCGCGACGTTGAGCGCGACGAGAACAGCGAGACCACTGTGCGCATGTTCAACACCAATACGTCAAAGGTGCTTCACTCTACCTTCGCCATTAGCAGATCAGGAAATTACGAGCCACGCGGAGACTACTCCATTGACGGAGTTCCTGGTACGGCTTCACGCATCACGCCTTCGTTCCTGGATCTGGGCGGTGCGAAGACGGGCAAAGCGCTTCCAACAGGCCAGCCAGTGGACCAACTTGACTTGCCCTGCGGCCGGTCCATCGAAGCAAGCTTGACAGACATCGCCAACACGGGTGTCTTCGTGCTCGCCTCAGATATTGGTGTGCCTGGCGACGTGCATCCAGATACCCTAGGCTCGAACGCCGAGCTGATGGCTCGTCTGGAGACCATTCGTCAGGCCGGAGCACGCAAGATGGGACTCGATCCAGAAGTACAGAGTGTGCCCAAGATCGTCCTGCTCTCCAGACCCACGCAGGAAGCAGCGGAACAAGGGGTCAACATCGTTTGCCGTGCACTCTTGATGCAGCAGGCGCACAAGCCCGTGCCCCTTACACTTGCGCTCATTCTGGGCGCTAGTTGCGGGATACCGGGCACCTTGGCGCAGCAGACGGCGGTCAGTGCTGAAGGGAGGGAGTCGGTGGTCATCGCGCATGCAAGTGGCAAGCTTGAGTTCGGCAGTGTGATGAGGAACGGCAAGATTGAGAGCGCACTTTTGCATCGCACCGCTAGGTTGTTGATGAAGGGTGATGTGTTTTACACCACGGAGGCTTGATACGGCAAAGTGACGCCGTTATTCGTCGTAGCCGCGATACACTTCCTGGGTATGGCTCTCTCCGACTCCAGAACGGCCTCTACTGCCTGCATAGCCTCGATTTACTCAAGACCGCTCCTCAACACAGCCTGAGCTGAAGATTTTCGCGTGGTACCACCCCGGAATGTGTTGTCGATCTGCTTCAGTTCGGCAATGGAAAGGCCACAGAAGTCCGGCTTGGTGACCAATATCGATATGATCTCCTGCTGCTGCAGACGTAGGTTACCGAGTTTGCGAACGTGCTTGTGCGATTCTGTAGAAGCGACCTCGCGCACGATCGCTCCAGCTGGCATTGATCTCGACGACGAAAGTGTCGACGTCCTTGTGAGTGTCTCCCATTACCGGATCGATTCATCGGCTTAGATCAACGGTCACTCACAAGGTATACCGGCAGGGACTCGTTGTGAAGCTGGCAGAACACTCGAGTGATGGCTGAGGGCTTGAGGCAGCGGATCCGGATGGTATTTTGCTTCTTTACAGCCAATACCGACGGTATATGGCGTATCTAATCTCCGCCAGCCAGATCTAGAAAGCGAAATGGCGTCTCATGAACGTTTTTACTGACTCTTTTGGACAGCTTGGGAACCGGGGATGGGCGAATGGTGGCGGCATCACTGCTGGCATTTAAGAGTCTTTTTTACTCCCTTCAGTCGGCCGACAAGATCGGAAAACACCTTTCCTGGTAAAAATCATCCGTGTGCTTGCACTTGTTTGTACATCTGCGCACATCACAGCAAAATTCTTAGACACTTGGCATTGCGCCATTATTTTGAATCTAAACACCAAGGGCAAAATCTCGAGATCCGCCTCGCTCCCTGCAAAGGGGACGAAACCAGCACTCGACTATGGCGGCCCTTACAACCCCCCAGTGATCTATCAGAGTCGCAGCTGACGCTGCTCAGTTCACCCGAGAACCTGAGCCTATTACCCCTTCCAACCTTGACCAGCGGAATAAGAAAAGGAAGCCTACCAATGTCCAGGTTCCCCCGACAATTGACCTCACTGGAAAGCCCGCTACTGGATATTATGACATTACTGCCAGGGCTTTTGCAGCTCATTTAGACGACCTTGAGCGCCAGGCCCGCATCAAACGAACGGTCCTAGGACAGCTCGCTGGCTGCCTAGACAATTATATGAGCACTTACAATGGACCATAACAGTCCGAGTACAAGAAGGAAGCCTGCTTAGTGATTGAGATGATTTATAGTCATTTAAACACTGCTATCTTTCTTAATACTAATGGCACTTTTTATGCGCCTATCTGTGTCAAAAGCTCTGGGCCTATTGACACCATCACCAGCACCACTAACACCACAAACGCGTACAGGCAAGGCCCTGGAAGGAAGTCGTCCAAGCAGGTCTCCTGGGCAGGAGTGGCCAAAGCAGGCCACGTGACGAATTCAGGGGGCAACGCTATCACCCATGCCAGTGCCGGACACTCCGCTCGCACGTCCCGCCCCAGGGCTTTGGCGTCTGTCCTAGCCAGGGATGAGACACGAATTTTAATACGTCTAGATGAAGACCGGTATATGCAGAAAGAGCAGCCCTTCACTCTTCGCTCTGCAATCTGTAAAGAGTTCAAAGACCTTGGGCTAGGCCTGGCTGACGTGCCGGACATCAGCCCGACCAACACTGGTTAGTCTATCAGGGTGGCAACCAGGCGGATTAGGGAACAGCTGCTAGGTCCGGAAGTGAAGCTGCGTCTAAGAAAAGTTACAAATGCTGCAGCAATAGATGTTCCAGAGCGCTGGTTCACATACGTGGTGCCAGACATCCCCTGGAACTTCCTTGACTACGTGAACTTAGGCAACCACATCCAGACACAAGAGGTGATCAAGGACGAGGTATATACCCAGACAAAAGCACGCCCTGTCAAATACAAGCCGTCTAAACAAGGCCCAGACCCCGTCACAGGCAGAGGCAGCTGGTTGATTTCTTTCTTAATACCTATGAGGCTATTTAGCCTCTTTAATGACAACGGTCGCTTAAGGCTGGTTAAAAAGAAACCCACCATTAATATCTATAATCCGGGATGTCAGGGCTATTATTTCGCTAAGAAGTGCAACCGGGTTCACCGCTATAACAACTACGGCGACTGAGTAGACGACTACAAGGCAGGCAAGCCCTGTGACCGACCTTCCCGCTGTACGAACTGCCACGGCCCCTTCCCAGCAGGACATAACAATTGCGCAGCAGCCCCCAAGCGCGAGCATGGGGAGCTTGTGCGCCGTAATAAGAAGCAGCTCCAGACTGTTAGATGGGCTGGAGCCAAACGCTACAGAGAGGTCTACGACATCACGTCGTCGGCGCCTGAAGGACTTGGCCAGAGCAGGCACGCACCCTCCTCCAGTGTGCCGTCCTCCCAGGGTCGGAACGCACCTTCTAGCGGCCAGCACGATCTCCAGCTCCCCTGCCGGGACCACCCTAGAGAGACACTCAGTTGACAGGGACGGAGACACTGAGATGAGCGCCCCGGGACCGTCACAGGCCCCGGAGCCGTCCTCTCAGGCCTCTCAACCGGAACGGCCAAGGCTACGACAAGGTTCTCAGCGCAAGGCCGCCCTCGCGAGACCTGCAGGCTAAACCTGCAAACAACCCGAACTCTCTGAAGAATAATGCCAGGACGCCAACGTCCTGATAAGGGGCAGTGCCGCCATAAGGAACAACGCCAGCATCACAAATTACCTGTCTTATTTATGATCTGGTGCAATACAGGCAAAGGGATGCCACAGCACAACATTATCCTCGAGCTCGGATGGGCGCTGGGCGCTGATGTCATCCATGTCAACGAGCCTTGGACAGGCCAGGGGACAAGGACACAGAACCACTCGGGGTTCGAATCATATGCCCCGGTAGACTCATGGAATACTACTCAGGATCGCCCACGGATCATGACGTATGTGCGGAAAGGGCAGAGGGTCAAGGCCCAACAGAAAAGACCTATTAGCACCCAAGACGCGCTCTGGCTGGATGTCAATGGATATACCATGCTCAATATCTACTGGTTACCACGCTCTGACAAGATGATCAATTACCTCACTAACATCAAAGTACCAGCTAATTTCTTAGTCAGAGGAGACCTGAATGTTCTTTATCCCACGTTTGAGCCCAGAATAGAAGGCCAAAATAGAGGAACTGACGTGATAAAGTGGATAACTGACAGCGCCCTGTATTTCACAGGTATACCAGGGCAAGCCACCCATCGGGCCGGTCATGTCATTGACATAGCGCTTATTAATATTCCCTTTGTTGAGACAGAGTTATACCAGGAACTGGCAAATAAATCGGACCATAATACCTTGTTAACTACCATCCCCGGCCGGGGGACCAAACTGCCAGAATAGTACCATTACAAGGTGAAGGAAGAGAACCTGTCACGCTTCTCTGCTGTTGTACAGACGGGAATGGCTTCTATGCCTGACCGGACGGACATCAAGTCCAAGCGGTATTTAAACAACTACATGGACAAGCTCACAGAAGTGCTACAATCGGCCCTCATAGCTGTCAGCATACCCGCCACAGATAACGGTAAGGGAGCCCCCTGGTGGACCAAGAACTGCAAGGAGGCCTACCGCATCTACAGAGCCTTGGAAGCTACCAGGCCCGGCGACCAGATGGGGTTCACAGAGGAGCATCACACCTTTCTTTCTGTGGTCCGCAAAGCTAAATGAGAGTACTAGCAGAAGATCATTGACTCTGCGCATACTGACAAGGAAGGAGCTGTACAAGATCATCGGCTGGCATAAGCTAGGTGCCCGACTCAAGTCCCCACCGATCAAGGTGGGCAACAGGGTAGTTGAGTCCACCCAAAAGAAGGCTAAAGTGCTGGCAGAAAAGGTGTTAGCACGCTTCTCAGATCACGACGACCTGGACTATGATCTACTGGAAGAGTAGGAGCCCTCTGAAGCCAAGCTCTATTGGGACACCACGGTGTCTTTGGAAAAAGTCAAACAGTATACTGTCGGGATTACCAGCACCTCTCCCAGCGTAGACGGAATCATAGTGAGGCTGCTCAAAGCCTGCTAGGAACACATCAAGGACGCCGTGCGCAACGTTTTTGAGCTTTGCTTGTAACTATGGCACTTTCCTGCAGCCTGGCGGGATACAGAGATATCAATGATCCCTAAGGTCAGGAAAAAGGACCGCTCTTCGGTTCGATCTTGGCGGCTGATTATATTACTCTCTTGCTTCGATAAGGGGTTAGAACGGCTGATAATAAAACAAATAGTCTGGACAGCGCTCTCTTAAGGTATCCTCAGTATCCAACACGGGGGCGCGCTGCCTAAATGGTCATGCATGGACCTCGTTCTGTCCTTTGCCCACGAGGTTGAAGCGGCACTTGCTAAAGGACTAAAGGTCTCTCTCACTACAGTTGACGTACAGGGTGCCTTTGACGCGCTTTTAGTGCGCCGGCTGCTGGAACGCATGCGAAAGCAAGGCTGGCCCCTAGCCTGCCTTGAGCTAATTAAGTCTTTTCTTAAAAAGCGGAGGGCCAAAGTCCGGCTTGAACGTGTCTCCACAGACTTCAAGTACATCAAGTGCGGCACCCCCCAGGGCTCTCTGTGGTCCCTAGTCCTCTACATGCTGTACCTGGCAGAGCTCTTGCTACAAGACCCAGAGCTCCGTTTTGGGTATGCCGACGATCTCTCCTTTTACAGGGTATCAAAGTCACTCCAGCGGAACGTTAGGATGCTAACAGATGACCTCAAACAGGTCATGCAGTGGGGAGACAAGAACAAGGTCTTTTTTGTCCCTGAGAAATATAAGCTGGTTCATATCACCAGAAGCCGAGATACTTCTAACCCCTCTATGGTGGTAGGTGACCGTCTAACTATCGACCCTGTCCAAGAACCCAAGGATAGCGGGAAGGAGCCAGCACTACGCTGGCTGGGGGTTTGGATTGATCGGAAATTCACCCTCAAGCGATATGTTCAGTATATACGAAACCTAACTAACACCAAGTACGAACCCCTGGTGTCCGGACTACAGAAGGCTGTGATCACCTGCGTCCTCCCTACAGCGTTACACAGGTCAGAAGTCTATTACGCTGGATAGCAGGCAAGCCTGAGGTAAGTGCTGGTATAGGATGGCATATCAACACCCTGCAGGGATCCATCACGATGGCGGCACAGGCGGCACTGCCTTACTAGCGGACCACACTAAATAACGTTATTTTTAGGGACACTGGCCTCTCTACGGCGGAGGCAGCGCTTAATATAACACTATGACGGTTTGTTTTCAGGCTAAGTATTATAGACAAGAAGCATCCCTTTGTCAAGCGAATCCAACTGCCAGTGATTATATGGGGCCGTGATACAGGCGGCTTCCAACACCTTAAAACTAAATTACGGCTAGCAGCTCGCCTGTTACCTCATGTATAGCGGCCCTTACTGGTGCCGTCGTGCTTCATGCCTGGCTACAAGATCGATCCAACCAGAGATATTGACAAGGAGCAGGCTGCCAAGGACTTCAAGACCTGGTTTGAGGTTCTGCCATTACATGACGTGGTGGTCTTCTCAGACGGCTCAAAGGAACAGATGCACGTCGGATACGGCTATGCGATCTATCAGGGCGGGCGCCTGCTCGCCACTGGCAAGGGTCGTCTAGACCCGCGTTCTATCATGTTTGATGCAGAAGTGCTCAGAGCCTAGAAGGGACTTCAGCACGTGGTCAAGTCACCCCTAGAGCTTAGTCAGCGCCGGATCTAGGTGTGCGTGGACAACACAGGAGCGATCTGGGGGCTCCGCGGCAATGCCGCGGTGTCCTGCCAGTGGGCCTACCTAAAGTTCTATGTAAAGGCTGAAGTCCGTAATATTAATGCCAAGTGGTGCCCTGGGCACTGCGCCATTAAAGGCAATGAACTGGCAGACAAGCTGGCTAAGGCCGGCTCTAAGCTCTCTAATACCGACTCTGACTGCACGCCAACGGCGTACGGCATCAAAACAGAGGCAAGACTTAAGCTCGAAGTCTCGCGTGACATATGGTAGACCAAGACCCAGAACAAGCTGTCAGCCCGCTATAAGTACTGGGATTTGAATTATAAACTGCGCTATTATAAGGAGTTACAGGTACTCAACAGGCTATCATTACACCGCTTCTTTACTGTCTGCTTAGGATACAGCGACTTCTCTTAGTATCATGTCAAGTTCAAATATCAGGACGCCGTCCTTGACTGCTTGTGCAGCCGGAGCAAGACTCCGACGCACTTTATCCACTGTCAGAAGACTCTGGCATGGTACATAGTCTGGTCAAGGGCCCCAGCATCCCGGCCGGAGCTCAGAGCCAGGCTCGAGTATCTAGACGAACTCATGACTTCCCCACAGGAGTACATGTGTTACGGTCGCACAGTGGGTCGCTGTGCGGAGTAATGCATATAGTACAGAAATAGGAGTCAATGACCATTCGGGTCATTGTTGAAGCTTTTGCCTCATGGCGCAACGGTTGTCCTATACGCGTTGTAACAACATGGACCTACTCGTGGCTACCGACTTCTATGGCAACATCTGCCTTTCTTGCTGAGGACATACTCACTCTTTCCTTCTGTTATGGCGTCTGGGGGCTTTATTTTTTTTATCTTTCCTTTTTAATGTCTTACAGGGCGTATAAGAATCACTGCAATATGCCGCAGTATTTATTATAAGCTCTAAGAGCACTGAACCTGGCGATACGCCCTAAAAACTGAACATTTGGGACCCAAGCCGATACTTCCCCTCACCCGGAGGAGGGAGGACACGGTGTAATCCGCCGCTTAAGTGTGGTGGCTGTTTACGGACTTGACCTGCTAGATGGGCAGTGTATGTACATAGAAGACCTAGCCTAGCACGCCTGAGCGGTCTCTTGGAGCCCCTGGTTGACGCCGCTACGCGGCAGTCCCCCCGGCATTAAGTGCAACAACAACAACAACAACAACAACAACAACAACAACAACAACAACAACAACGACAAGATCGGAAATCTTCTTTGGCAGTTAGCACTGGACTTTCGTGAACATGAATGAAGTATTACGCTTGCTGGTTCTTCGTCGCTTGTAACTGCAGGTCCGAAAAACAGACAGACATACTGCTGATTTCCCATCTTGCTATCAGAGGATTTTAGAGGTTGGGTCAGGGAATGTCACATGCAACGTTCATTGCTTCCTATATTGAAGAGTATATCCTCCCTGTGGAGCTGTGTGCTGCTTGCGATGAAGCTCACACGCTTCCGAGCCGGGGTGTCAGGGGGTCTGCTTACCGTGTTCTGTCTTGCCCTGGCTAGACTTTTGGGCAAAGGTTCCCATCAGCCAGTCATGGCTGTTAAGCTTTCAGCCCCCAAGCCTAAAGCACGCCGTGGTGGAGGTACCACGTCACGTCTTGTGAGTCTCTGACGGTATATAGGTGCAGATCCCCCCCTTTTCCAAAGAGGGCCTCGGCTCTCCCCGCACAATCAGGGCTCTGGTCCCCTGGATCACGGGGCCTCCAGAATCGGTCGGGGGTTTCGTCAAGCTCGGCCGGTGGTATCTGGTAAGGGGGGCCTGGATCAAAGACTACTGTCAGCTTCTGCAGCATATTTTTTGGGCTCAGGTGGTTACAACTTTGATTGTCGACGGCTGTCGACAGCTTTGTATTGGTTGGGGCTAACTTCTCTCTTGTCCCCAGGCTTTTCGCATCTTCTCTCTGTCGAGGAGTGTCTAGATCGGGACTATTGTGATCTCGGCGGGACAGTCGTAGTCTCGTTGGAACTGTTGTGATCTCGTGGGACTGTCGTTGCCTCGGCGCAGACAGCCAGGAACCATTTGACGGCCGTCGGTTCAGAAGTTCTCTCTAGCCGTCCAGACCAGGAAACGAGCCTATGAAAATCAGATCAGCTTTCTGACCAACAGAAGTACGAATGGCGAACCATCTAAACAGCCCACAGGGCTTGGGTTGAGTGTTCCAGTACCTTGGAAAATAGGGGGAGGATCAGAGCCTGGTTAACCGTTACCCCTTGCTACTCTGGAATAACGGCATCGAATAGTCCCTTCGAGGTACACCCAGGGGACGTTTCGGTGACAGAACCCGAGCCCTTCAAATAGTAGCTGGATCTCCCATAGTTGATATTTTTGTTAATGTTTCGCTAGCAAGACGAGATAGGGGCACAAGGGCCGCCTCCAAGCTGGTCGACAGCTCGGTGTCATGGATGTTGGAAGTATATCGCTGGAGATCATTAGCCGATGGCTTTGTCGTCAGCTACCTACATAGACATCAAGGTTAGCGAAGGCTTTCTTCCGGCAACCCCAATGGAGGTGGTCTCGTCCCACGGCTGTTGGATGCGACCGGGACGATCGCTGAAGTCTGGCTTGTCTCGAGGCGTCACTGGAAGCGATAGTAATAGCTCGAGACTGTCAGACGACACCAGGGGAGGAGGGATGGCAGCGCCAACGTGGGATACACAAGCCAGCGACCGAGGGAACCCGACCGAGGAGTGCTTTCAGAGAATAGTCGGGACGAACTGCTTGCCTGGTAGCTTCACGGGATCGTCTTCGGTTCTCGCGGGGACAGGAGCGCGGTCGGCTTTCCTAACCTGGATTCAGGAGGCGAGACCAGGTGGGCGGGTGTTCGATGAAGGCTGAGCTGTGTCCGACAAAGCAACGGGAGCTTCTGGTGTTTGGCATCCGAACATCTTGCATGCACGGTCGGGAAGAGGGAGTGCTTTTGTCAGTTCTGAGTTGTTGTCTTGGGTGACTGCGGGGAGGTCGAGGAGGTCGAGACTTGGGATACGAGGCGGGAGCCCATGCGAAAGGAGCTCGATCAGAGAGGAGACTCTGTCCGAAGGTGTACTAAGAGGTGAATATGCCTATATGTTAATCTAAAGATTTTCGAGTCTTTCAACGAGCAGACATGCAGTACAATAGATCGGTTGTGATTACACCGTTAGGCTTGCTCAGGGAGGGTTTTACCGAGCGAGCTCCCCCCTGAGGAGCACTCCAGCGCACCTACGGCGCTAACGCTTACAACTACAGGCGGTATAGCGTTCCACATCAGCCTCATAGGGGGGAGGTTAGGGGAGTTGATTCGCTCCAGTGGCACGATTGGTTCCTGCACAGGGCTGTCTGCACTTATACCTTGAATTTCCACTGACACCAGCAAGATTGGTGATGAACAGGACTACAGATTCACGAATTGGGCACAAGGTCAAGTGGAACAAAGGAAGCAGAAGCCAGTCAGATAGGGATGTATCAGTTGATTGAGGTGTGTAGCTTGCTTGTCTGTGAACCCATGAGTGTCAGCCTGCTCTGTCGATGAGCAGCTTCTCGTGTCGAGTGTACATGTGCCTCCTCCGATGCCTATCAATGAGTCCACCCCTCCGAAATCAGTTGTGTCAGTCCATCAGTGTGATACCAGACCCCGAGAATCCATTATCAGTGTGTGTCCGTGAGTGAAGAGCCTAGACAAAGACCCAGTCGACGTGGACGCGTCCGAGGTCAGGGTAGGCCAGGCTGTTAAAGACAGCGGGAGAGGCGTCGATGGAGCCAGAACCGCATCCGGGACAGAGGTCAACGACCTTGGCGACGGCGGTCTTGCCCTGGTAAGTGACCTTGATTGACCTGCCGCAGTTGCCGTTGTACTGGGCCTGGGAGAGGGCGACGATGAAGTCGCCAGCGCCGTTGGTCTGGCCGCAGGCACCGAGGCCGGGGGTGAAGAAAGTCATGTCGCCGGAGTAGGCATTGACAAGACCGGCACCGCCGATGAGAGCACCGGTGATGGCGTTGGTGAAGAAAACCATGATGATCGCTGGTGAGAGTGACTGGGTTGGTGGTGTGTGGGGTTGTTGTGGGTTGTTGGAGGTGAAAAGGGAAGATCTTGTGCAGGTGTCTGTAGACTAGGAGTATGTAGGTTGTCGTAGACTAGGAGTCTGTAGGTTGTCGTAGGTGAGAGCAGAGACAAAGATCGTGAGAATGAATGTGGTGTTGTGGTTGCGGTTGTAGAAGAGATGGAGAGAAAGATGCCTGGGAGAAAGGAAAGCTGCCTTTTACGGTCAAAACCTCTGGCTGATTGTGCACCTGGGGACCTTGAAGGCACGCGGCCATCACTTGACCAACAGCTGGACCCCGTGCACCTGCACCTCCTCCAGCAGACGGGACGCATGGTCCGAGCATGACGTTTGTTTGACTGCTTCGTCTTCAAGAACAGAAGGAGCGGTCATGAGAGCCGTCACGAGGGGGTTGAGGCCTTTCATCCTGACTGGCCAGTTGCATGCGTAGCTGCAGAGAATCACCAGGGGGCGGTTTGACGAACGGCAATGACTGTGCTAATGGATCACGCGACTGCCATGAACTCTTTTCTATGTGCCCATGTTTACGCAAGACAAATACATGTTGGCGTCACCTGCCCATGGAAAGACATGGCAAGCACGCTTCAGAGCTGTTGAGAACAGTACCACCAACTGCAATGACCACCAACTGGCGGGGGTTCTGACCGATATCTCGAGAGGTGAATAGCAGAACACGATCACAGGATGTATTCAGAAGTTGTAGCATTATTTCTCTTTGTCAGGTGCTGCTACATGGGACTAATTCGGATTCACGGGTGATGTTGGGTGCTGGCCTGTGTTGTCACGACTGCAGGAAGCAACCCAACAAATACTATGCTGTGTACAGGACGAGTAGTTGAATTACCGGCAACTGCCCAGTGGCCGCTGAAGTACCTGTTGGGAACTGATTTCAGAGTAAGCAAGTAGGTAGGTAGGTGCGTACGTGCCTGCATAAGGTAGGTAGCCCCTGAGCCGTGCCCACGCAACTGATCTCATGACAGCAAGGTACCCCAGGTTGATCGAATGGACAGGCCTGGACTCGTGGTATAATGACAGGTGCATGATGCAAGGCATTCCCGATCTACTTGGCACAAACTTAATCGGTGAATCGGTTGCAGCTTGGAAGGGCCCTCCTGCTTGAGAGTCTTGAAGCTGGAGGAGACATTGCTATAAAGATGTAGGTCGGCCGCAATGGCTGGTCCCGGGGCATGCAAGTCAACGTACATACGGTACCTTTGGGTTGATATCACAACTATGGCAATGCGAAGATGTATCGAATCTCAAATGAAGAGACCCTATCGAGTACAACATAACAGCTACATGTAGTCTCAGCATCTCAACGCAGGCTCTGGTAGTTGTAGGCGGTCATCGCACGAATCGATCAGAAGCCCTGGTTAACAATTGCCTTATTGAATCACGTATCCCACGTTGACAGACCAAGACGTGACAGCATGAGAATGCTGTTGCTGTTGCTGTTGCTGAGGCACCACAAGTAGCTGCCGTCCTCGAGTGCAACCGCCCAACCCCGGGGATCTAATGTGTACCCAGGGTTTTATAGAGGTCAGACCAAGCAAGCAGATGCTTTGAAAGGCGGTCAGCGCCTTTGAAGCCCCGAATTGACCAACATTTGCCTTGTCTTGTCTGTCTTTGTGTGGTGGTGAGGGACAAAGACGTTGTTGCAGTTGCTCAGCCACGACACAGGGGCTGGCGCTAAGCCCATGAAAGGGGCTGACGCCACAATCCCATTCATGCTGGGGCTTTGCTTCAGCCTGGAGGGCTTTGAGCCTTTGACTCATTGATCCTTGCCCACTGGTTAAACCAACGCTCCATCAGTCCTATTACCCGACGATATGGGTATAAATGCACCCGTCGCTGTCGAGGATGAAGAAGATGGCAGCAAACAACAATATCACATCCACCAGTTCTATTCTTGAAGACGAAGACTACAGCGCAGAAATGTCCGGAAGACCGACCCTAGCCGAGATGGGCCTTCAGGCCTCAGCTATCCCAGTGAGACCTCCTGTTACCAACAACAGCGTGCGCAGATTTGATCCCCAGGTGGTCAAAAAAGACGCGCTGAGCACTCGGATTGTTGTACATTCTCGCTACCCCAAGTTGGTCCACGATTTCCTGAATCACAAGCGCCAACACGGCAGCGCCGTGGAGAAGGCTTTCTATGTCGCCTCGTGGTCATGGGAGCAACAGGTCGCACGGCTGATACAGAAACGGCCCCTCGTATTTATGAACAGCAGCGACTACACACTCCTGCGCAACGGCTCAAGAATCTCCAACGGAATGAGAGAATGGGATCGAGTCGGTACCGACGCTCAAGGCAGTAACAAGCACCTCACCCTCGACGAGTACCTTAGCTATGACGAGATGATGCTCGGCAGCCTACTCGGAGTCAGTGGGCCAAGCAACTTCATCAACGACGGAGGGCGCTACAACTCTGCGAGCCGGGTTGAACTCGGGTCCTACGAGGAGCGAGGGATCATCATCGGCCTCGTAGGAGCCAGATTCGAACGCGCTGACCGCATGGACTCAGTGCACGTCTTGCAACGCGTCGATCGGCCGAGGCAACACCCATTACTAAGCAAGATCTTCCAGGATTTTTTCGGCCCTACGAGGAGACCCAATGACAGATTCGATGCCGAGATGTACCGAGCACGGATAGGCATCACTGCTGAGATCCTGTTACTCGAAGCCAACGACCGTGCGAAAGAGGCCGACCTGAAAGCCCACGTCTACGTCGTGGGGCTCGGATTGGGAGTATGGCAGGTTGCCACTCAACAGTCGACCTACTACATCGAGGCCTTCGCCGACGCGCTGACCCGACTCGGCCCTCGGCTGGCTAACGTCGCGACATTGGAGTTTGCCTGGATCTCGGTCGAAGGCGCCCCTAGACGGACGTTGGAGGCAGCGGCAAACCGCCTGGGCATCAAGGTCAAGGTGACAAAACGCAACCCGGCCGAGCTTCGCCCTGCAGAAGAGCGCAATCAACTGTTAGTACTGAGTTATGCCTGGGATTCCAACGCTTTCCCAGGAAACGAGTATTGGGATGGTTCCTTGACCGCCAGTGGCGACCCGGCTGCTGCCTGTATGTCAAACGTCAGTGAGCTCCACAACCCATCGATTAACCCAGGATTCGTCAACCGAATAAATGTGCTCGACCCGTCGGTGACTCCATAGGCTGTCTGAGCCCATGTAGATACCTAGTTAGCTCGAATGATTATTTCGTTATCAAATTGTATTCGTGATCGTGTCGTAGTCACATGTTGTATTCGGCGTGAATTGTTGAGGTTGCCCACCGAGATCGAATCGTGATTCCTGTGTCTCGTTCTGCTACTATATGCGTGACAGCCACGGCTTAATCGCCGGGATAGGAAAGGAGTACATCACTGCAACGTAGGGTAACGAGTAGTGTACATCGTATTCTGAGAACGTTCAGCTGATTCTATACCACTGGCTTCGGCAGACCGTACATCTCGATTGCTCTTGAGACGACCCAGTCGCGGAATCATTCGCTTTGGGACTGTCCAAGGCGTTCAGAAAGCTACACTCCCCGGCCATAAGTCTCCGAGCATCCCTGTTTTACACCAAAACACCCCAACTTTACGCGATCGTGATAAATCGAGTAAAATAGATACAACTTAATTACTTATAGTACATATAGTTAAATTTATTGGAATATAAAAATGCTTTATTTAAAAACTTTGACATCTTAAAGATAAAGGTCGTAAATGTTACTTTATTAAAGGCTAAATTTTGGATAAAAATAACTTTCTAACATATCTATTTTTTTTAAAAAATCTATCATATAAGGGTTTTCGTCTTATACGTGTATTACATGTCATTTAATATTATATTACTTTATTACGACTTATACGATTTTTTAAACATTTCTTATAGCTTTATTAAGATTTAAGATTTAAGATTTTAAACTTTACTTTTATATATCTATTTCTTAATATTTTAGTCGCTAAGAAAATAAATATTGAGAAATTAGTTACGAAAACTTCAGCATTTTCAAATATCAGTTTCTTATAATATCTCATTTTAAAAGCTTTAAGTCTTTAGTTATAAAAGCGTAAAGGTAGGGCATTTTGGTGTAAATGCGGGGATGCTCGGAGACTTATGGCGGGTCCGTGTACTGTTGAATGGGAGCCGGAAATAGACACCGGAAGATCTCCAGTGGGGCAGAAACGCACAGGGCATCTGACCCACCCAGAAGATAGATCATCAATTCCTGCACGCTCAAGGGGTGAAGGAGAAGAAGAAAAAGACAACACACTTGACAACCTGCACATTCTGAACTCGCTTGCATCTGACATGTACCTAATCAGATGCGGCACTACGTCAACAATGTCCGGCGTGGGATAGATCATATGAATACCCATGTAACTCGGACTCCGCCTAGTCGGTTCTGCCCACAGCTCGAAGCCCATCTTCTCCCAATGCTTGATCAATTTGCGCTCTACGGCTGCAAGATCATCGCCCTATGTCGTATCCTGGGTCATTCCGCTGGGATGCAAAACCACAATAGCGTCGTGGTCAAGTGACATGGACGTAATTAGGCCGTCGACAGCGAGCAGGCCAATATCAAAGCAAGCCACGGTACTTGGGCAGCAGCCGAACCGTGTTGATATACAAGATGTCGCCCAACGAGTACTCTTCCAATGCAGGAATGGAATGAGACCCATCTTCATCTTTCTTGAAGGGCTTCGAACATGCCTGCAAGCTCTGCCGAGTGATTGTCACATACTTCTCTGTGGGCCAGTCAGCGATCTGTTTCAGATGTCTACATTCGTTGGCCAATTACCACAGGCTCTCATGGTCATTTACAATGCGCCCAACCTGCACAACGTGGGCTTCCACGCGGCCAATGACGATGCCGTTGTCGTCGTCGTCGTCGTCGGAATCATCTTCGCGCTTGGGAGCGACAATGGAAGCTTCGATCTTCTTGACATAGCACTCGAGGTCGATTGTGTCATCCCTTGCGACGCCGATAGGTTCTCTCCTAGCATGAATCTCAAGCTCGAAGCCGCCAACTTTCAGTGGCTTGCCGCCCTTCCCAATGTACGTTGGTCTGCTGTGTCCGTGTGATGGCAGCTCTGCGTCCGCCACATCGTCCCCTGAAGAAGTATCGGCATCCTCTGCCGCTCGCTTCCGTTTTCGTGCAAACTCCAACGTGATATCCCAGATACCAGCTGTCGTGTTGTCTGCCATGCTGTCTGGAGAGAAACGTCAAAGATCATCCGCCGATGGTCAACCATTCAGTATATGTGCTGTAGGGATGGAGGCAACAGCCCCATACCGAGGGGCGCGTCGCGGACGCGAGGTGGCAGACAGACTTTGCGCACAAACCGTGTCGTGGGTCGTGAGCTTTTTGCCAAACACATACCACCTGCAGTGAGTAAGTCTATTCTGCCACATAATACAGCGCCCAATCCACTGTAATTACAGCGCCTAGTCCACTGTATCACAACGCGCAGCTCAACACCACAACGCATCACCACCATCACCACCACCACCACCATCACGGCGCACACAAGGACACATTCACAAATGGGGGGCACGCACCGCGCCCCAGACCCCCGGCTAACCCTAACCCTAGCCCTACGTGGTTAACCGGCAAAATCATGATTGCTACATCTGGTTTGGTAGCGGCACCCAGATGGATGTATTCACGATGCCGAGACAGATGGTGGTGGGAGAACGAGAGTGCAGCCAATTGGAGGTGGGACTCCATACCAGTAAATCCACGCTGGTCTTTGCAGGGGTCGATCGGTGGTGTTCCTTTTCTGGTATCTTATCCCCTATTGTTTCTATCCAAAAGATTCCGGCTGATCGCTGAGATAAGTTGCTTCCTTCTTTCTTCTTTCTCCTGAAGCCTGCAGCTGCAGCCATTGTTATCTCTGACTCCGCATCGAACCTCCTCACGCAGTACAGGTCAACCCCTGAAATAATGTACCGTGGGGCCGGTCTCCACAGAGAGCCCTGCCAAGTACCGTTATATAAGAACTCCCACCTCCCCGTGCGAAACAATACATTAGATTTCTCTTTGTGGACCTGCGGAGCTGACGACTCGGAAGAATAGCCATGTACAGCTCACTCTTTACTGCGAGCCTCCTTCTGGTGCCAACGGTACTATGCCAGACACCTCCGGGCATCAGTCCTGCAGCGAGCAAGAACTTGGGTGTGCGTTACAACGACTTAACGCTTTCGGCAAACCAGTTGCTTCCTGAAAGCAGTACGCCTTACAAGATAAGTTTTCTATGTGGAATGATCACTGATGCATTGCAGCTATCCCCGGTACGCCTACGGTCTCCCTCGACCAGTCCTTGACCGGCACCTACATGGTCATGCTGGTCGACCAGTCGATACCACAAAGCAGTATCACCTCCACCGGACCTCAGGTTCAAGGACTGCAGCCGTGCCGCACAACCAGATTGCACTGGCTTCAGACTAGCTTAAGTCAGACGAGCAGTGGGACGTTCGTGAGCAACTCGTCTGCGATCGCAGAGTATGGTGAGTTCAATCCGTCTCATCGACGTCCGAATACACCTGACGGGTTCCATAGGCAGCCCACTCCCAGGACTGGATGACATCGCCCATACCTACGTATTCTGGCTGTTCCCGCAACCCGCCAACTTCACTCTGCCGCCCTGGGACGCTGGACGGGTCTACAACCCCATCGAAGTGTACGCCAGGATGAACTTCTCAACCAATGTAATCGCGCAGGAGGTCGGCGCGCCCATTGCAGCATCGTACATGCGGGTATCAATCCGAACAACACGGCCACAGGCACCGCAAGCAACGGGACGTGTCCGACCATTATGGGGCTATAGTGGACATAGGGGAATCTCCAGGGCAGTCACAGTGCTAGATCTCTATTATTATTACCACCACTTGCGACTTGCTTTGAATAGACCTTACCACGCATGTTAATATTCAGTATCAGCCATAAACTCACTTGGTGCGCAAGCAGACCCAATCGTTGTCTCGCTGTGACACTTTTGTCTGGATCACATCACGTCACCCGGTGCACTTGAGTCGTGCTGATAACTGCAGACTGGTCTCTGTCCCTGTGTCAGTCTCCATGCCAAGAGCTGGCGAACACAATTCTGTCTGGTAGGGTTCTTTGCAGCCTTGCGCTCGGGACAAAGCACTCGCAGGTGTCGGTTACATACCACATACATCAGGGCAATCTCCAAACGGGGGATTGTGACAACTTGCAGAGCTCTGTTGGCAAGCCTTGAAGCTAATGATGACAGAATCACCTTCGGTGCTGTCGATCGGCCCCTTCGAAGTCTATTGTGTCAGGGAAGGGGAACAAACCTCATAGTAAGTAATCGCTTCTTCGATCCAGATACTCCTCCGGTTCACTCTCCAGAAGGAATACTGCCAACGCGACGGCGAGGAATATCCGCGGCCCATGGTTGCAGCACGCTGCCAAACAACAGGAGTCTGATATGAAATCGGGGCCCAGCATGATTGCCAATATTCATTGTCCAAAGGACTGTCAAGTTCAGAGGATAAGGTAGGAATTTTCCCTCAACCGGCCCCGTATGGCTTTCTGAAGCCAACCCCCGATTTCGGTGCTGACCGCTCTTTGCCTGGACTGGCTCCTGAGCTGTCCAGCCTCTCCCGACCTCGGCCTTCTTGTCACACAACGGGACCCATACAAGCTGGAGGGGGTGATCTAGCGCAAACAATCATCTGGAGGAGTGATAAATGACCAGGAGGCCTGAGGTGGACGCCGTGCGTTGTGGATTGTTAACGTTACTTTATTTTCACAGCTACGTAGTACTAGGATTGGCAAACTTTAACCTACAGCGCCACGCAGGGATCAGAAGTGAGCAGACTCGTCTTCTGGTACTCGACAATGCTCTGTCCATTGCCGTCTCCTAGGACCACATCGAACGATGTGCTCCAGCTCTGCGCAGCAATCGACGTCTGAGCCGTGAAAAGTACGTATCCTGCCTTTTCGGTCTCCGTCTTCTCGAAAGCTAATGGTTGTACATCCAGTGCGGGGAGTACAAGTCCTTGACGCGGGACCCTGCGCACCAGGTCCAACATAAGCGATTCGCTAACCCGATTCTTCCTTACGGCAGCCGACACTGTAAGATTCATGTTCCCGTCGACTTGCGTGGTATTCAGACAGGACTGCGGCTGCTGATACAGCACTGAATCGTCGAGAGGAAACCCGTTCCCTTCATTGTCAAAGACGACTGCCACCCCGGTGGATGGAGTCGAGAGGTGGACGTTGAACTTGCTGATTCCCGCGGTCGGATCCAGCTGCGCGGCAAACTCGAACCAAGTGAAGCTCTCTTTGTACAGGCCGAACGAGCTGCCGGCCTCGTAGGTAGGATGTGTGGTGGTGATGACACTCGAAGCGTTGGTGCCGTCGCGCTCGGCATAAGTCATGTGTACCGCCAGGTCATCGCTGTCTCTTCCCGTTGCCGTGGATGTGCGCACCCGAATGCGTCCTTCAAAGTCGATGGTACCATTACTGTTGAGGCCCATCGTGCTCACGTAGGGCTTGATGTCGATAGGCTGAATAGCGTCGCCTAGAGTCACCGTCGCGGGCACCGTATTGATCATTCTCTCCAGTATATTCGCGCACTTGGCCTGGTACACGGCGGGATCTGCTAGAGCATTCATGGTCACGTTGCCATCTGCGCCGAAGACGCGCTTGTCGGAGTTGGTGGTCTCATTGGAACCGGCCACGAGCACATTCTCCCTCCCGCCCTCGAGGTAATCCGTCACGACCACATTGTCGAACTCGGCGTAGGACTCGTTGCTGTCGCCCTCGAAACGCGACTTTTGGCCCACAGAGGAGTTGCCTGTGATTTGGGGGAAGAACTCGCCGTGGACGCCACCGAGTGTGTGTCCACAGGCTACCATGGTGATCATGTCGGCTAGTACTGCTGTCAGCGTTCTGCCCCATTCAGCATGGACGACATGATTACGTACTCGTGTTGAAACCGGCCGTTGCGAAAATGCTGGTGTGCGTCGCGAGATCTTGCTCAGGCTTGGGCACACCCGACGGGCCTGCTTCTGTTGCATCTATCCGACCAGCGCGGAATGGGATGTCTGGGCCATTACACGCGTAAGCCGCCGTGACCACAGCCAGGGCTATCAGATCCGACGCAGAGGCTTGAGTCGAGTAGAAGCCGCTCAGGAAGCCGAAGGTGTTGTTGAAGGCATCGCCAATGTTCTCGGGGCGCTCTAACTCGAACATGATGGACGCATCTACGCCGCCTGTTCCAGCGGCTGCGTCGTGGGTCGACATGTCGTGGTATGCGGTCCGAATCCACTCGGCTGCGTTCTGGCGGCCGGCGACGTTTGTGCCGAAGGAACACGGGTTGACGGAGTCTATGAAGCCGAACCTGATATAGCCAGAATGCAGCATCATGAGATCTTCCAGATAGTCAGTCTGCGATGGCCACACATACCCGGCGACGCCAGAGGCGGCCTGGAGGAGACCGAGTCCGGTCAGGGCATGCTGTCTCATGATGCCGAACTGGATGTGATACTGTCTGGTGCCGATGAAATTATCGAGACCTTGAACGAGTGATGGTCTGACTGGCTCGGAACGAGTGACTGGTCAGACTTGACGGCGATACAGAATATAAAAGACAGCGGATGGCCCAACGAGGGCGGCAGGCCTTATATCTATTCCAGGCATGAGACATCGTGAAGTCTTCTAGAAGGTCAAGGGGCCCCGGTGCGGTCTCGTATCGGCATGGCTCTTGGCAGGTGACATTTATGCATTGCCAAGGCACCGCCGTTGGGAAAAATGGAAATTGGTATCGTATTGTTCGGGCGCCAGGGGTAACAGCCGGTCCACTTCCCGGATTAGGCAGTTTCCGGACCCTGCATCAGGGATCAGGCATCACGCTCTCGCCGCAGTATGGGCCTCGGGCCTCGTCCTTGAATTCTTCCGGCGCACTGCCCACGAGCCCACCTGGAGGCTGGAGCAGATTGCCTCTCGTGAACGGTGAGGAAGAAATGCACGAGCTGACCCCTCTCCACTTATTCCGCACCCATGCCACCCCACACTCACAAGTATGAATACTTCATACCCCTGACACCTAATTCCAGTGCGCTAGGTATGCACGGACCATACTCACTCATTGAACCGCTAATGATCGGATCATGAGCGGATTATAATCAGATTATAAGTATACCGCGCCGGTTAAGGTTAATGGTCGGTTAGTAGTTAGGGTTAGTGGTTAGAGCTTCGGGTTAAGGTTAAGGCTTAAGGTTCTTTTGTAATATGGTAAAATATTGTTGAATACACGGACGTTGATTACCAGAATGACCAAGGTCGAAGAAAAGGAACAGGTGTGCGTACAGCCGAGGCTGCAGCACATATGGTCCTGGTCTCCTTATCTAATCTACACGTGACCTGATGACTCAGCATCAAACCAGGTGGATACAGCTGTACACCGTCACACGTGACATCATTAGTGCTAGTATCTAACAAATATCGTTAGCAACCCGTGAGCGGATCATAAGCGGATCATGAGCAGATCATAATCGGATCATGAGTGGTACATACTCAGCGCACTGGAATTAGGTAGCAAGAGTGTGATTGGCGCATATCTAGCGTACTAAAATTAGGTAGCAGGGGCATAAAGTACTCATACCCTGAGTAGATACGGGCAGGGGTAGATTTAAAAGTGGGAAGAGGTCAGCCGGTGCATATACTCAACGGTGAGAGCAGCAGGGCAAGCTGGGGTTCGCGTGAGATGGAATACTGTGATGCCCATTGTGTTGAATGGCGCGCAAGCCACAGTGGCGTTCAGGGAGGTGGCAGTGCAGCGAATAAGGCCAATAGGGGCAACCTAGCCCGCAACAGATCCGTCCAGATTACACCCACGTACATGGAATCACCAGAATACTCATTTTCAAGCACACGAACCACCTTACGCACTGTTTGACACATTGGATAAGGCCGGGCGTCATCACGTGTACGGGTATACCTCCCCCAGACGTCTGTGCTGCATACCTACAGGTCAGTCATGCTCGCACGCGCATTGCAAGTGGCCAATGGTATAATATTTACTCGCGATGGAATTGACAATCCCGAGGAGGGTTAAGGTATGCATAATATCTAGAGGCCTGATCCAAAGTTACGGTACTGACGAAAACGAAGTGGTCTATTTAGCATCTTTGCCGTGATTAACAGCTATGCGATTGGCGAAGCTTTTGTAATCACCCTACCTTTCACCACTGCGCGAGTTTGTCCTGCAGTCTAGACCAGTTCGTACCTACCAACCTGCGAAGCTCATTTGTTCCATGTTCATCGCCACTGTATGCAGCCTCGTAGCCGGCGAGATCATCTTTGAACGCACTGATATCTCTGCGGAAAAAGGTATGCCAAAGGTCTGAGAGTTTCTTCAACAATAGCTCCTTCTCGCAAGACTGGCAGTGCGATCCGATCACCACGCTGTATGCAACGGTCTCACCGGTACCATCGATATGGCGATCATTCCAGGTGGCGGTATCCTTGAACCGAATGTCGTTCTCGCTACCGGCTTCGCGAAGCCTGTGTGTTCGGGCGTACGGGACTTGGTTTTGCACAACATTTCTCGGATCCGCATCCAGCTCCGGGACTGCTCTCAGGGGTATCTCGTGCTTGCATTTAGTGTAGGTGAGCTCCAGTCTGCATTTTGGACAGCTCGGCGTGCGGCCATCTGCTTCTGACTGCGCCACACACATCTGCATGCAATCGAAGCCCAGGAAGTGGCCGCACGGCAGGACGCATAGTTCCTCGGATGATTCTGTCATTTTATCTGGGTCGGTCACCCACGAGGGGAGCTTCAGCTGTCCACTCCGGCAGACTAGACACTCCAGGCTGATGTGGACAGGCGTCCAGTTCTCCGGCTTGGGTGTATAGGGTGCATATGCAGTTATGTATTTGGCTAGGTCCGGCCAGTACCCGATGTCGGCATCGGTGACGTGACGCATGGTAGGCATCTTGTTGTAGGTGATCTTCTCCGATAGCTCGATGAATTAATGGTAGCCTTGAATCAGAGCCAGGAGTGGTGACGATCAAGAGCTTGAGGATATGAATCAGAGCCAGGGATGGTGCCGTTCGAGAGCTTGGATTTCTTGTCGAGAGACGACTACATACGCGGTGGTCCATTCCGAATATATACAGAAATCCGTCCTTCGCAATTAGTCCTGGCTCATGAAGAGATTTGGTAACATCTTCTTTGTGTCTTCATGAACTGAAGGGGTTCGGGCTGATCGGAACAATGGCGAACAATGGGGGACGGCATGCAATCCATGACCAAAAAGAAAAGTACACAATAGATTTGAGCCATACAACTTTGAAATTTCCTTGAAGCCGTTCTTTGTGGTAAGGGAGCACGATAATCAGGTACGCTCCTCACGAAGTCGTCTTGTACGGATGAATAGTAGGCCATTCTGCATTATGGAGCTCTTCAACTGTTAGTGCCCTCAACCACAACAAGGAGCGGAAACCCCCGTGCTGTACGTAAAGTAAATTACATTTTCTGATTTTCCTTGTCACACATGAGTTGCTCAAGCCTAGGCTCTCATCAGTCACGATGGCAAGCCGACAAGAACAGGTGACCAAGGGGAAATACAACTTGGCTAATAATCCACGCAGTCCTGGAAATATTCGGGAGGTCCTTATAAATCGCCCTCCCCTCCCCAAGCTGTGGGTGTCTCACTCATCTCAAACTCGATCAAGCTTGCACTCACCAACTCGCCATGCCGTATTACGGGGTGACTTATCGCCTTCCCATCGATGGCCAGTCCTTTCACATACGGCATTGTCGTAGCGCCCGGAGCAGAAATCACCAGCCCCTTGTCCTGACCACCACCCACATCGACCTCGCCGCCACTCGCCACTCCCGCGGGAAGTTTGATAGTGACCATCTCAAAGAACGGCGAGCCAAGTATGTATTCGTCGCCTGCCGGATTGACTGCGTAAAAGCCCAGCGCCGAGAACACGTACCACGCGCTCATCTGTCCCAGGTCCTCATTGCCGCTCAGTCCCGCGCTGGTCGCGTTGTAGTTCTCCCAGGCTAGGCTGCGGATGCGCTCTGCCGCCGAACCCGGATACCCGATCATCGATTATAGGTATGGCACATGGTGAGACGGCTCATTGCTGTGCATGTTGTGCCCACCGTCAAAGTGCTCGTCGAGCTTGGTCTTCATGCCGTCCCGGCCGCCGTCGAACAGCTCTGCTAGCCCGTCTACGTCGTGCAGTACGTCGAATGTGTACACCCACTTGTCGCCTTCAGTCCAGCCCCACGTGTCGTTCGCCCAGGAGCCGTTGGCGTTGCGTGCCTGCATGAACTGAGTCTCCGCGTTCCAGATGTGTTTGTAGTTCTTCGCCCTAGCCTCCAGCTCATCTGCATCTGCTTCTTCGCCTGCTTCTCGTGCGACGACAGCGCATGCCGCGTCATTGAACGCATAGTCCAAAGTTCGAGAACCTGACTCCGACCAGCCGTCGCTATCGACCCAGCCATGTTCCATGTAGCTCGTCAGGCCAGCGCGGGCCTCATATGGGGTACCAGGTTCGCGATCGTAGTACAACAGCTCCGTGTCTCTATCTGGTGGCTCGTAGGCGTCCTTTCGCACTGCCGCCCAAGCTTTCCCGATGTCGAACGAGCGGAAACCCCGGGACAGCGCATTTGCTAGCACCGCGTCGGCATTCGTGGCGATCATGATGTTGGTCTCGACCATGTTGGCCCACATCGGGAGTCTACCAGTCCATTCGAAGATGTTCAGGAGAGACCGCATCATGCCGTTTACACGCTCAGGAGCGAACAACGTGAGAAGGGAGTGTTCAGCCCGGTATGTATCCCAGATAGACCACGATTGGTAGTAGGACTCGTTACTCTCGTGTATACTATCAGTGTAGCCATTGTAGAATGTGCGCGGACTGGCCGGATCGCTGCTGGTAGGCTCCGAGAAGTCACTGGGGTACTGGAGCGCGTGGAAGAGGCCAGTGTACCAGATTGTTCGTGGGTCGTGCTTCTCGTCCGTGGAATTGACTCCTTCAATAGTCACGCGACCCAGCTTCTCCAGCCAGGCGGACTTCGCCGAATCGACTGTGTCTTCAAATGAAGTGCCGTCGGGAATCTCGATATCCAGATTCCTCCGCGCTTGCTCGATGCTGACGAATGACACGCCGGTGCGGACCTCGACTCGCGTAGTGTGCGAAGGGAATCGTGCGTAGGCACTAAGTGACTCGCCAGAGGCTTTCAATGAAGCTGCGGAGATGTCACCTCCAGTAGTCGTTCCATACGATGTGAATGGCTGGGAGAACCGAGACACAAAATATCCACTGAAGGACGCCGGCTTGTTAGGTCCAAGGCGATAGTCCTGCCGCTGCGGGTTGCTTGCCCAGATCTCCTGGTGCTCTAGATCAATCTGGACATGCCCAGTCCAGTTCTGCCGCGTCGCTTGTATGAAAACGTAGGGCTCGTGGCTCTCCTTCTCGATCGACAGATCCGAAGTTTCTTCGAAATCGAAGCGCAAGAAACTGGTATGTGCCAAAGCAGTCATCGCAACTCGGATTCCACGACTGTAGGGGTCAGCATGGACGTCGTCTCTTTTCCTCGTCCGTCCATTCGCACCATCCCGGACATCGTCCGGCACAGAGCCAACGCCCCCCGGAACCGGTCCCTCTGCTGCAGCAGCCTCCGTGAGGTCCCAGTCATGTTCGCCTGTCGTATCCGCATCCAGGAGAACCTCGTATACGTACGGGGTGCTAACCTCGTCTTCCTTGCGGAACGAGAGCACCCGCTGCTCAAAGGGCACCTTGACCTCCCGTCCCCATCCCGGCGCCAGCACTACCTGGCCCAGCTCGCCCATCCATATCGCGGGCTGGTGCGTGGCCTGAAAGCCGTGGATGAAAGCGTCCGCGTCGTGGTAGGGCACCTGCGAGATGTAGTTCTCGCGCGTCTGGGGCGTCCATCGCGTCATGCCGAAGGGCACGGAGACGGAGGGGATCATGCCCCCGTTGTCGTTGGGCGAGGTGCCGTACGTGCCGATCTTCGGATTGACGTACCGGAGGACGTCGGCATGGGCGTGGTAGTTTGGCCCAACCGCCTCGTCGCGTGGTGGTTGTGTGATTACGCGGGCGTGAGCGGACCGGCAAAGCGTCTGGAAGACGACGCCTGGCCATAATATAGCGGTGCGCATGTTGCTGGATCGCATCCAATGTGGCAACCAACTTGCGGCGGCGCTCGCACAGAATCTGCAGCTGGATGATATGGTTGAGAGGCTGAGCACGAGCTGGTGCTTGCTATGTTGGCTATATGTTGTGAAGGAGTCAGGACCGGAAGTCAACCGGACACATGACCTGCCCAAGTATGTATGAGGGACGATCTTTGCCTTCACCGTCGATCTCATCCTGGTGCGGATAAGCTGCATCTAGGCTTTGCGGGGAGGCTCGGAGATCCGCGATGCGGAGCCGGCCCGGAACCCGGGATGGAGGATGCGGGGAACTTATTTATTATTTACATCCAGACATCGAGGTCACAAGAATAACTCACCAGTACGAGAGGATTGAATGACCGGCAGAGAGTGTGGTAATTCTAGGGACATCACTAGATAAAAGTTGAAGCACAGCATGTTTGTTTGTTTGTTTGTTTGTTTTGTTTTTAACGTGGGGGGTAGCTCCTCAGTAGTGCAAACCACGCCTCCCAGAGCCTCTGCATCGCAGGGTTGTGGAGGTCTCAAGATAATAAGTACAGTCAGTCCCGCTCACGGGCCCATCCCCGTTGTTGCGGCGGTATGACCTTGGGGTCATCCATCTGGTCCTTCAAGGAAGGCTATCTATCGGGGTTGAAGCACAGCATGATTATTGTGGTTACGTTCTCGTGCTGAAAACTTCAAACCCCCCCACCCCTTTTATCGCCAATACAAAATGTTCCCGACGGCCAAGAATTGAATTACACAAGAAATTTCTTCTCAAGCTGCCGTCCCAGACCATACCGGGCGAAGTTGAAGGCACATGACACAACAAGTCCTTTTCGCTACTTTATTCTATAAAGCCTCTGACTGGGCCAACAACCTAGTTCCCATCCCATCTTAAGCAGGCGCCTGCCCCCGGAACATGGAATCCGCGAGCACGTCTTTCACTGAAACATTCTGGTCGTCACAACGTTCCCACTTATACATCCACGCGAGAAATTCCTGCTTTTCTTCTTCCGAGATCTCGACTTGGGGAAGCTGGACGTCGTGGTTAGGGGGTTCCTCGGGTGACGTAGCTGCTTTCTGTCAGCATCGGAGGCCGAATGCCCCTCAACCATCGTCGAGGAGTATTTGAATCACTTACCGTTGGTGGGGGGAGCGATCCCTGGCTTGGTGTACAGTCGAACCCCGTCAACGATCTGTGAGTACTGCCGCCATTGCCTATCAGCTGCACTGCACTCCGAAATGGGTTGCTTGTATTGACCGAGTTGAACAACCATTTTATGTCTGTGATCGGCCTATCGAACCACTCTTCCGTAGAGCCACGATAGGCGCGGACCTCTGCGAGCGTCTGATCGCTGAACGCAGCCTCGTTGAGCCGAGCGTTTCCCAGGTCGGCCAGACAAGGCCTTTCGAACCCCCCTCTGTGGGGGACGACCCTGCGAGACCTATAGAGCACGCCGTCTCCCCTTACCTTTTGCTCACTTGGATTGGTTTTCTCGAGCTCCTCGAGGGTCCCCAAGTCGCGTTCGTCTTCAATTAGGCAGAGAATGTTTGAGTGCCAGCAATCTTCAATTATTGTTAATCATCGACGCTCAACTCGACCCCTCTCTTCGTCGATTTCAACATACCGCAATGAATAATCTTGACGTCCGTATGAAGGTAGTCAAAGGCGTGAAGAAGAAGCCACAGCTGCTTCTTCACCCAGTCCAAGTCTAGCCACTGCGTATCACTGGGGACGATTACTCGCACATGAGGGCCCAGGGCGTTGAAAACGAAGCATTGGAGCGATTTGTAGTCGTCGCGGATGGTGAAGTGGTCCAGAAGCTGGAGCACGTATTTCCTTCCCACGTGGCTGGACTTGGTTTCTTGGAGACGGATCAGGATATCAAGCTCGCGGGGCCGTTGGTCAAAGTAGTTGGCGCAGACTTTGACGCTCACGTACCGGTCCTTTCTAGGTAAGAGGTTGTCAGCCAATAGGACACACTTGCTTGTGCAGAGGAGCTGGTATTAGATCCTGTACTTTAGATCTCGAGCGAGCCACACGGTTGAAGTCGCACCCCAGCCTAGCTTCGAGATGATCCGGTATCGCTTGTTAAGAACCTGCCCTAAACGCACATGGTACCATACTTGAGGTGAGTACAGAAACATGTTTTCCTCCTCGAGCAAGTCTTCCTTGGGCCCCAGACTGAGCCTTGGCGCGCGAGAAGAAAGGGAAGAAACGAGCCTGCTCAAAGGGCCCGTAATGGTACCTTGCGATGCCTCTTGCAAAGCCACCTCTAGAATATGGTTAAGCCTTTCCCTTTGGACAAAGCGCCGTAGAAACTTGCGCATCGTCGAGACACGGGGTGGCGCTTTGGGGTCCATGTTGAAGCAAGGCCAGGTAGGGTTCTACGTGGAAGAAGATACTCTTGTGGAGAGGATATATCGTAAAAAGTGTCTCTACACTCGTTACGCGTGCTAGACTTAGGAGCTTACTTGTATCGCAAAAATTGTTTAAGAGGTTTCGGTGCTTCTGAAGGAATTCTATAGCTTGGTATTTAAATGTGTTTGGTAGAAGAATCAAACTCCTTCTCATATACTCGCTCGATAGGTACAAAGCGATTGTCACGATTTCATTATAGCAGAGTATGACTAGAAAGGGGTTCAGACGATTTCGTCGGATATGAGTATGGACCAGTAATTCAGTGACTACTGCATCGGAAATGCATGCCTTCGAGGCATATTCGCGACATGAGTTGGCAATATCTTCACTGTCCTCTACCGAAGTCGGATCGGCATCTCAATTTCATCGTAGACTTCATGGCGCTGGAAAACATGACGGGACAGATGAACAGCCACACCGTACCCATCGTGAATAGACTCATTCCGATAAGGGCAACCAGGACACTCCGCCAGCGATTATGGACTCATTGAAAGTGTCTTACCCACGAAGGGAATACGCCGAGTCCAATGAGGTCGTGATTCCCCACGGTAGAATCGTAGGGAACCGCAGGAGAAGCCGACACAAACGTAGGCCTGATCAGCTCGGCTGTTGCTGGAGACGACCGCTGTCTAAATCTGCCTATGTTCACCATGTAGTTCATGTTGTCCGAATATCATCGTACCCGTGCTCCTTGCTCCTTGCTCTGCGGAATGGCTCGGGGGAAAATGCAACAACTCGGTAGCTTCTGCCGTATGATACTTCATTCAATGCAACAATCGGCCTTGTGTCCAGCTCAAGGCCCAGCTTCGTAGCAGGAAATGATGTGTCATTCTGTCTCGTCGCAGTGCTGCTCAAGTCGGCAACGCTCCATGAAGATGTCGATGATGTTGAAAGGGAGCAAACGCCCGTCGCTTGGTGTGCAAGATCTCGCTGCATGATTGGATCAGGCCTTACAACCCCTGAAACCCAAGGCTCGGGACATCTGCTCCAAAAAACATCTCCTCTTGGACGCCAAGTAACCGGGCTCGACAGGGTGGCAGACCGCCAGTTCGGGCAACTTGCGTGAGATGGAGAGGGCCGCAGCAACTGGTGTCCTGAGGTGAAGCCGTTACGCGTTGCAGGGCCTGCTGAACACGTCCAAGCGGATGTAGGTTTCCAGCCCGCTGTTTGGATGGCATCGTCCTCAAACACTCGAGTGCCAGAACGATTGATGAAGACACTACGTCACGGCGTCTCAAGCGACGCCGGGTTGCAGCCAGCGGCGAATGAAATGCGGCTTATAGGCTATCGGCCAATCATTGTTGTTCGAACATGTGTCTGAGATGCTTCACTGACATCACAGAGCAACTTGGCGGGGAAGCGATGTGACGCTGAACTTGCAGGGCTGTCGGCTGTCGAATGGGGAGCGAAGGCTGCAAGATGTGCGATCTGTTACGAACTCGAGATTCATGAGTTGGCTGTTCGTTCGAGAAGAAGAGCGACCACCAGAGTTGATACATTCCATTTCTTTGGGAACAGAGTACCTGCCTGTACCTTGCCTATGAGGTGCGGCTGTGGTATGACAAAGACGTGACAGAGGCGCGGGAGGCCTCCACCGACAGACAACAAACAGTTGGTGTGGTCGGTATTCCCGACTCACTCACCCGGCAACATTCAATACCGTGGCCAGGGTCATTGAACATTGAATACCGTCGCCCGGGTAGTTGTCGAGGTGGTGGATGCGCCAGTCTTCAATCTTGTACAAAGAGGAAACACAGACAAGAGATAGACCCCATCTTTGGGGTGATCAGAGCCCGGGTGATCAGCGCCAGTTGCTACCGGGTACTTCCCAAAAGCGTAATAAAGCTGAATACATACATAATTGTCGTTGTGTCAGGGGTTGAGGAGTTACTGGTTCTCTCAGGCCACACCGATGATGCTGTTATACAAGTAGGGTACCTGGGAGAAGCAGAAATAGGTGGTGACACCATTGAGCGATCAATGCGACCGCTGTAAGTAGAGGGTGGGATAGAAGATGCTTGTTGGTGAAGAGAAAAGGAGGCGAAGTAAAAGTCAAAGAACTCCAGACGACAATAAACAGCTTCCCGAAAGGGCATTCACCCCGCCCCCCACCACTGTAGCCTCCAGCTGTCTCTCTAGCTACGGGCGGGGCACTGTGCCCCTGGGCCCAGGCCACTGGGAGCCGCCAGCTCTTCGTTTCCAACCAGAGGTAGGTTCCTTTAGCGATGGCCCGGGCCACTGCAAGGGGTGTTTAGGGGCTTGGCTATGATGCAGTGCTGTTATTGTTTGGCTGCAGTACCACGCAATCCTCGTGTCCTCGGTTCCAACTCCAACTCTCCTGACTGCGCCCAACTCCCACTTCTCTGAATCTGCAGGTGGTCTTTCCATTCTCTTGCGCTGTTCCCACTGCGTCTTGTTTCAGCGTCGAGCGAGAAACCCCAAAAGGTCCTCTCAAGCCTGGTGCCCGTCTGCGGTTGCGTGCCGCATTTCATCAACGGTCAACCAAGCAGGATCGCTCCATGTCCCAGGAGACCCTAGCAGCGTCTTCGCCCACAACAAACGTATCAGTGCTTGCCCCCCATCTCCAGCTCTTGCGATAGTTTCGTGCCCTTCAGGTAGCGACCTCGACATCATTAACTCCCGCTGTCACACGCTTCGGCGCCTAACAGAGTTCCGTAGTTGGGACGCTGCATCAGTTGGCCGCGGATCGGCTGGGGCTTCGCACCAGGAACGAAAACAAAGAACGGGGACCCCTACTCTTCTTCACATGCGCCAACACATCTGCCACGGCCCGACTTGCAGTACTACTACGAACCTCCAATACCATCGCCGACTACGATACTATATCCGACTACGATAACCTCTCCAACACCCCCAGAACCACGACACCAAAACACTGGCCTACGCGGATACTCGACGACCGAGACGGCCAAAGGCGGTAGACGGCGTGCCCTTGGCGTGCCAAAGGCACCAACATGGACCCAGCGCTCCAGGTCCTCGATGCGGCGCATCAGCTATACGCTCGAGCAAATGAGACGAGCACCGCAGACACCACGAATGAACGGCCGCCTGCTTACAAGGCGATCGGTATAGGTCTGGCCATTGCGTCAGGCTGCTTCATCGGAACATCTTTCGTCTTGAAGAAGGTTGGCTTGCTCAGGGCCAACGAGAAATACAGCGAGGTCGCCGGCGAGGGCTATGGCTATCTCAAGAACCTGTACTGGTGGAGCGGCATGACCCTTATGATCATTGGAGAGCTCTGCAATTTCGCCGCCTATGCCTTCACCGACGCCATCTTGGTTACGTCGCTGGGAGCCCTATCCGTTGTTATTACCACGGTACTCTCGGCCATCTTCCTAAAGGAGAGGCTCAGTCTGGTTGGCCAGGTCGCCTGCTTTCTCTGCATCGTCGGGTCCGTCGTCATTGTCTTGAGCGCCCCGGCGGAATCTTCCGTGTCAGACATCCAGGATATGAAACATTATGTCGTCGCCCCGGGCTTTCTGAGTTACGCCGGCGTCATCATCGTCGGCGCCGTCTTTCTGGCCTTCTGGGCTGGTCCACGCTATGGCAAGAAGAATATGTTCACATATATTTCCATATGCAGCTGGATTGGAGGATTGAGTGTCGTCGCTACTCAGGGACTGGGTTCTGCCATTGTCGCGCAAGCTGGTGGCAAACCTCAGTTCAACAACTGGTTCCTGTATATTGTTCTCATCTTTGTGGTGGCTACACTGGTGACCGAGATCATCTTTCTCAATGTAAGCAAGACAGTCTTTGGGTCAGTAGCACCTGCTAACACAAGATGTAGAAAGCCCTCAACCTCTTCAACGCCGCCATGGTCACACCCACGTATTACGTCTACTTCACCAGTACTACGATCATCACATCGTCTGTATTATTCCAGGGTTTCAAGGGCACAGCAACGGAGATCATCACAGTCGTCATGGGGTTTCTCACTATCTGCTCTGGAGTCGTCTTGCTCCAGCTTTCAAAATCCGCCAAAGACGTACCGGACACTGCTGTTTTCGCCGGAAATCTGAACCAGATTCAGACCATTGCCGAGCAGGAACAGCCCGAGACGGAACCCAAGGCCGACGCTATTCGGGGTGCCGCCGCCATCGTTCGTCGGTTTTCTAAATCAAGGCAGAAGATGGAAGAGCGGGAGTTCAGGAGACTACACGAAGAAAAAGAAAAGGAGCGCCTTGCACCGCTTAGCGAAGATGGTCAAGAACAATATGAGTGGGATGGCCTGCGACGGAGAAGGACAACACTTGGAAGCCAAGCAAGCCGACCCTTTACCGCAACCAGCGCCGCCAATACACCAGCGCATCCACCGCTGGGGAGGACACGATTTCTGTCCGAGGAGGAATTAGAAGAGGAGCGGAGTCGGCAGATGTCACCCGGTGTTCTTACTAGTATCGCCGGCACCATGCGGAGTCGTGCGCGCAGCATCCTCCCGGGTCATCCAGACTTCGGCCAGCAGCACCAAGACCAGAGCTCGAAGATGCAGAGCCCGATGCACCCTGTGCAGTTGACTGACATCGCAGTACCGGGCCAGAAGTACGGAAATGAAGCTAGTCCGTACGGCTATGGCCTGCCCTCGGGGTCGCTGAAGACGGGATACGGCGGCGCAGCTAGCATCGCGTCGTCCGAGGATACCGATCGTCACATCCAGTTTGCGGATCCGCCACGGCCAGGTGCTAGCACCACCTCGCTCGCGCCGCCGACACCGCCGCCGCACGGGGGCCCGGGACAACCAGCACGTCGGCAGTTTTCGTTCCAAAATGTGTTTCGTCGGCATCAAGCTGACGTAGCACAGGATCAAGCACTGCCGTCGTCGTCGTCACTGAACCCGCCGTCGCGGCACTCGATGGGGATTCGAGGCCACTCGGATCGTCAGATGAGGGTGAAGGACGCGACCGAGGAGGAGAGGCTGGGCTTGGTCAAGGGTGATTCGCACTCGATGCCGCAAATTCCTGGTCCCGACCCCGACTACGACTCTGATGATAACGACCTGTTCTCGGACGTTGGGGGGACATCGCGGTACGGCAGGGGTATCACTGGCAGTCCCCCGACGAGAGGAAGCGAAGGGAGTGATGATAATGAGATGGCAGCATCGGATTATGGCGAAAGGAGGAGGAGGTGGGATGAGAGCCGGAGTCGGAGTAGAGATGGGACTCCGCATAGTTCACCACCACGACCGCCTGGACGCGGTAGTCCTCCACTTGGCGGCGATGGCGCCTTCCTTTGAGAGAAGGAACGATTATGAGACATGAGCGACGTCATCTGCAATAGCGTGCGGTCTGGCGGCTTTTTACCGGTTGTTCCATGTTTCTGCGACCCATCGCGTGGACATCTGGGTCATGATGGGAAGGCATGCTCTGCGGCCCGGTTAGAAAAGGGGCGGTGAAGACACAGCAGCCTCCGTTGTAGAAGAGCGTAGGCATGGGTACATGACCGCTAGAGATGTTTGTTGTATAATGGATGAGACACATCTGTACCATCGCGGCGCGACGTTGCCACGAGGCAACAGAGAGGACATAATGAATGACACCTATTAAAGACTCTGAATGATGTTATTCCGGTGATAGTTTATAGTGACTCGGTGGCTTTGTGGGTAGTGTTGCCTTGCTTTACGACAATATCCACGTAATCCCTTTTCATAACATTCTTTCTCTTTCGCCTTGATTTTCCCCGTGTTCTACACGTATGTTCAGCTGTCGTTTCAATTCTCTTCATCGGCCATTGTAGCTCTGCAATATAGCCCAGCGTGTAGTTAGTTATTCTACATCCCGGTTTGTTGGCCCCCATCGTAGGAGGACTTGTGTGTGCGGTGGGAACAGAGGAGCGAGCTTTGGGTGTGTGGCCTGTGTTGCATGCATGGAGAAGCACCCTCGTATTCACCCAGGGTTTCTTCTACAGACGTCAAAGCACGGTATGTCGTAGATTTGCCAGGCGCCTGAGCTCGGGCTTGGTAGGGCGGAATCTGAAAGTCATGGGGGGTTGGGTGATGTGATTTTTTGTCTTGATGAAGGCCGTCGCGGTTGAGGAACGGGATGTGGCGTAGGGGCGTACGCCTGGTGAGGACTCGAGACTTTCTTCAATGATAGGGGTGGTTGTGGATTGTGAATTCGTCGGTGTTTTATAGTCTGCCTGTCTGCCCCTGATGGGATACTCGAGGATGCCTTCGCTCAGTAGGTAGCTACAGACTGGCTGGCTTTTCTTCAAGATATGGCATGTTTGAGACACGGCGGTCCGGCAATCTGCATGTAGCACGATGAAATGAAGGGGGGCTTATGTCTCGTCCCCATGATGTTATGTAGTATCGGAGATGCTGCCGCCTTTGAAGAACATCTCAGGCGAGAAACTGAGCACTTGGAGCTGCATGGCGCGTCATGCTCACTAGGTGCGTTCGGAAGACGTGAGAGAGGAGGGATAAGCACCACAAGGTGAGGTCCGGTTGTTTTCTGCTGTAAGGAAGATAGCACACCGCTTTATACTCCAGCTGGAATAGAGGACTATCGGAGCGCTTGACGCGAACCACCCATCCCTCGTCGTGCAGGCGAACGCAGGGCTGGAGGCCTGGTTTGCAGATTTACCATGATGCAAGTTCTGGGGTGAACATGACATGACCTGATCCGGGCTGTCAGTGAAGTGTGGTAAGCACACCTGGATGTGAGACTTTTGGGCACCAGACTAAGCCGTGGCGTTTCGTTATTCCGAGACACGCATCCGCATGCTTGCTCAACGTCATATACAGAACTTGGCGTCTTAAGCTGGTTCTGAAGTGAATGATACAGTCATCTAATATGACCACAGCGCTACCCGTCCCTGTCTCGAGTTGATGACGTTCCTAGGGCAATCTGAGTATTTGACTTTGATTTCCTGTTTTGAATTGCCCTCTTGAGACGATGTTTTCTGAATGGGCACAATATCGTATCAGACTCGACGGCGTAGCCTTTTGATTATGTCCCTTCCCGACTGTATTAGAACCTTGGTCCCTTTGTCAGTTAGTATCTGCGTTGCCTGCCCATGGCGTAGAAAAAGGAATAAATCAAAGGTTCTTTGGGAGCTCAATTGCTCTTCTTACTCAGCTCGATGACTGCATGTGATGACTGACGACTGCAGGCAAGACTCAGCCTGCCCTAACAAGCAGGTCGCTTGCAGTGGCGGCGTGACACTGTCTCATCAACATTTTTCTGTCGGGCGAATATTGATATTATTTATTGTTAGAACTCGTGGGCCCTACTCGGTACTCGGTAGCCAAAAGGTGAACCCGATCTTCTACTATCAATCGACTCATCGAATGAAATCTAAACGTTTAATGATTGATGATGACGATAAGCAGATTGATGCCTTGACTAAATTACGTGCCAGCAGTACACTCGTCGCCCACGGCTGGGCCATGGACGGGGACAAGCTGGCAGTGGAATGACCTCGATCGGGGAAAATGCTTGACGTATCATCTGTAATGGGCTTTCGCTTTTCCATTCTCTTGATGAGTGTGTCACAGCCAAGCTGCCAAGGCAGGTACGAATTCCAGACACCTCGATCAAGGTGAGATGATCTCGTGTTCTCGAGATGTTTGAACAGTAAGATTCAGAGTCTGGTCACCAGAGTACTGTCGGAATAGGGGTAAGAGGGTTCCCGTACTAGTCAGCCCTGCAAGGCACACAAATAGCCAATGGTCCAATCGGAAGTGAATACTGGTCCTGGCAGTGAGACTCTCTGCGACTGTGCTACCACTACTAATGCGGCATAGTGCCCCCGGTCTGATTACAATAGAGATGCAATCAATACCTATGTGTACGGAGAATTCTCCTGACGTCAGGTTCTGATTCGAGTGTTCTGACAGGAGGTCGAGGTCGGACATGCACTGAATACTTGGCATCCCAGGGTCCTCCCGTCAGCCTTCAGCCCAAGGCAGATATGCCCACCTCCTTGGGTCCTTAAATACGAAAGGGACTAATGTTGGAACTATACAGGTAATAAGGATGGTGATAGGAAGCGCGACGCTATATGGATCCGTACTTTCTCTGCTAGAAATATAAGGAAGTGGGACTTCTATCATGATCAATAACATGATCAACACATGATTAACAATAGGATTAGCAGCAGGATTAGGAACAGGATTAGCAAGAGGATTAAAACATGATCAATAATATGATCAACAGCATGATCAGCAACATGATCAACACCATGATCAACAACATGATTAACAGTACTGAAGCATGAAAATAAGACTTTATTTAGTACGGATCTAGAGACCCTCCGGTATAGCCTCGCGCTACCTATTACCATCCTTGTTACCTATAATTACTCTTCTCGCTGGTAGGATGACTGCATGCGATGACTGACGACGGCACGCGAGGCAGGTGGCTCGCAGTGGAGGTGTGATATTGTCTCACCAACATTGGAGGGTCTGCATGTCGCATCTTTCGTGTCTCGCATACGGTACGCGACTTACGTATATATCCTGGGATGTCAGCCCCTTGCGGAACTGGCTGCATGAGAGGATGTCCCTCGCAGTCTACCGTCCTTCATCTTGGCGTACCCTCCTGTTTCACACCTGTCAGACCGAGCGCCTTGTGTTACTGCATCAATGGGAGGCTTACGATATTCAACAAGTCCGGTAGAGGATGACCTCGAATCCCCAGGCACCTCTATCAACTGGGACGAAGAGTAGCGGACTGGACTGCAGTCCAATGAGCTCAAGTCCAACGCCACGGAAGTACATCAAGGACCGTCGTGGTGGCACCAGATCGTTCAAAACAATAAAATTTTACATCGACGGAATCATGACATTCGGCGGCTTCTCATCTTCGCTGTCATCATCATCATAGCCATATCAGGGGTTCTCCTTCACATCGATCATCGCGCCGTATACAATGGAGCACCATCAACATCCTCTACACCCCCCAACTCCTCCCCATCCTCTATACCATCTGCATCCACGCCACCCACAACACCCTTTGTCGAGACACCCAAAGAGGCATTCGCCGGGGCGACAGGTCCTTTGCCTCCTGTTCAGCTTGAGGTCCCGGGCATGTGCACAACATGGCCCGTAAATGCGAAGGGTGCATACAAGTCGAAAGTCGCCCATTCCAACACTACACTCACGAGCTCGGCGCCGCATGGAGGCTGGAGGAAACCTGCCGGCGTCACAGTCAAGGCTTTGGTGTTCTATGGGCGGAAGAGGACTGTCGATTTCCTGGACTGCTATCTTATGCAGAACATGGCCGACAATGGTGGCCATCTTGACGAGGTCTGGTTCATGGTGCGTACAGACAACGAGGAAGACCTAGCCTACCTGGACGAACTGGTGTCACGGAGGAAGCCGCACTACAAGATCGTAAGGCCAGGCGCGTGTCTGGGTTCTAGCTACGGGTGCATATGGGACCCCGTGGTCGAAGACGATACCATCTACGTCAAGATCGATGATGATATTGTAAATGAACGGTTCCAAGCCGAACCCCTCGCAGGGAAGCCTTTGCTAATCGCTACTTTGATAGGTCTTTATCCATCCTGATGCGATCCCCCAGCTGGTTCACACTCGTATTGCCGAACCTCACCCGTTCGCTGTCTCTGCCAACCTGGTCAACAGCGCGTTGACTGGATACGTTCACTATGATACCGGCGCCATTCACCCCTTCCGGCCTGACCCGAGCGACTCGCCCTCACACAGGGCCGCTGAGAGCTGGCGGCCATCGGACATGTAGGTCTTAGTATAGGTGGTATGCAGGCTGGAATCGCGTGGATCTAACAAGTATACTATATATTAACAATCTTTTTTTAATAAAAATTCAAATAATTAGAGCACTTATTAAGAAGTTTCTATTATTAATTCATAATAAAACTTTATTGTATTTATTTTATACGAAAAGAATTGTTATTTCAGTTTAAAACCCAAGTTTTTAACCTAATACTTCTTAAAAGATTTAAATAATAAATCTACAAAACGGAGGTAATTGTAAAAAGTTGCTTTTGTTTCATCTTAAACGCTAAAATTTTAACGTAATTGTTTTAAACAGAAGTTTAAAAAGAAAAAGTAGCTTTTACTTGATTTGAAGTTCCGAGTTTTTAAAGTATTTAGGTTTTTTTTAACACTATATTTATTTAGTTTTAAATGCCGTGTTTTAAATAGTATTTTGAAAAAGCAAAAATTTAAGCACTCGGTTTTTAACGTTGAATTTTGAAACTAAATAACTGTGAGATTCTAGAAGGGTCACAAGCCTTTGGGGTGTGAGCAGGCGCTGCAAATGTTGTTGTTATTCTCAAGTATGCTTGGCAGGGCTGATCTACAGCTAAATACCATACTGCACTATGCCAAGGTGGATCCACTGTTCCTTTGACAGCCCCCTAGTGGGTACTGCACCTAAGCGCACCATATCTGGGATCCAACATCTGACAATAACAAATTTAAAACTTAGTTGCTTTTATACAAGTTTAAACATAAATAGATTAAGTAGAGATTACATTTTTGAACAAAGAAAAAAGAAAAATTATGTTTATATAAAAGTTTAGACCTTGAAGCTTAAAAGTAAATACGGGATTAAAAAACAGTAAAAGTCATTTTTACTTGAACTTAAACCCCGGGTTTCTACGGTATATACCGGATTTTAAAAACAAATTAAAACGTATTTTTACCTGGATTTGAACCCCGGGTTTCCAGGGTAGATACGGTTTTTTTTTAAAGTAAAAAAAGTAAAAGTCCTTTTTACTCGGATTCGAACCTCGGGTTTCTAAAGTAGATACGGAATTTTTTAAAAAAAAGAGTAAAAGTCGTTTTCACCCGGATTCGAACCCCGGGTCTCCAGGGTCCGTGGTTACAGCGTGCGCCGGTGCGATAACGTAGCTAGTACCGTGGCATGGCTAGTGCGGCGGCGTAGCTAGTACGGTAGCTGAAGTGATAGTATAGTAGCTAAATAATAGCGCCTTGTAAGGCGTCGATTTTTAAGGTTACAATATCAGTCTTTCATCTCCAACTAATTAAATAGTTCTACTAATTTTAACGCGAAAAAGGCCTCTTATAAGGAAAAAATAAATAAAGGACCGAATTTATGTTAAAAATCTAATATACTTCGTTGTAAATCTTAAACTTTTTTATAATTATTAAAGTTATTTGAGATTTACATAAACTTTTTTTTTATAAATAAAGATTTAATAACTATTATAATAAGCCTCATAAGTTAATCTTAAATATATTTAAAAGGATTATTTGTTATATAAGCGAAAATTACTATGAAGATTATCATGGTTTTATAAAAATTTAATATAAATAATAAAGTCGGCTTTTTTACTTTTGACAACGTTGATATTGTAAATATTACAATAAAAACATTAAGTAAAAAACGTTATAGTCGGTATACAACCTAGACCTGATATTTTAAAGCTTAAATAAACACTGCGTGCTTTAAAGATATCGTAAATAACTTTAAAGAGTATTAAAAGTTTATAACGAAATAATAAAGATAAAGGTGTTAAAACGCGGAAAGAAGAACTACCAATACTCAATCGAGGCTTTAAAGCTGTAATAAGTGCTATCTACAAAGAAAACACCACGGATAGTATATACGAGGAGTTAAAAGGAGCTAAAAGGAGTTAAAACGACTTAAAACGAGTATTTTAGTAGAAAATCGTTAACAACGCGAAATTCATACATACACCACCAATTACGTCCATTCAGAGCCTCAGTAGACCACTGATTTCGGCCTTCAGTAGATTTATAATACACACATCCACTGTAAATATCAGTAGATGTAGTGTAATTTGTTCAAGCCTTGGCTAAGAGACCGCCAAGCCAGGCTTCACTCGTGTCCAATCCAGCAGCACATATTAAACAGACAAGAAGTGATAAGTGTACAAAGACGTACTCTAGTGATTCAGTGGCGCCAGTGGTCGGATAATGGGATACTGCTGTCGATTGTAGTTCCGAAAAGACCACTCGTCTCCTCGAGTTGGTCCACCATCGTTCGCTTCAGTGTCTGGGCGACAGGACCAAGGTCCTTCTCAAGGAGACTTTGACGTCGTGCTCTGGGTCTGTGATACTGGCAGCCTATCTTCATCTGAGGGGGTAGGGAACTTCCACAACCAGATATCGGATCATAGCGCTGAAAGCCCAGATGCGGTGGTGCTCCATTGGCTACAGAGAGAACTGGCTGCGAAATGTGGGCGATAGAGTGGGAATGCAGTGGTAAGAAGGGCTTGTGGGCAACAGGAGAAATATCGATAAAGGGTTTTGTTCGAGGAAGTGGGTATGGTAGGGTAAAAAAGAGGCGCAGGTCGAAAGAGTAGCAGCCGAGAGGGAAGAATTTTTATCCGCTGTCTCGTCTTCGAGCCTTCGTCACTTTGGCAGACATCTTCGGGTTTGATCGAGAAGCCTGCACGGCTTCCTGGTTTTGCAGCTCCTCGGGGGTCCTTTGCACCAGCCGATGCCGTTTTCGACACCAGAGACTCCACCTCTTACAATAATCGAGCTGTGGACATGACGCGCCAGCTTCACGAGAGACACATTGTCCAGATTATAGCATGTAACGTCCTGATTGGAATATGGAAGGCTTGCGTAGGACGCTGCTGCAGTTCCCCGAGCACGAGGAGTGGCATGATGATGAGCTGGATCCTCGCGACACTTCTTCACCAGATATGACGGCACAAAGACCGGTGTCGAAGCTCGAAGGGAAACCCGTCACGAGGAATCTACTGCTTCAATACCATTTTCTGAAGCCCGGGCGATGATAGGGGAAAATGTGCAGAGAATGCTTGAAGAGATAGTGGTTAAGGAGGTCGGCGGAGAAACTGCCAAATGCGAGGAAGCAATGAGAAAGAAAGTCAAGAAGAAAGGACCTTTGGAGAATGCGAATTCGCGTAGACTGACCAAATACGGCGTGGAGAAGTCTCATCATTACATCGAAGGTGCTGATGCCGACTAGCGAGATGGAAACAAGAAGCACACTAGATGAGTCGAAGTGGCAAGCACTACTAGTCCCGCACGACTTACCACTCCTTGCGATGAACCAGGCGGTGAACTAAGAGGTGGTGGTTCAAGTCGAGTGAGTCATAGTAACGACGCTCTCTCGATCGGTCACTCAGGGGCGAGCACGCGGGAACTGGTGAAGAGAGCATGGTCAAACTCAAACAGGCCGCACCTACGCCAGAGCCAGTCTCCAGTCGATAAACTCATTTCTCATTCATCATCTTAAGCTGCCGATACTGCAACCGGGTGGCCTCCATGTAGCCAAATTTTGAAAGGGTCGCTTCACGCTGGAGGACGAGCTAGCACACATCGTGAGATGTTTGATCTATGAGCGTGGTATGCAGGGCACCTCGTCACGGCGGCTTATATACTTAGTCCGCCTATTGAAGCTGTCCACGAGACTCTCTGTGCCGCAGGTCTGGGCTCTAGTCGATGTGCCCCTTTTCTTGTGATATTGTCCCCAAAGGGAACCCAACGCTCCCGAATTTGTCTAGCTCGGACTATTACATATGATGATATGCCTTTGCGGGTTGATAACACATAACCTGCATGGCGAGATTCCGCCTACTCATAAGAGACGTCGGGTCGCTATCCGAAAACTTCGCATAAGGCATCAAGCTGACATCAGATTGTGCCGCCTGCGCCACGAATAGCTGTACATGCTGGTCCCGCACTCCCGTCGGCACTTAACCGACGTGACCGAGGAAATACGAAGAAATGCGATGTACGAATGAATGCGATGGTGGTGATGTGAGCGTATGCATCAGCAATGATTCACAGCCACGAGAACGGTATGGTCTGTCTGTGTTAGTCCACACTGGCTAAATCGATCTTCATATGTAGCCTTGAATCCCTCACAGATGGGCATGGAAAACGAAAGAGTACCATCCACTCTTCGTTTTAAACTGCCGAGTTACATTGGGAATCACTCCCTAGCCAAGCCCATTTGCTGCCAAGACGAGCGCCTCAGGGGAGCAGTACGAAATCATGAGAAAGAATGTACCCGAAGTTCGCTGTGACACTCGCGGTCCTCGCAACCGTCACCCAATGCGGCTGCGCCTCCCACCCCTATCAAAAACCCCTTGAGACTGATCGTATTTACCCCAGTCTGGCGGACAGTTGCGTTGGCTTCTACAGTGTACATCAGCAAGACCACTAACGGACACAATTCCAGGCCGCAGTCCATGTCCTGGAATCAACACCTTTGCGAACCACGGCTTCATCCCCCGCGATGGTTTCAACGTTTCGTTCGCCGAAATCAGAGCAGGCATCGTCGAAGCCGCCAACTTCCATCCAAGTCTGATAGACAGCATCATAGCAGCGGGCGTCGGTGGTTCCACGACCGAGTATGATGATACCATACATCTAGACGACCTGGCCATACACGGCTGTAAGTAACACGATCCCTTCTCACTGCTCGTCCCTGTCCGTCGGTGTCGGTCTAACTGTTGTCGAATCCCCAGTCCCCGGCGAGGTGGACGGCAGCATGAGCCGCAACGACATCTTCTTTGGCGACAACCACAGCTTCAACGCCACCATCTGGGACATGAGCTTTGCGCACTTCCACAATCCCGTCGTGTCCGTCCAGGATGCCGCACAGGTGTGCGTGGACCGGTTCGCGGCGGACGACGCCGCCAATCCGGAGTTCGACCCGAAGTCGCCCGAGGGAACGCCGCCCATGACGGTGTGCTTCGGGTCCGCCGGGCTATACATGCTTCTAATGCGGGACGCCGATGGCAACCCGGTGCGGGACTGGATAAATACCTTCTTCCGTAAGCCGTCAAGGTCGAATTCTACTCGGCTTAGTTTCAGCTCCGTACTGACCTCATTTGTAGGCCATGAACGACTCCCTGAGGGTTGGGCCAAGTGGCCTACTCCGGTGACTGCGGATGACTTGAACGCTTCCCTAGAAGCAGTCATGGCGGCAGCTTCTGGGCTTACACCCTCGGTGAGAAGACATCTGCTGTAGGCCGGCTGGCTATACATGCTTGATATTGTAACCAATCCAGCGCTGACCCACGGAGGATGACGGGCTTGATACCTACTGGCCCCATGGAAGTGCGTTGGCGCAGTGGGTGTATCCGGGTTGAAAGTCGAGGCAAAAGATGATATTGTGTTGGGCTTTCGTAAATAATACACGATGGCCATTACGGTAGACCGACGGGGCTGGGTGTCCCTTTGGTGAATACATAGGTAAGTAGTCGCCCATCGCGTGGTAGGGCTGTACTAGCATACATCTTACTTACCTACTAAGTACTTGGCTGTCTTTCTCGTGACCTACAATCGGCTGGTTGTAATCGGTAATATTTGAGGGGCCGACATTCCAGCAAGCTCGGCCAACAGCAGCTCGTGATCAGGGCCGCAAAGAAGAGCCTAGGTTATGGAAACATCGATCCCAGCCAAATAACAAATGACAACCTCCCCTTTTAGAAATTAGGGTGTTTGGCGATGGAAGAAGCAAGGCAGCTGGTTTGCGCTCTCTTGATTCCCCCAAATTCCGGGGTAAAAAATTGGTACGTTACGCTAACATGGACTACCCTGACTTCCTGCGTTTCAAGTACCCCACCTGCCCGATCAGGCCATCAAACAGGGATTAGCTACGGCATCTCTGGTCGTTGATTGGCGAAGCCCTTCATCTCATCAAGTGAGACAGGGGGCCGAGGAGGCGGGCAGCAGGCACGACGCATGAACGCCAAGAGATGCGAATGCGGGGATTGCCGCTGTAACTTCGGCCATTCAGCCCTCTGGTACACCATATTTAGGGGCCTTCCAGGCACATCCGGGGAAGCTACAGCCTCACCTCAAGGCTCGGAGAGGACAGTTGCAGGGATTGTCTCGGGCAATTTGACCCTTCCTTGTCACAATGTCACCAGCATTCCATGTCGATCTGCATTCAGTCTGCTCCCATGAATGGGACAACCAACTGACCACATCCCCAGACTCTAGCATGTGCCAACCGTCGTCCATCTTATAAAGTGTGTCCGGTCCCGTTATTTTTGCCTTCACTTCTGCGATTCGTGCGAGCTACTTGGCGCGTGTCTAATAAAGCCTGTCCGTCTGAAGTACGATATCCAGTGTCCCACACCATCGTCACACTATGGCGCCTCTTCGACTCCTCGTGGTACCGGCCTTCGCCGCTCTCGTTGCGGCGCTCAACATCACCGAGTATGTTCCCTCCTGCGGGCCGACGTGCATCTTCGACACCGTCGTCGACCACACGACCTGCGACGTCAGCGACAATGCGTGTATCTGCCTCGACGTCTACACCGTGAAGAGGGACGGCGAGGTGTGCCTGCGGAAAGCCTGCAGCGTAACAGACTATGGTATGTACATGTAATCCAGTCTAGCCGCCTCAGAGACTCACGAGTTACCGAATAGGTGGCGTGATGAGTGGCCTCGATGAATTCTGCAAAGCCGTCTCGAGCTCGCCGACGACCACTGCGTCATCCACGGCAATCACGTCAACCACGTCTACCACCGCAAACACGGACTCTTCCTCAACGTCGACGACTGCTACGACGACGGCTACAACGACGTCAGAGAGCAGCTCCGGAAGCCCGACCACGACGCCCCCATCGACAACTTTGCCGTCAACGACAGCATCTGAAAGTTCCACATCCACGGCAACTGATACAATCCCGTCAGCCTACCCGATTTCCTCAACTGGCGCTGAAAGTCCTTCATCATCCTCTTCGCCGGCTTCCGAATCCACCAGCGGCTCACCTCAGACCTCGGACACCCTGATTCCCACCACCACCAGCGTGGTGGTACCAACTGGAGCTACCACAGTAGTCACCACCTCAACCGCTGCCGCAGGCCCCGGCTCGAATGCCACCAGCCCCATCTCGTCGGCCTCCCCAGGTCCCACCGTTGGTACGGGCGCAGGTGCCAGAGCACAGGCTGGTATCGGAGCAGGCATCGGCAGCATTCTGCTGGTCAGCGGACTGGTGTTTTTCGGCTTGTAAGCCGAAGTGGGAGCGCATCCTACCTAGCCATGCATGGTTCATTGAGTGTGACTGGCCTTTGCATTCATAGATACCCACCCGAGATTGGTCCTTCGACCGGGAGTTTCGTCAGGGCATCGACTTGGACTTGTACATAGCTATTCACTTCTTGTATTTTTACACTTCAGTACATATGTTTCGCCGCGTCCATCAGCTCCTATTAATTGTGGAACTCGTGGGTGTTTGGAGGCCGTGAAGAACTGGCGCTGGGACTTTGTCGCAGTATGCCAGTAACTTTGGGAGCTCCGTTGTAAACAACACCAAAACTACTTATATTCCTCACAATACACCCCGTTCCTGCCTCATGTAGGTCACTGAAGACCACCATTGCGGTCCTGGACCGATTGCACACTTTCATATATCGAGATTGGGGCTGAGAAAAAGCTCCTTGGTCGCAACATTGATAGCCAACCCAAGCCCGCTCGCTTCAAAGTTGCTGAGGCTTTCCATACTTCTGTCAGAGTAGCAAGGCAGTTTCAAATAACCATTGAGAGGAGATTTGTAAGTTATGGGCCCTGGCCACTCTACATCTGACACCACCCTTGAGGCTCTGCTCGATACTCGTTACATGACATGTTAAAGGTATAGGACAATGTCAACACCTGACACCAGCAGTGGTTCTCTGATGGGGAAATGTCGCATCTAAAGGACAAAGTAGTCAGAGAGGTAGTCGGTCCTATAACAAGTCGTCAGGCCACCAGAAGTCTCCAATATCAAAATCCCCATCCACCTCACCGTCCACCTCATCATCAGTCTCATCATCAATCTCATTATCCTCATCAACATCAATTTTGCTTTCAGCCTCACTGTCAAACTCACTGTCAAGCTCACTGTTCACCTCGTTATCAAATCTCCCCAGTAATGACACCATCAACCTCGCTCCCAGTCTCCGTCGTGGACATCTGCTCATCAGACTCGCCCCACTCCGCCCCAGACTCACTCTCGTCGGCGGTCGCATTGCCAGACGTCCGTCGCGCAACTGCAGATGCAGTAGATGCATCAGGATACCCCAAATCAACACCGAGCAGAAGTACATCCAAGAATGGATCAGACTGAAACGCGTCGTTAGGCTTGCCCTCAGTGGCATCAAGGCCCGGATGGTGCGAGATACGATATGCCAAACATTCAACGACGCAGTCTCCATCAAACCCCCGATGGCTTCGGCCCCGGATTTCCGCAGCTACTCTCGTCACGCAAGTGCCGGTGCCGAGCCGAAGTGCCGCAAGACGAGCCCAGGGGTTGGTATCTGGGGGGCTAGAGGTCGGCAGGTCCAGATTCAGCGCCACGCCGAGACTCGCGATCCCGCCCCGCACCTGGACTTTCACGCTGGCGATCTGGCGGGCGTGTTGTGCGGCTGATGAGGCGGAGGAAACCCACACGCCCGAGTCGTCGCGCCGGAAGGAATTGGGCAGGTCGAAGCGCTCGCGCAGGAGGGACACGGTCGCGTCCCCTATGGCTTGTTCCAGGCCCTCCTTGGTCCACGTAGCCAACGACGACGCGCGAGATTGCAGATCCAGTATCGGCCAGACTACCGCCTGGCCGGGCCCGTAGTACATGCTGCGAGGTTGGTCGTCATGGATGTGGCACTCGGGTTTGCCTGTGGTGTCATCGACTGGCTCCGGTTGTTCTGCTCGGCTGCTGTCGGATCTGAGCAGGCGGCTCTGAGGTAGACGCAAATCTGACTCTAGTCGAAGGAGCTGCGAAGGACGGCAGTCTAATGCGGCGCGCCCGAGATGAAAGGCTGGCGCTGGCTCGAAGGCGAGGATCATAGGCTGGGCGGGCGACATCGACTGCTTCGCTCTGTGGTCTAGCAGGCGCTGGCGCAGAGCCTTATTCAAGGCTGGGATGTTCCTTTGGCGCCCAGACAGGAGGCGTACGAAGGCTGCGGTACCCATTTTGAAGGGGGATGTTGATGTATGACAAGATTTCTACGAGCAGTTCGTACACTTTGAAGAGGGATTAAAGTCACTCTTGTGCCATGTTTCCGATAGCGACGATTGCTTCTTCTGCGTTGCCCTTTGTGAGACATGCGCAACCTATGGACCACCGAGTACTGCTCATTCCGTTAGTTCTGGCTTCATTCCAGACGCCAAACGTTTCCTGCAGCCTAGGGAGATACTCGCCGGGCGGGCAACTCGAGACAGCATCGAGACCAAGAGGGAAAGCTGCTCGTACGATGAAAATCGTTTGTGGGAGCCGGACGGCAACGCGGCGGAAGAGCTCGAGCAACGATTCGAGTTCAGAGACAGATGGCGTCGAAGAGGATACGGAGGAACTTCGAGGAGGAGCAGGAGGCGACGCGACTAGGGGTTGGCGATCTCTTGGTGATATGGACTCATACTTTCGATACAGATGTGAAGACCGAACCAGAGCCGTGGGGTTTGAGCGCTGGAAATATATCATCGTAACGAGAAGGCGGGCCGACAAACCGTCAGTTGTGGGTGGCCACGGGGTCTCATCATCATATACTGGGCGTTGACCGTAGTCCATCTTTGATGCCTTCAATCCAATAGTTCGGAGTCCATCACTCTTCAACGTTCAATGTAATTAGAAAGTACTGTGGACGTTTCTTCAGTAAGCAGTCATGGACCTTCCAGGACTGCAAAGAGCTTGAGTGCCGCTCAAATGATTTTGAAGATATCCAGACTGGACATCAAATCTCCGCCGCCCTTGAAGGACGGATGCCACAAGGACCTGCGCATGCACGACAAGGATAGAGCCCCTCCTCCACAACCGCCCCTCCCAAACCTGGGGTAGGACTGGGGTAGGCCTCGGTAAGTAGATATGGGATCATTGCCTCGTTGGCACATAGGCAGACCCTGAAATCAAAAGGAGTAGCGGCATACCGAGGCTTGTTTCCCCGCGTCGCTATTGTTGGTGGTGCAAGCCTGTAAGTGCATCCCTTACCTGGGGCAGTCATCAGTCTCCTGAAAGGGTTCCTCCAGCATACCTACCTACTCACCGAAACATAGCTATTCATCTCGACATAGACCGTCAGACACAGGCCACCGAGGAGGATACCCCTCGATACCCAACTGAGCGCATCATGGCCGTACCAATCCCCTTCTCCGACCCGTCGTGGCTGATGGGCCTCCCATCAGCACACTTCAACGACTCGCACCGCAAATGGCACGCTGCGATCCGGCCATTCATTCAAAAGCACCTGATCGAGCGCTCAATCGAGTGGGATAAGAGCGAGACGCTGCCGGAGCACGTCTTCGCCGACTTCGCCGCTGCCAACATGCTGATACCCGCCCTCCCAGCGCCGCTACCCGTCGCGTGGCTCAAGCGCCTCGGCGTTCATGAACTGCTCGGCGGCCTCAAGGTGGAGGAATTTGACTACCTGCATTCGCTGATCTTCGCGGATGAGATGGCGCGGGCTGGAGTGGCGGGGCCGTCGGCCAGTCTGACGACTGGCATGGCGTTTGGCGTGCCCCCTATCCTGAAGTTTGGGAGCAGGCAGTTGCAGGAGAGGTTCTTGCCGGATCTCCTGCTGGCCAGGAAGAGGAGCTGTATTGCCATCACCGAGTCGGATGCGGGCAGTGACGTTGCGGGCATAACCACTACAGCGGTTAAGAGCTCGGATGGCAAGCACTACATCGTGAATGGCACGAAGAAGTGGTGAGTAGCACTCAGATCACTTTCACCGCCTGGTATATATAACCAGCGCGAATTCATTCACACGACGGTGTTGACCCGTTGTCTGTAGGATCACGAACGGAATCTGGGCGGATTATAGCAGCATGGCAGTGCGAACCGGCCCGCCCGGCTCAGGGGCAGCCGGTCTTTCCATGCTCGTCGTTCCCCTGAAGGGCTATCCCGGTGTCACGATGCGGCGTCTCAAAGTCGGTGGCCAAGTCTCAGCCGGGACGACGTTCATCGAGCTCGACGAGGTCAGAGTCCCCGTGAAGAACCTGATCGGAGAAGAAGGCATGGGCATGCGCTACGTCATGACCAACTTCAACCACGAGCGGCTCTCGATCGCCGTCGGCGTCACCCGCCAGGCCCGGGTGGCGCTGTCGGCGGCGTTCGAGTACGTCATGAAGCGCGAGGCCTTCGGGAGGCCGCTGATGGACCAGCCGGTCGTGCGCCATCGCCTGGCCAAGGCCGGCGCGCTCCTCGAAAGCCAGTGGGCCTGGGTCGAGCAGTTTGCCTTCCAGATGACGCGCATGGCGAAGGACGATGCTGACCGCGAGTTGGGCGGGTTGACGGGGCTGTTGAAGGCGCAGGCTGGTATTGTCCTGCGTGAGTGCGCTGATACGGCTGTGATCCTGTTTGGCGGCAATGGGTACACCAGAAGCGGCCAGGGCGAGCTGGTTGAGAGTAAGTGAATCAAGCATCCCACGGCATTAGGGCGTTCGTATCAGGTCGTTCGAGGCTGACGGTGGGAATCTACAGTGATATACCGAGAAGTACCGGGAGCTAGAATCCCCGGCGGGTCAGAAGACGTCTTGTTGGATCTCGCGGTTCGTCAGCTGGTGAAGCTGTTCCAAGCGAAAACCAAGGCATTGGACCAAAGTCCTAGAATCTAGGTTGGGTCCGAGATGTGACAGCAATGTACTGCAGATGCAGACTATCTGTCTGGCCTGTACCAGACATGACTTATCATTGGGGTGGAGGGATCGAACCGATCTACCTCGTCGGGTTCAGACTACGTGATTCAGGGGAATAGGTCCATAGCACGGTTATTGTATGATGGAAGTGTGGCTGTACTCGTGTGCATTCGAGACAGAGAGGCCGGTGTTTTTACTCTTTGATATATGCCCTTCCGTTCATCACCGACTCTGCAAGACCAAGGTGAAGAGACCTTGACTTATCCATCTTCCCACTCTGATGCCATGGATGAAAATGCCATACCATGAAACTCAATACAGTGCCCAACCCTAAGCAGTCAAAAAACATCAATGATGCGACCATATGTAGAGGACATTCACGGGAACCAAGACTTACTCCGCTTGCGCTGATGACCTGACCCGTGATCCAAGCACCATCCCTACCAGCCAAGCCCGCCACCACATTCGCAACCTCCTCCACAGTCCCCAGCCGATTCTGCAGCGGCGTGTTCGCCTTCTGCATTTCCACGATGTCCTTGGGGATATTATCTAGCATCTCGCTCTGCACGGGGCCCGGGTTGACACAGTTGACCGTCGTGCCGTCGCCGCCCAGCTCGGCCGCCCAGCACTGCGTCAGGCCCTCGAGCGCGGCCTTCGACGAGCAGTACAAGCTCATATCCTTGAAGGCCGCCCTCGCGCCCACGGAGCCGATGTTGATGACGCGGGCGTTGGCGCGCAGGTATGGTAAGATGGCTTTCGTCAGGAGGATGGGACCCCGCACGTTGAGGTTGTAGACCGTGTCGTAGTCTTCGACTTTGAGCTCCGAGAGGGACTGGACCCGCTCTACGCCTGCGTTGTTGACGAGAATGTCGATCTGGAGGTTGTTGTTGCTCCACGACAAGAGGTCCAACACGAGGATCTGGGCCCCGTCCAGCGTGCTGAGGTCGATTCGCACGGCTTGGACTCCGGGCTTATTGGGGAGATTCCGTATTTCTTGGCAGATCTCATGCACGCGGGCCTCGCTGCCTGGGGATACGTAGGTCATGAGAATCTGCTTATCGGTCAGCGATGCTTGTAATCAGATAGGAGGTCGTGTGATTGAAACATACTGTGGCTCCTCGTCTGGCGAGTTCCATTGCGATCCCCTCCCCGATACCTCTCGATGCTCCAGTCACAAGGGCAACCTTCCCTGAAAGAGGTAGCGCGTAATCTGACATCGTGACAACTGGCGCGAGGGTTTAGACAAGGTGCAGAGAGAATGATCTTGCCATCGATAGACCAGAGTGTGTTGTTGAAGAAGCTTAAATACAAGCTAGGTAGCCCTTTGGCTTTATACTTATAAGGAAAGCTACCGTAGCCGTTGCTTCGGCGTTGGTTTGCTAAAGACCGATGGAGCTGTCAAGTCCGACAGCTTATCCCCAATCTTCCATATCAACCAAGCACTGACGAGGTGGGCGCACCGTAATACATACAGGGTGAGGTTCTTCCGGAGCAGAGTCGGGTGTAGGTCTGATGCTGGTTGTTTCTGCATGTTTGAGCTGCGCATAAGGCGAGGTTCGCTCGGCGATTACTATGTACCTACCTACCTCCACCTCCAGGTAGATTCGTAGTACCTACTTCTCGTCGGCAGCATCCCACCCTCGTGCTATCATCAAATTTGCCATGCATCGTCACCAATGGATAAAGGCGATAGCTTACTCCTGTGTCAATCGTGATCTCATTGGCTTCGCGGCTGACTATCTGTTTATGTGGGTATCTGCAAAAAGGTCATGGTCTCGTAGACTGCCAAAACGCCAGCCAGCCTAATCATCCAAAGACAGAGCCTGCATAGCTCTCTCATTCACATCAGGGTCGTTGACCGATGGGGGCGGGCGCTCGTTGGGGACCGGATCCTTCCAGTTCGCCATGAGGTACTGTGGGAGGAAGGTGTCGAAGGTGACGCGCAGGTCGTGGACCTCTTTGATGAAGCGGAGACCGACGTTGAGCTCGCACACCGTCATACGGATCTTCATGCCGTTTTCAAGCTTGGCGAGGTAGACGTCCTCAAGGATGAACCGCTCCTCATTGCCCTCGGAAAGGTCCAGGTCCACCTCGTCGGGCCGCGGGAGGTTACCGTAGCCGTGGGCGATGATGGTCGGGATCACTCTGATGAAGCCGGCCGGCAAGATCTTGCCGCCCTGGCCGCTCTCCTCGAGCTGCTCCTCAACCATCTTCTTGTCCTTGCGGCGAGGTCGCTCGGTGTCGACCACCATATACGTCTGCTCCTTCGTGTCGACGACGTGGATGGACTTGGGGTCTTCGCACTGCATGACCTTGGTCTTGGCCTCCGCGTTGATGGTGTTCCAGACGAGGACCGTGAGGCGGAAGTTGAACCAGGCACCGAGAGCCTCGGGCTTGTCCATCTCGCTCACCAGGCCGTCGCAGAAAAGTATGCGGGCGGCGATGTTAAAAGGGCCCGGCAGCTCCACCGTGAGCTCATGCATGTACATCAACTCGGTAGGGGCGATCTCGCAAACCTGTCGAGCTGCCATGATGTTCTCGGTGTACTCTGGGCAGGCATCATGCATGAGGACGTAGTTCAGGAAGTTCTTGATGAGGTCTGCGGCCGTCTGATTCGCCTTGGGGTCGTGCATGTACAGGTCAGGAATGAATCTGGAGCTAGTACAGGAGTTAGTTTCACAATACCCAGGAAAGGGATGGGGTATACTTACAGGAAGCCTTTGACGATGGCCTCGAAGTCAACCTCCCAGTGCTCCGTGACAGTGCCGTCATAGAAGCGGCTGCCAGCGTTACCGACGAAATCAACGGCAGTCATGCTGCGAATCTGATCGGCATCGGCCTCCTCGAGCCCCTCTTTGTCCAGGCCCATGCCGGTGAACTGGCGCGGCGAACTGTCGATGCCACCCAGGAAGAGGTACTTGTTGAACATCTGGGTGCGCTCCTCATCAAGGCGACGGCGAGCTCTGTATCGCTGGATGCATTCCTCGATTCGGCTGTGACAGTTAGTTCATATTGCCTTTCGATGCTGAAAGAGGTCCCTTACTCGGCGAACGGTCGGGTACTGCAGAAACACAAGTCAGTCATAAACTTCACTGTCAAGGAGTAAGTAGTGGGAGGTACTCACGGGTCATACAGCTGCTTCTTTTCCAGAGCTGCCTCGGCAGGCGTCATGGGCGCATCGGCATAGAACTCTGAGTCGAGGAATCAGTAGGGGTATGGGCAAGGGAGCGGACAGCGTGCGCAATTAACCCTCGAAACCGGTGATGTTCTTTCGGCTTTTAGGTGTCTTCTTGCCCTTCTTCTTCTTTTTCTTCTTTTTCTTCTTCTCCTCCTCCAGAACTGGCTCGACAAGGGTCACGGGGGCGTCGACGACGTCCTTGCCAGCCGTGGCAGGCGCTTCCTCGGAGAGCTCTGCCATATTGTACGAGGGTGCTGTTGACGTAGAAGTGGGAGAGAAGTGAGGAGAGAAGTGAGGTAGGAGACGAAACAATCTGTGGTGGAAAAAGATGTGGTTCGTTGTTGAGTCCTGCCGGTTGTCCTGGTAATAAGGTAACTGAGATGCTTAAGGTATTCCGCTGGATTGTGCCAACGTTCACCAGTGCAAACGGCACCTGAGGCACAAACAGCACACTTCCAAATCGTACTGCAACGTATTATGGAGAAGTTAGATCAGTTTGATTCAAAATATTGAAGCCATCTATTTAGAATGTATGTACCTGGAATCTAGCGTGCATTGAGTGCCCATTTCAGTATCCGCGGCAGCTGCAAGCTCTTGACCATTTTCATGGATTGCGCGGTAGACCAAGGGGCTGCCGTTCAGCATGAAAGCTTCAAACCATATCAAGGCCTGTATTGCATTACCTAGGTAGGTATCATCGCAGTGATCCTCCTCAGGAGTCAGAACAAGGTGACACATCCACCAGCCAGCCGTGGTGAGATCGCATCTTCCCGAGATCCTTCATCGGCTACTCCCATTGGAGTGTTCAAGCCATGGGTGCAGCTGACAAAGGTGCCGCAGTGACATATATTTGTCTTACTCTTGGAAGAACCCGACGCACGCAATATGATATCCGACGAGAGCATCGAATCCAGTTCCACTCTCGTGGTATCATTGGTGAGTGACGATGCTACGTGACAATATGGTTGTGAAGGCTGACTGAGACATTTGGAAGTCTGTCCATGTGACTGGAAGGTCAGGTATACGATGGAGGCAGGTGAGCAGGGCAGTGACGGGATCGCTTCTATGATTGCGCTTGGACAGAACCGACCTCGTTTTCCGTATAAGGTTCAAGGAAGGCCCGGGAATCAGGAGAAGCTCTTGTCAGACGGACAATCAGATGTGACTGGAGAGAATGAGAAAGTTCATATGCAGGTGAAGTGGCCAAAGGCAAAAAAAAGTGTAGCTCGAGGCAAAATGATAGGGCGGTTCGATATCTGCAATCGTGGCTTAGCACCATACTCATGCCGTTCCGCCACAATATCAGCGGGCTGATGCCGGTGTACCCGCTACACCATCGCGGGATAGAGGGCGTTTAGCGGCTGAGCTTTGGTCCGCACTGATACAAGCCAGGTACGAGGGGCGCGCAGATCCCCCTCTGCTGCGGCTTTTTGGTGTCTCGAATGGCGCTGTAGATGGAGGTACCTTAGGTGGGTCTAGGTACCTTAGGGGCTGACAGACGCCCTGGAGCGCTGGTTGCCCTGGCTAAGCACCGCTAAGGTTGGTTGGCTCGAAGGACCGGCGCGAACTTTGCTCTTTGATGCATGCAACTCCAGTTAGCGTTGGCAGTCCCCAGAATCAAGTTGCGACCCCGAGATTTCCATCTCAGTCCATTTCCCCTTCAATTCCTCGCGTCTTGTCTTGTTTCGCCCCAACTCGCCTTCAATTCACCTAAAACCCTGTTATTGTTATTATATCTGCCTCGAGCTCTCTCTTCCTGTGTACCAACAACCAACTTCTTTCCTTTGCGGCCATGTGAGAGTGCCCTCAGCAGTCTTTGTTCACCGGGTGCTACATAATCCTCGGTCCGTCCCAGCTCAGAACCGACCAGGAGACACAGCCCACTGTGCGCATCAGCGATCGGTGAATCCTACAAGACTCGCTCTCGGTTTGCGTTTGTGGCGCATTCACTTCCCTACAGCACCCAAACTCTCTTACGACACGGAAAATGTCTATTTAGTTTGACCATCTGCCCTACCTATTTCGGCTCACCATCGGCCACCACCCTACGGGAAGATGCTCAGTACGCGAGAGACCAACGGCAAGACTGCCACGAGCCGGGATCGCGAGATACCCAACCATAATGACCTGGTTGACTACAACTACGCCGTCGCCGGACAGTCAGTCTCGTGTCTCTTTCGTGATTGCTACGTTAGTCATACTGATTCAGGACTGTGAGCAGTGCGGGAACCATGTGCGACGCCGACGGAGAGCTGTTTATCAAGCCATGCACCCAGTCCGAGGTCGATTTCTATGAGTCGGCGCATACCCTTCATCCTGAATTTGCCGAGATAATGCCACTGTACATCGGTACCCTCTCGCTCAACGAGACCAGTGACGAGACCTCTATACACGAACAGATACCCGATCTCGTGGAGCAAGCCGACATACCATCGCCCATAAGAAGGGAGATACAGTCGCACCTCCATCTCGAAGAACGGCAAGCCATTCTCGAAGCGCACGCCGGAAAGGATGATAGCAGCGCGGAAGTCAAGTGGGTACCCAACAAGACGAGGAAGATCGCCACGGATAAGGCTGTCGTTCTGGAGAACGCTTCCTTTGGCTACAAGAAGCCAAACATCATGGACGCCAAGCTGGGCGAACGGCTATGGGCAGATGATGCGCCCCCGGAGAAGAAGAAGCGCTTCGCCAAGATCGCAGCTGAGACAACACACAAGAACTTTGGGTTCCGCGTCGCCGGCATGAGGGTTTACCAAGGATCAACAGAAAAGTCCGAATTAGACAAGGAAGGCTACCGGATCTACGACAAGGACTGGGGACGGTTCACGGTGAACGATGACAATCTCATTGGTTCATTCAAGAAATTCATCTTCAACGAGGCTGCTGGCATTGACAAGCACCTTGGCAAGGTAATAGCTGGAGCGTTTGCCACGGACCTTCGGAGGGTGGTAGAAGTGCTGGAAAGTGTTGAAAGCTGCATGTACTCGGCGAGTGTGCTCCTCGTGTTCGAGGGAGACGGAGACGCGCTCAGGGCGGCCATCCAGGAAGCGAAAGCCGGTGTCTCTGCGTCAGTTCACGAACGAGGTGCATCGCGAGCCGCTTGCGCTAACCTTAGGGTGGATAGTGGCATCGGTATGGACGATGAAGAACTCCGCAAGGCTTCGATGCCGGTGGACATGGATGAGTTGGAAGACGACTCGGAGGACGAGTCAAGTTTCCCACGGATATACTCGGTGAAGCTGATCGATTTTGCACACGCCGCGTGGACGCCCGGTCGAGGGCCCGATGAGAACGTGCTGAAGGGCGTTAGGAGTCTCGTCGATATCTTTGACAAGATGTCGCAATAGGGAAGAACGACTGGGATTGTGAGATATCAGGGGACGCATGGGACGGATAGAGAAATTTTGGCGTTCTACGAAGGTCACCTGGGTTTGCTCTCAAGATACCCACTGCATTGCTACAGCGCCCACACCATACCACACATAGAACCGCTCCTCAGAGGACTCCTTTATGTTTTGCTTAGGTACTCATGAATGTAACGAATTTCCTATATCTCCTTGAAAGAAGAATCTGCAGAAGAACCCGTACCACTCGACAGTCCATGGGACAACCAAGTGGGAAAACCCCAAGCAGGCTGTCTAATCCACCGCAAACAGCTTGTTCCTACGACCTGGCCGGCCCTTTGGTTGCATTTGATGTGAGTTTTCCATTTTTCTGTGTTGATGCTTGGGCTCATTTTGATATCGTAAGCAGAACAGTGCAATGTAAATGCGCCAGATATATACGATCCTTTCCGCAGAGGCATAGACAACGTGACCCCTATGTGAGGGAGCGACCTACATGTACGTCAGGACTCAAAGGGGGAAGGCTTGGCCCCACAAAATAGGTCCAAGCTTAGGTAGGTAGACTTGCGGGCTTGGCCCCGCCATGTCCATGTCTGCAAGGCTACGAGCTGCGTCTCTGAGTCTCTACACCACCATTTCGGACGACCAAGAACCGCCTCGCATTCTCCAACACTCAACGACATGACGTAAAGATGTCTATACCTGGCTTGGGGCAGATTGCTCCTACGGTGAGTTTGACAATATGTATGCCTGCCAATGAGAGCCATGCGACTAAGATAGGGATTTGTAGGCCGTCCAAACGACAACATCCGCCGCCGTATCGCCGACGACGACCCAATCCCTCGAGCCCTTCTGGGAGTACCGCTTCGAGGTGGCGCATGGCTCGACACTGAACATCAAGCTCGTCTCAGGCACGGCGGAGAAGGATGGCACCGAGCTTGCGCCAAGCACGCCCTATGCCTTTACCGCAACCAAGACGAGGATCAACACCTGGCACGGCTGCACGCTCGAGATATCCTCCGAACCCGGCGCCGTCTACGATGCCTACACTTCTGAACCCACCGCCGACGAGACCCCGATGGTGAGCTACGTGAACCTACACTTCAAGCTCGATGGCCTGCGCGCAACGGCCGAGAGGACAGGCCAGATGGGACCGCGCGTGCTGGTCATCGGACCGCCAAACTCCGGCAAGACGAGCCTCGTGCGCATGCTGACAGGCTGGGCGACGCGCGTGGGCCGCCAACCTCTAGTTGTCAACGCCGATTGCCGAGAGGGCATGCTGGCGCTGCCCGGGACACTGAGCGCGGCCGTGTTCGCGACTATCATAGATCCCACCTCCGAGTGGGGCAGCACACCCAGCAGTGGACCCAGTCCGGTTCCCGTCAAGCTGCCGCTGGCCTACTACTACGGAATGGCTTCGCCCGACGACAATCCGCGATTCTTTAAGCGCCTGTTAAGCCGGCTGGCTGTGGCGAGCACGTCTCGCCTTACTGAGGACCCGGGGGTCAAGACGTCCGGTATGCTGATCGATAGCGGAGGTGTAAATGCGAAGGGCGGTTATGATCACATCGCGCATATTGTCGCCGAGTTTTCCGTCAATATTGTGCTGGTGGTCGGTTCAGAACGCGTGGGTAGCGAGATGCAGAAGAGATTTGCAGGACAGCAGACGAGTTTGGGCGAGACGATCACGGTGGTAGGCTTGGACAAGTCTGGAGGGGTAGTGGAGAGAGATGCAGGGTTCATGCAGCAGGTCCGCGAGGCAGCGATCCGGGAATACTTCTTCGGCAGCTCCAAGACTACGCTCAGCCCGTTCACACAGCAGATGGACTTTGCGGCCTTGTCTATGTGGAAAGTCAACCAAGGTACGCATTCCTTTGCCGACCCCTTACCCCTCTTATTATATACTAGCCGATGACATGATGCTAACACAGGACCGCAGCACCAACGGCCTCCGACGAGGACTCGTACAGCGAGGCGATCGAGAAGGCGGAACCATCGCTGATGATGCAGAACTGCACGCTGGCCGTCATGTACGCCACGGTCCATGATACCGCTGAGACTATCCGCGACTCTAATGTCATGGGCTTTGTGTACGTGGCCGAAGTCGACGAGAAGCGCCGGAAGCTCAAGGTCCTCGCGCCCGTCAGCGCCCGGCTGGGTGATCGACCTCTCTTATGGGGCAGCTGGCCGGAACCAATGGTTAGCTTGGTTGGTTGATGGTTCGGTTTCACTCCAGGACAACTGGCGACGGTCAAGGTAGTCAATGAAAATCTGGGCGTTTTGGAATAGGAGAGGCAAAAGCAAGATACCATCTTCTGATTGAGCAATATAGCAATGACCTTACTCCGGACAATTTCGTGTGTGTGTCTATTGGTGTCTTCTTCAACATATAGTGGAGACTGTGTACTGTTCCCCTGAAAGGTCCGGCAGAGGGTCAGCTGCACTCGAGTCTGGCAAAACCACCGGCGTGTGTCGCAGCGATTTGGTTTTGTTTTCTCTAAGCTCTTCGACCGAAGGGAGGAGCCAAACCCAAGACAACAGCGGTATTCACCTGAGGCTTGCTCATACTGGGTGTGCAATTGTCCCTGCTCTCGATCCCCTTGCGAGGCTAGAGACGCGTCTCTAGGGGCATCGTTACGTTGTTCTACAGGGAGTGCCTGCTGATACGACTGATAGGAGCCAATGGCCCTGATGGTGAGTTCTTGCTTGATAGACGGCGTCTTTTGAAATGGCAGGAATCCTTATACCTGCCTCGCGTGTAGGGTTAGGTATGGCCTGAACTTGTTTAATTTAGTCACGCAGTTCAGTTTATAGTTTCGCTCATTGCAGTTTATAGTTTGCCACCCAAGTCACCTTGCAGGTGGGTGTTTCTCAGCCGACGTACAGGATGTGATGCATGCTGAGATGTGTAATAGTATTGGGCGCCATACCACCTACTTATATCACTACAGAAATCTAGTATGCCTGTCATGTGCAGATGCAAATGCTACACAATACTCCAATGACCCATGAAAAGCTTCGGAAACCTTGTACCCTCAACCCCATATTGATAGAGCATCTTCGTCCCCATGCTACTTCGTTCCCGAGCTCGAGATCTTCCATTCAAGTTCCAAACTGCCGCATTTGCAAGTCCCAACGACTGTAGCTACGTTGTAACTGCCGGGGAATAGGTCCATAGCCTTTTGGATGCAAGCTAACGATGTCTTGATTCCCGAATCTGTTCCACAGGATGGCATTAGCATCTTGCATTGTCATATAGGGTATACCTCACTCAGTTTCAATCCCGATCTTGGACGTACAGGAATGGGCATCTAGGTATAGGGTCACTGTTCACGCTGACCACCTCGAACTTGCAGTAGTCAATCTCGAAAAGCTGGTGCCACACGTCGCCTCCGATCTCTTCGACAACTTGGCAAGGGAAATTCAAAAGCAATTGTCGCTGTCGTACTTGCGCATGATCGCGCGGCAGGTGTTCTTCGTGGTGATCGCACCCCTCTCGTCCTTGTCTGCGTTCACGGCCTTGTAGTCCCGGCACCATCTGTGAGGGCTGCGCGCCTCGCTGAACCTTGGGGTGTTAGGCATGATGGAGCTTGCTGGCTCAGGGTGGGACTCAGTGAGTGTATTCATCGGCATGGCTCTCTTCCTATCGCTTTCTCGCTGTGAATTATGTGGGTTTCAACCTTGGGCAAATTAACAAATAAAGAAAAGAAGAAAAGATTGATGCCTCATGGCAGCACACTCACTGCGGAGTTGCTAGCACGGCAAGAGATGAGAATAGAGGGACTCACCCGGCCTTAACGCCAATATGGCTCCAGCGAAACCTTCGTATACCTTTCTCCGATCGTCCCTGTGAGCATAGATTCTGAAGCGTGCAAATGCGCACAAAACTTCCACTTAGCGCCTGTATAGTAGAAAAAGCCCGTGGTAATTTTCTTTGGGGGGGGGGGGAAGGTCTGTATGCGTGTGTGCATGTGTGAAACTGGCGGTGATTGAAATGTTAAATACTTCTAGCAACTAGCTGGCAGAATCTTGACTTACTTATAGTTGTAAGACGTACTGATTAGAGTTGCGGTGCTTTGGGATGGACAAGAAGGTTTCAAGCCTTACCCATTAGCCGTAGTTATTAACGTGCTCAGTGGCGTTTTATGCGCAGTATATTGGCCCTCGTGTGGGATCACCTCATTAGGTAGCTGAAGGAGGTCACCTTCACAATTATTCAAGTAGGAAGGTGGAACACTTTGAAATCTCACAGTAGTGCATGCATTTGACATAAACACACCCCTAAAGGTTCATCTAAATGGGCAACATATCAATGATCTTATCCCCAAACAATATCACCAGTCCGAGTACCGGTGTGTCTACAAAATCTAGCGCGAGCTAGCCTGGAGCGAGTACTGCTTTTTCCATGGCTGTATCTGCAGTGGTTGCTGCTCTTGGTCCCCTTGGCCTGGGTTAGAAACGGCCTTGCATGTTTGTCGCTCTCCAGCAATAGACAGACACATGTCCAGGTAGGCAGACTATCATGTTAACTGGTTGTCTTGTATTCCAGTTCATATGCCGTCACGTGTACTCTATGTAGTGCCTGCTTATAATGGATCTAACTTGCCAGCCACTTGTGCTGTTGTTCCTGCCCTGGGTACGCGCTTGGGCATGACCTGGATAGCAGTCCAGGGTCTAGTCTTGCACGTTGTAGTACCTAGTTCACTGCGCAAGTTATATGCGTGCGGCTGCTTCCTAGCCATCATGAAGATGTAGTGCATGTTGGAATGTTTGATGGTATTAGCGTCGTACCACCTGTAGGTATGCCTCTCCAGGTACGTATGTATGTGAGTGTTACACAAGGCTCCAATGAACCGGAACCGCAGTCATATGTATCATACCCTCCCCCGTGTACCATTTCCCCCTGTGCTACACGTGTCTCGCGGCCGAAATTTTCCATTCAATAAACTTACCACCACTCGTGCAAGTCCCATTGACTGTACGTATATAGTCGCTATCAGGGAACTGCTCCGTGGCCTTTTCGATGCAGTTGATAACGTCTGTGTCCCCGAATCTATTTCATAGATCACATTAGCGTGTTCATTATAAAATATATATTTCAGTCAATCCCGATTATAGACGTACGAATATGCCCCGATAAAACTCTCCTGGGCAGCCACCTCGAACTTGACGCCCTCGGCCTTGAAAATTTCCTACCACTGGCCTTCTCCCTCAACAGGCGGTCTGGGACTGCCCCCGCGGTCCGTAGTTGTGCCATTTGTAACTATACCATTCGTAGCTGTGCTATTCGTAGCTTTACCATCCACGCCGGCAACTATGACAGCTTTGCCGGGCACCCTCCACTGGCACCATTCATCGCGGCTGTTGTAATAGTCGATGAATGCGTGGCAGGTGTTCTTCGTGATGGTAGTGCCCTTCTCGTCCTTGTCCGCGTTGGTGGCTTCGTAGTCCTTGCAGTGTGTCTGTGGGCCAAGCCCGAGTGGATTCGCCCTGAACCTGATGACCCGCTGTAAAAACTGTTCACGAGTTTCAGACATCATGGAGTTCGCTGGTTCTGGTCGGTGCGGTTTGGGTGTATCTGTCGATCGGCTCTTGTGCGGTGGCTTTCTTGCGGTGGATGGTTGTTGTGATTCGTGCTGTGTAAGTGTTGATGTTGGAGCGATCAGATGGACACGACACTGGCACTTCGAGCCTGTATATGCAAAGAAGCCCGCGGGAAGTCGCCTGGGGGTTGAAGCTGCCAGTAATTAAAATGTGAGTACTTGCAGCAACTGCTTGGCAGAATCTCGGGTTGGGCTTGCCGGTAGTTGTGATGCGTACCAGTCAGGCTCATCTTGCATTGTTTCAAGATGGACAAGAATGCTCCTGCCCTACCTAGTAGCGGTAGTAAATGTCTACGTGGCTTTATATGAACACGCTCCTGAAGATTGACCTGAACATTTGCTGTGTCATTTTGCGTGTTGCACATATGGTGGATATTCAATACCATGAAGTCACGGCTGAAGCTACATGTCGTAACTTTAGTCAGCTCCCTTGAGATACTTCCCTTCTTCTTGTTTCAGTTGGATCTTTCGACTCATAGGAGACGGTATCCTTCACACGTGCACAAGCGCCTGTTTCACATGGAGCCCTTTACCCATCGTCGGTGCGAACGATATGTATGGTACCTATCAATATACCATCATAGTCAGACTCGTCATGACAGAGACCTGAAGCAACATCAATACATGAATGGCACTCGGTAGGTACCCTTTTACACAGTATTCGCGCTGCTCTTATATCCTCAAGGTGAGATAGCAGGTGATTGCAACCTACGAACGGTTGGCAGCTAAACATTGGCTCATCCGTTTCTCCTTGGACACCGGAGAGGAGTGATAATCATCTGCACATTGTCTCGACCACGTCAATATAAACACGAAGCCCCTTTTCCTCGAGGCTGGCGCCGCGACCCGCAACGGTGCCTGCCTCATGCAGAAATATTGATGCCTATGTTTCCCATACAGGGTGGACATGTGACCCTATTTGATTTCAATGGATAAATGATGGAATAGTGGTGACTTGAACCCACATGGTGTACCTATTGGAGCAAACAGTAGTCTCATATTGATGACCGACGACCCGCTACCACTGTCGGTAGAGGGTTGTAGATGATGATGTACTAAATGTGAAGGATATTTGGCTCCAGTCTCCAAATTATCCAGTCGTACAATACGGCCATTGGCAAGTTATCTTGCACAAGTTGTGTCGGGATAATGGACTTTGTGATGATATCAGGATAATGGAAGAATAATCTCATTATCAAAGACCCTGGGACATGGAGCGGTTTAATGGTCAGCTGGTCGACGGTCAAATCTGGGTAGTGGTCTGGCACAAGGAGAGTCCAAGAGCAATATTAAATAAGAACCAGTTATTAGCTCATGCATTTCAAAGTATTGCAATTGCATCCCAACCAACTTTCGAGATGAGCTTTCAGACCGGATAGATAGTTATGGTCTTACGTGTGAGTGTCACAGCATAACTGCTAACCGAGGATGAGAGAGTCCCTTCTTAAGAGACAGTGTCTCCAGGTGGAGAAGAATTCTATCAAAGATTGGAACAATTGAGCCAGGAAAATAATTCCTAGTGAGGTGGGAGGTTTGGTAGGAATGAGTCTCGGAGGGCATCCCCGCAGCACCGGCCCCGAAGACGGGGTATGATTGGGTGACTGTCGTACCATCCAGAGACTGGCTACGCAAAGCATTTCCTCAATGAAATAGGTATGGAGTGTGAAATATATCCGCTTCAATTCAGACCGTATCTTCACGCTGCAGCATGCATGGACGAGCAGAAAGGAGCGAGATTTCGAAACACCCTACCTGCAAGATATGTAGAATATATCCGGGCGTCGAACATTTGCACCCTATAGACGTAAAAAGCGTTCGGCATGGCATTGACCGTAGTCACCACGCGGCTAACGGTTCATGTCGGCCTTTATGCCGGAAGGATCTATGATACCTTATGAGTCATGGCTAAAGATAACATTCCTATATCCTGACGGACTATTGTATCACAAGGCACGGGACATAGCGAAAAAAGACCAGTCACATGTTCATCCACGAGAGCCGCAACTAGGGTAGTTACCCCTTACCAAGGAACCGAACCATAAAACGTTTCCCGAGCTGCCTCGTTCGTTCTAGAAGACTTACATTAGCAAAGAACTGCATCTTGCGGTCAGCTCCTCCGCGATTTGCCGGCGTGAGGTGGGTAGCGCACGAAATTCTTCGTTTGACGAGTTGTATGCTTCCCTTTCTATGTTCAGCTAATCAGCTGCGTAGTGAGTGGACTTGTATTACGAACCAACAATACCACGGGCCTGTGGGCAGGCCTGAAGAGAAAAGGATGACCTATAAGGAAACCCAATTAGAATGGGGACACAATACAGAACAGCGCAGGGCATCCAGGCACGTGATCCAGGGAGCCAAGATCACGTGACTAGAGTTGCTCACGTCTGCTCACGCGAGCAATGGTGAGCACACCTCATCAATGAGGGAGAGATTGGATATATAATGATGGACATTTCCTGGCTAGACAGATAGACAGTCTCTGCCTCAGTGATCAATCTAAGCATCTTAGCCAACCCTAAGGTGGGAGAAATCTCCTGACGACTCGACTATACAGTGATCCCTTGGATCAGACCAAGCCCCAGCATCTGAGTGTCTTCTAGTTAACAGAAGCCTCTATCGTCCTTTGTGTTGAATTACCTCAGAACATAAACACTATAGAACCCTTTATCCTTATAGGTTAGACGGCTCGTCACAACTTGGCATCAAGCCGCTCTGATCCTTCCCCTTGGCACCGGGCTCTCGTATCTGCGCTAGTTGCTGTGCCGTGGTCGTTTGCCTGCTTGCTTGCCTGCTTGTGCGACCAACATGCTCGCATTATTGGCTCGATGAGTCATCGCCAAGTGATTGTCGTTCCTCCTTGGGGAGACAGCGGGGAGAGAATCCGATCTCTTGAATGCCAGGTACGTGCCTACGAAGGCAGCCTGATTCGCGCAAGATATGTCGAAATTGTGAAGCTGGAATCATCAAGCGATTCGAAATAGTAGGCCAATAACTTAGCTTCGTAGCACAAGCTTTCAAGCCTGACAACGGCGCAGACCGCACATAGAAGCGGTTCGTCGACTGCAGGGGTAAGACCTACGTTGACTTGGCAAGCCACGCAACAGAGATAACCTTGGCCCGTTCCAAGTCGTTACATTCTTCGAAAGTTTTGATGGGCCTTTCGCATTGAGGTAACTAAGCCGCCTGCCCGCCCCAGGCGTAATATGTACAGACTGTAAATCGCCTCAAGCCTAGCAATCGCATCACCCTCCCTGCCAGCCCCCGTTCGTCAAGATCTAGAGCTTCTCCCAAATCTCGACTGCATGCAGCTGAGTGACAGAATCAGACGGCCGTCCCGAACTTGCGGGACTGATGCGAATGGTGTACGTGATAACGACTGGGGAACACGTGCTTTGGAATGCGCTTCCATGCGTGAGTAGCGTGGCGGTAATGCGACACACCCGCACCGTTCGCTCCCCGGGCCTATAGTGTTATAGTAGGGGTTTCTGCCCTTTCGTTGCAACGTCGCATCCAGTGGAAGAAACCCCTCTTCTGATTTGTTTGTTAGAGGCCAAGAGACGCCAAGCGACGCCTTATCAGCACGCTCACCTACCCAAAGTGGACGACACCTGGGGAAGAAGCGAAGAGCAAGAGGCAATGTTGCAAATGCTATCGGCTTTGTTGGTCTCGCTTCGAGGCTTGGCCCTTGGCAAACCCGCAGGATGGGGAGACTCGGCAGACCAAGTCGCCGAGGTGAGGTTGGAGCGGGGGTGCTGTGGCTGCGGGCGGTTCTTGGATATCTGGTCACTCTCCGAGAGGAAATATTTCCTGTCTCTCTATCTGGCATGGCCGTCGTCGGTTTCGTACCCAACATTGGACGGACGCCCTGAGGAGCAGAGGACCCGGTCCTGACCTCTTGGAGACCTTGGACTTGTCGGACAATGCTCTGGCTTGGGCATTTACCCGCCACCAACATCGCTTGGCGGGAGGGAGCATTGGGGGCGTATGCGAGGCAGGCTCTGCAATCGCGACATCTGAGGCGATACTCGTCAGAGTAGGGCTCCAAACACCATTGGCCGACATTTACGGTCGTTTCGATATTGCCCTGGCAGCCTGAACCAGGACAGGCGGTAACACAACCACTGCTCAACGAGTGATACCAAGCCAGCAGAGTCTGCAGTCTGGGCTGTTTGGGAGAGGATAACCGACTGCAGGTTGATTCCTATGTCCTTCTATCTGCGAGCCCCCACTGGCTACCTGACAGAACCTTATCTTCAGGAGGAAGCTGACGTGTGTGTAATACTGGATGGCCGGAGCGTCTGATGAGTTGCCCAGCCATCTGGCCGAGTCTATGATCGCCGGGATCACTGATGATCAGGGTTCGAGAGGGTCAGTCAATGTAGGGCCTGGCCAAGAGTGTAGGGCGAGCGAATGCAGGCGTGGGCTGTCAGGTTGCTGCTTAGAAGTAAATTGACTGATATAAACCTGCACGCACAGCGTTGCACCTACCTGCACCCGTCCGTCTGCAGGTTCTCCTCTTCTTCAGTTTAGGATCAGGCTCTGTTACTTCTGCCTCACTTCACCTCTTGACCTAGAGGAAGGCTCCCAGACACCAGACAGGCAGACTAGACCCTCATCTGCTCTCGTGAGAAACTGTCTTCACGATGGCGGGTAAGTCAGCTTCAAACGATTCAGACCCCATTGGAGCTGGTTGGCCTACATACTGAACTCACTGCCCTTCAGACACTGCTTCCGCCATTGGCACAGCCCTCGCCTCTGTAGGCTCAGTGCGGGCCTCAGTGGACGAGCGGGCTCTAGACGAGAAGCTAGGAGTGGACGCCACGGCAGCGTCGGTGAGGGGTACGACGGACGATGGCCACGAGACCGTCGACGGGCTGGTGCTGCCAACCGAGGAGGAGAAGTCAACGCTGCGGCGCGTCGCCGGCAGGATGCCCACCACCGCCTACTACCTCTGCGCCGTTGAGTTCGCCGAGCGTGCCTCGTACTACGGCTGTAATCAAGTATACAAGAACTTCATCCGGGCTCCTCTACCGCCGGACGGACCCGGAACCGGAGCCGCCGCCCCGGGTTCTGATTATACTGCCGGCGCTTTGGATCAGGGGACTGTTGTGGCGACTGCTATGACTGAAGCTTTCAAGTTCCTAGCTTACGCTCTCCCCGTCTACTTCGCCTGGCTGGCCGACACTAAGTACGGGCGCTTCAAGATGATCTGCTGGGGCGTGGCCATCTGCGGCATAGCACACACTATCATGATCATCTCTGCGCTGCCACCAGTACTGCAGTCGGGCCATGCCATCGGTCCCTTCGCCTTTTCATTGTACCTTCTGGCGATCGGGGCCGCACAGTTCAAGCCTAATATTTCTCCCACGCTGATGGACCAGAACCCGCACAAGATCGCCCACATCATCACTGACGCCAAGTCGGGCGAGCGCATCATCGTCGATCCCGAGGAGAGCATCAACAGTGTCATGCTGTGGTTCTACCTCCTGATCAACCTCGGCTCCACCTTCGGCATCGCCACCAGCTACCTGGCCAAGCTGGTCGGCTACTGGGCCGCGTACCTGATCCCGACCATCCTATACCTCCTGTTGCCGCCCCTATTGTTTTACCTGAATCCTCGCCTGGTCAAGCAGCCCCCGGGCGGCTCCGATCTCGTCAACGTGTTTAAGGTGCTCGGCGACATCTTCGCCCACGGCGGCCTCAAGTCGATCGGCCGCAAGGGTTTTTGGGAGGCCGGCAAGCCGAGCGTGCTCCGCGCCGCCGGCAGCACCAAGACCTTCAGCTACGACGACCAGTTTGTCAACGATGTTCGCAGAACCTTCCAGGCGTGCGGCATATTCTTGTTCATCCCGATCTGGCAAATCAACGACACCGGTCTCGGTGCCGCTGCCAATGCTCTAACGGCCGGCATGGACACCAAGGGCTTGCCGAACGATCTCCTCGACAATCTGAACGCCGTCAGTATTGTCGTTAGTGAGTAAACCCCGTCCCTATCATGAGGCCCTCCTCCATGAAGTTATACGGAACCTCGTGCTGACAGAAGCAAACCCCAGTGGTCCCCGTGATGAACCACATTGTGTACCCGTTCCTGCGCAAGCGCGGCATCCGCTGGGGCGCCATCTCGCGCATGACGTTCGGCTTCGCGCTCGGCACCATCGGGTCCGTCGGCTATGCCGTGCTGCAGTACTACGTGTACAGGACGTCGCCGTGCGGCTGGCGCGCCACGACGTGCGCCAAGATCGTGCCCGAGGGCGCCGAGTCGCTGTCGACTGTCAGCTACGGGCTGTACTCGATCCCGGTCGTCCTGGGCGCCGTGTCTGAAATATTTGTCAACGTCACCGCCTACGGCATCGCCTACAGCCGCTCGCCAAAGAACATGAAGGGACTCGTCGCCTCCGTTAATCTCTTCATGAACGCCATATCGGCCGCCATCGGCCTCGCCACCGCCCCGGCCATCCAGGACCCCTACCTCGTGTGGGCGTTTGCCGGCCCAACCATCGCGGGCGCGGTGTCGTGCGTGGCTTTTTACCTGACGTTCCGCCACCTCGACCACGAGGAGTTTGTCCTGAACACGGGCTTCGACGACTTTAAGCCCGCGCGGGTTGACGGCGACGAGGAGAGGGTCCCGGCCGACAACCAGGTTGCGCTTGAGGAGAAGAAGGCCTAGACGGCTGTTCGTCTCTGGGCTGGGGTAGAGTGCGCAACTTAGATAATGGAATGGAGATGCCATTGGTCCGCCCCGGGTCACTGAAATGAAGTGGACGAGCGGCTGTAACGCCGAAATGGGGAGCTCATCACGTATTTGACGAGATGTATGACGGAAGTAGGCGTCGTGTTATCGAGATACCATTTATCAAATTCAGGATATAAGAAGATCGATACATTGTTTTGAATGTGTGCCCACTTAGGAGGACTGGCTCCTGTAAGGACTTCTTTGTGTGCATGATTCCGAAATAATTGAGACGCTGACGGACGTACCTGAGAGTCATACCGTTCCATGGCCTTTCTTGTGATCATAACTGCGCGTCATCCCAGGGTGAGCGTCGCGGACCTGATGGTGCCATTGACGAGGAGTGGATATACCACGCGGATACAGGGGCTTTCTCCCTCAAGACTTTCGGCCTGGCACCCTGATGGCCTCTGTATGAGGCTGCGTATCGGTATCGACTTATCTGGTTCACCTGATATGGCCACCCATCGGGCTGTAGGAAAAACCACAAGGCGTGAACTCGTCAGCGCCTCATATTGAGAATCTGATCAGGGGTACGGCGTCCTGATATGGTGTGTCAGCAAGGATAATCTCGATGAGTCAGACCGACGAACTCGGCCGGGAACCGGGGGTGGTGGGTATGAAATACTAGGAATCTCACAGCACTACCATAAGGGAAGGAAGGTGTGATATATAGGAGCGAAAGTAGGTAGGCGACCAAGGCCCAGCGCTACACATGACTACCATGGTCCACCCACCACTCGGCCACCCCCACCACTCGGACTACCAAAACTGCTGTAGCCCCCTATTAAGTCAACATGTTCACTTATACCGAATCCAGCCGTTTCTGAAGGTATTCACACCGTAGTTAGTTCACTGAATAGCCCTTTTTGGGGGGTTTATCCCAATCTAGATCAATCTGGCTAGACCCGGCGATGAGGGGGTCCCCCGCCCGTGATTTCTACACCTTATAAGCGCAGATTTGCCCTTTATAGAGCGGTTGTCTTCTTCTTTTGTATGCAATATAGTATTGTGACTCTCGAAATGCCTTTTTATACAGAGGATATTATGGCAGATGTCATACTAAATGTTACCAATAACAAGCTGCCAGTCCGAAAGTCCGCTCAGAAATGGGATATCCCTAAGCAGACGCTATTGGACCGCATCAACAGCAAAACCTTAAAAAGAGAGACTCAACAGTCAAAAAGAAGACTATCCAAAAAGCAGTAAACACACCTAGCCCAATAGATTCTTTGTCAGGAGTTATTGGGGCTCGCCCTATCGCATAGCGCCATTAAGGCTATTGTTCAGGCTACCTCAAAGTTGAACGGCATCACTAGAGACCGTTAGGAAGAACTGGATAGATAGATTTCTTTGCCGTAACCTAGAAATCAAGAGGCACAGATCTCCAGGTCCAGTGGTTCCTTAAGGAGTTTAGAGAGGTCGCCTCCTGGCAATATATATGCACTGATAATGGGTGGACGGATAACGCAGTCGCCGTAGAGTGGCTAAAGAGTGTTTTCATCCCTTAAGCCAACCAAACACGAGAAATTAATGAATCTGAAGCGGTATCCCTGCTCCGTAATGGGCACAAGAGCCATACCTCTGTGAGTACTAATTCCCTTAATTTTCTCTATTTTATTCCATTTGGAATCGATAGATATGTAGCTAATCCTGGCGGTAGGATGAATTCATGACGATGTGCTTCCTGAACAACATACAGCTATATTTTCTGCCAGCACACACCTCCCACGGGCTTCAAACACTTAATAACGGCCCCTTAAATGCCGTGAAGGCTGCTTACCGCAAGTATATCGCTCAGTTAGCTACTCTAATTGATGCTGCCCCTGTAGACAAGATCAACTTCATTAGATGCTATGCCAAGGCGCGGAATGATGGACTGACAGTCAAAAATTGTCAGGCTGGCTTCAGAACTACTGGAAACTGGCTTATTAGCCACAAAAAGGCGTTATTGTACCCATAAATCCAAAGGGACAAGGCCGCTACCCCTGAACCTGAACAGGTCGAAAATTTTGAACCTAAAGACCTCCAGACGCCCGAGATAAGCCGGCAGATCATGAAATAAGGAAAACAAGTCCCCAACCACTCGACTAGAGTTACACAAGGTTGCCACTGCTTTTAAGAAATAATCAGCAGAGATGGGATTAAAGGACCAAAAGATCGAGAGTCTGAAGGCAGAACTGGAGCGTATGCGCCCTAAAAAGCGCAGAAAGATCCCTAACCTGAATAAACGGTTCAAGAGTATCCCGGAGATACTGGCAGTCAGTGAAGAGCAGCCTCAAAATCGCTGCAGGGCCATACAGCCAGTGGTTGTTAAAGATTTGAGTAGTGAGAAAGAGGAGAGGATAGCCCGGATTTGTTAGAAGAGGAGATTACAGCCCCTGTGGAGACCCGTTCCGGTCGGCAGACTCGCCGCCCAGCTAGATATGATAACTGAGCGTCCAAAGACGATCAGAATGATGCGCTTAGCAGCTGAAAACACCATGAATTGACTGATATCGGTGTAAGTGAAGTTGTAGATGTTTACGCGTGTGCCACTAATGTTGGGCGTCCGAGTGGTGGGGGTGGCCGAGTGGTGGGTGGGGCATGGCATTCCCTAGACACCATTTCCTCTTCTCGAAGCAGTGTCTCCCTTACAGCCTCCACCTCCATCAGCGCCCGGACAACATGATTCCACTTAGGATACGCCCTCTTCATGTCCATCACCGCACGCTGCTCCGCCAAGCTGAAAAACGGCAAGATGTAAACATCCACCGCCGTGAGCTGCTGGCCCAACGCCCAAGGGCCTTCAGCCTGTAACCCAGACTCCAGCACCTCGAACTGTTGCCGCAGATTCTTTATTGCCTGCCTCCTAACCGCCGCATAGGCGTCGGCAGACTCATCCGTGGTGAAGCGCCAAGGCCGTACATAAGGCCCTCAAGCCTGCGCATGCAGAGGTCCAGCGATGAAGTTCAGCCATTCACACACTTTCACGAACTCCAGTGGGTTCCAGCCGAACAATTGCTCGGAGGGGGCCAGCTGGTTTATACGGTGAGCGATGGGCTGGTTTTCGGTGATTGCCGTGCTGTCGACGACTAAGATGTCAAACAGCGTGAATGAGGATCATATAGTTGAAAACATTATATTCTGGTAATTTGTAATAGATTGTCAGTATGTGAAAAGTCTGCTACTAGTGTGCTACATCATATTAAAAGCCCTAAATGCCCTACTAATATATGGCTATTTCTTTAAAAGCTATTATAGTTTGCGTGTTATTTAACTCATTTAATAAAAGCTTTTTAAGGCGAAAAATCAAAATCTTATAGCTAATAAAACATACTAATTATCATTGTATTGTTAACTAGAATTTAAGCAACTCATCTTTAAGCTTTTTATTATTATTTTTTACTTCAAAATAAATATCATATTTGTTAACTAAAAGTATTAAAAGCAGTTTTAATATTTTCTTATAAATAATATTATAAAGAGGCCATTTATAGTTATTTTTACCTATTTTTATTTAAATCAATAAGCATAAATATTAACGTAACGAAGTTGCGTTTAAAATTTAATAGCATTTTAAACCAAAAATCGAATTATTTACTTATTGTGAGATTCTAGAAGGGTCACAAGCCTTGGGGGTGTGAGCGGTCGCTGCAAATGTTGTTGTCATTCTCAAGTATGCTCGGCAGGGCTAATCTACAGCTAAATACCATACTGCACTATGCAAGGGTGGATCCACTGTTCCCTTGACAGCCCCCTAGTGGGTACTGACCTAAGGGCACCAACTTGTTAATCATGATTTTTAATAATATTTATTCTAAAGAGCTATTTGAAAACCTTTTATTAGATCAATTCTAGGCCCTTTTTGAGTGTTAATATAATAATATTAGCTTTTATTTTATTATTATTTTCGATATATAAATATAATACCGTTTACGTAAAAAACTATTATAATACTTCTTTTAAACATTATATTCGGCTTTTAAAAGATGTTTTTAAAGCTTAATTTAATCCACAATTTAATTACTTTAATATATTATAGTAATGGTATTTTCAAGCCTGTATAAAGGTTTAAGAAGCTTTTTAATATGATCTTAAGTTTTAATTTTGAAATGTCTTTTTGTATATATAAACTCGTTAAGATCATAATATATAAGGCGTTAACAGTATTCATTAATCTAGTTTATTAATCGAATTTTGCCGAAATTATAAATAATATACGTAATAAAGTATTAATTGAAGTTATATGTGTCGAGCCGTCTAACCTATAAGGCTAAAGGGTTCTGTAGGGTTTATGTTCTGAGGTAAGTCAACATAAAGAATGATAGAGGCTTTTGTCAATTAGAAAACATTCAGATGCTGGGGCTTGGCCTGATGCAGGGGATCACTATATAGTCAAGTTGTCAGGAGATTTCTTCCACCTTAGGCTTGGCTAAGATGCTTAGATTGATCACTGAGGCAGAGACTGTCTATCTATCTAGCTAGGAAATGTCTGTCCTTATATATCCAATCTATCCCTTACTGATGGAGTAGGATCACCTTGTCCAAGAGTGATGCTCACTGGCTCACTCCCTGATCTAGTGATCCGTCACGTGACCTTTGTTATATAAGCCGTAATACCCATTGTTCTGTTCCTGGCTTCTGATTCCATTGGTTCTTGGTGTACTCCCCTTGGCCCTTCAACAGGCCATGGTATTTGTTGGTCCGTAATATTATAATCTTAATAAAAAGATTTTAAAAAGCTTATTAATTATCTTAAATTATAATGTATATGTTGGAACAGGCTTGAACGATCAATCATAATACTCGAGTATGGGGTCAAGGTCATGATGTTGCTGATGGTTGGATTGAGAGGAATCTAGCTGGACTCGAAGGTCTGGCCAAGTGCCCTCTCAATCCACTATCTTATCTTATCTAATCATACATGTGGGTCCTGGTATAGATGGTTTGCAGTA